TTTTTTTGCAACTAAACAGGTACAATGCTACTGGTGACATGAGAGCAGTGGACAGTCACTGTTAAGCGCTTTTAACTAAAGCAGGAACGGGGCCTGTAGTTTGGCCTTCGAGCTGAGGGGGCCGAGCCGTGGCATGTGAAATAGAGAGCGATTGATGATGGATGGGATTTTGTTGCTACGTCTGCAATCACATCCAAGTCTGTATTAACTAACGTCCACATCTGCACTCAGCGAAGTCACAGGGAGAGCGAGAGTGATCAGGAACTGAAACTCCTGCCAATTCACTCTCTGTCTTACCCAGACTAGGCCAATCTTAGCGCCTCCAACTGAATTTGATTGGCCCAGGAAAGGAGAAAAAGAATTAGCAAGAATTTCTGCTCTTGTGTGGATGCAGGTCTGGGCAGTGTAACAAGTCTGCTGACGGTGGGGCAGTGGTATGAGGGATGGTCTAAAAGGTCCTGGCCATAACCTTGTGGCTCAGGCTGACACACTACAAACAAAACATGACCTGCAGCTCATCCGTAAACCCAAATAATCCCGTTAGCAAGTGGCAGCGCCCATTTCATTCTGGTCAAAAAGCTGTTTAAAAAAGAGACGCGCCAAGGCTTTACCGAATCGTCACGATTCATCCTTTATTTGAAAATATTTCACTACATCAGAGACACACTCCCATTTACCTTATTCATCACTCTCAACAGTAAAGCACCAAGAGTTGCATCGCCACCTGCTGGCCACATCAGAAACAACAGCTCAAATTAGTTCCCCCCCCCACCCCCGGAATATAAAATCTAACAAACCTTAGACATTCTCTTCCCTGTAGCCTCAAAATAGGAATTTCCTAAAGCCCCAGGAAATGAATTTACTGCTAAACACCCAACGTCAGTGAGTTCTTGTGCCGTGCGACATTGTGCGGCCAGAGAAGGCTTTTAAGAAAGAAGCAGCTCAGCAATAATTCCTAGATTTCTAATTCCTCAAATCATTAAAGAAACTATTCCTCAAATCCACACCAAATGAATGCAATAAAGTTGCTGCTCTGAGGACATAGACAGCAACATAATCAATTCACCACGGAGCAAGTACCGAGAATTAGAAGGTAAAAGACATCACCCGGACCATACACATTATAAAGACCTCACAATGCCCAGCAAATCAGGGATTTTTCAAAGTGCTTTCAATACTCATCTGTAACATTGACTGAGACCCACATTGCCATAGAGTAGGAATAAGATGCACGTCTCTATCCCAGAGAGCAGCTCTACGCAAGCAAACATTTGTGTAAATTTCTATTGTTGTTTGGAGACAGCTACAGGGTGTATGGGGAAAGGATAGAGAAATGGGACTGAAAGAATTGCTCTTGAGGTAGCTGGCACAGATATGGCCTTCTTCTGTGCTTTAAATTTCTATGGTCCTATTTCTACAGCTGAGGTTCAGACTCAGAAAGTTCACAGTACAGAAGACCATTCAGCCTATTGTGTCTACATTGGTGTGAGCTCCCCCACTGGTGCCATCTGTTCTAACACTATTTCCCTGCTTTTCCATGTACATTTAATATCATTCTTCCTGCGTTCATCCTCTTTTACAAGGGGATATTAAAACAGATCGCTATATCTAGTTACTCTCCACCATTCAGAAACTGGTGCAAAAATTCAGACAAGAGAGAAGTTAAGGCTAATATACTACTGGGCAATGACGGTTGCCATGCCATCACCAAAAAAACAACCAAATCCCCACACAGCACATCTCTTAGAGCTTTCATATCAAAGGCAAGAGTTAGGAGTGATCCAGGGGACCTCCACCCTCTTGTGTCAGGAAGAGTATGAACCTCAACATCACATAAAGAGATTCCAGCCTGTAACTTACTCCCTGAATGTGTTCCCTCGATTAAAGTCCAACTTGTAACTCACTTCTGGGAACTTGTTCCATATGTATGAGTAATTACCCAAGTAATGCATGTAACCCCCACTTCCTGGCTATCAACCCCCCACCCTCCTTTTCCCTCCTCCCATCACTATTGTGCAACTTTGTCTCAATGAATTGGGGAGGTCTGTAGGACCAGTCAGTTATACACTGCTGTCCATACAATTTTACATGTATATAGTGCCTTTCACGTCAGGACATCCCAAGGTGCTCAACATTAATGACTTGGCACCTGAGCTGGAGGTGGGAGTCAAGGAGTGGTGGGGAGATGAAAGATGACTGATAAGTCCAGTCAAAGAGGTAGATCTTGAGATGGACTTTGAGCAAAGTGAGGGAAACGAGTGAGTCAGAGGATCTCGGGGATGGAGTGCAGAGAGTGAGGGCAGATAGACTGAAAGCCCAGCCGCTCGCTGATGGTGGAGCAGGCCAGTGAATGCTGAGCGAAGGGAGCAGCCGGGTTGACAGGGTTTCAGAAGGTCACAGAGATAGGGTAGGGCGAGATGATGGAGGGATTTTGATGTGAGAACAAGGCTCTTCAACTCAATCCGCTGGGGGCTGGGGAGCCATTGAAGCCGGGCAAGGATGTGGGTGAAAGGCTCACGGAGCCTGCAGAATCACAGGGCCAAGTCAGTCACACGCTGCAGCCGCTCTCTCTGCAGGATAGCAAGTCCATTTAGTCACACACCGCAGTAGATCTGCAGCGTCACGGAATCAATCAGGCACACGCCGCAGGAGACTCGCAGCATCCGGGGGGGTGTCAGTCACACACACGTCGGTATTGTGGAGCCACAGTCACACACCGCAGCAGCTTTGCAGTATAGCGGGTCTGTCCAGTCACAAATACACCGCAGTGGATCGGCAGCATTACGGAGGCAATCAGTCACACACCGCAGCACATCTTCAATGTGTGCATGCCCAGAAATAGCCAGGCTTTCTTTTCTATTCAGGCAGCCGACACTGGGTTACATGCCGCTATTAGTAAATTTGCAGTTTTAAATTTGCTCGGAGGTCTGTAGCTGCATTTCCTTCCCAAAAACAGACTTTACGCTCACGGAGCTCCGAGAGCGCTGAGAAACCCAAACTCCAAGGAAGACGCAGGTGACCACTGTGACCAGAAGCACTTTCTCGGGGAGAGTGGCTTCCCGCTGCGGGAGGCACCAACTAAAAGTGAAGCGAGGAAATTGCTTCTTTCAGAAATGAATGGACCAGAGAGATCCACGGGTTACAATCCAGCACCACATCGCGTGCAGCACGATCAAGCTAATTTAAGGGGTAGAGTGAACTGCTCTCTAGATACGCCTTGCCCTGAACGAGCGGGACACGCACCTCAATCACCCACAATGGCAGGACACTAAGCTGCAGCAAACTACCCCGTCACCATGGATCTGCTGGTGACACTGGCAGGGATGTGGCACTAGCTAGCCTGCCCGTCTACCACTTGAGTGAGGGGCGCTGCCTGATGTGTGTGAGTATGGGACGGGGGAAAGAGAAAGATGGACGAAGTTTATACATTATTCATCAAGTCAGTCAAAAAGTTGGGAACTTATATCCCTACAATTACCAAGAGTATTAAACAAGAACTTTAAACCTGTGGTATCAGAATCTCTGGTGAGTGAACTTGCACTGTTGTCTGACTGCCTCACTTGTCCCCAGTGTTATATTTATACAGGTCTATCTATTTCTGCAGTACAAACACAATATCAAACAATATTCTTTCAATAGCATTCGCTTACAAGTGTACATAAAAAAAACCTAAAGAAACTACCCTTTTTTCAGCTGCTTAATAATTACTTGAATGATTGAATGTAAAGAGAGCAGAATAGTATCAACACGGGAGAGGAAACCGGATGGTGAAACCTCTCATGTGTTTTTTATTCTCTATGAGTGAGGCAGGCATGTCAGACTCAAAAGTGGAGGAAATAAAATAGAAATTTACGTGTACAAAACACTTCAACATGCAGCCGTCTATTGATACCAGACACCAGCCTCTGCTTTTATTGGAATTTGATTCGAATATTCGGTCTGTTTGAAGTTTGCTTTTCTTTCGTCTGACAGGCGTGGGAAAGGTGGAATTTTCTCACAGGAGGGGAAATGAGTGGCACTTAGTGCCCTCGCCATCATTTCATACAGGACATAACCAGCTTTCATCAAACCGTGGATGATGGGCCCGTTTTATTACGCAGCATTTTATGGGCACCCTCTGTGGAGACGCACACTCACACGCACAGGTGATATTCCTTGGACACATTTGAGACTGCTGTGGAATTTACTTTAGGGTATTCAAAGCCAGATGTTACTTCAACAAACCATTTTATTTAGGGTTTGCTGTAGACTTCTGAAAACTTTGGAGACCGCCGCACCCCGCACCACCTCTCACCCACTCACACACAATATGCCAGAAAGAAATAATTCATCAGAGTAAGAAAATTAAAACTCTTAATATTCTCTAATGTCTCCACTCATAGCTTACTGGTTGAACACTACTGAGGACACAAAGCATGAAGGCCCCAGGTTAAAGTCCCTGCTCTGTGCTGACACAACCCATCTCAGGCTACAATTAGTATCCGGGCCCCTGGCACAGGAAAGGGAAGATTGCTATCCTGCAATTGCTTGAAATGTGCAAGTCGGTTGAGAACAGGTCCAAGTGAGGGTGTGATTCCCCCCTCACACACAGTCATAATATCCTGTCAACATATACTGTTCAGACTCATACTTGAAGAATAACACTGGGATGAGATACAGAAAGTTGACCTGCATTCTTGAAGCAAGTACAATTCCCCACTATGTGGGTGAGGAGAGAGAAAGTGGCACAATATTGTCTGTAGGAGGCTTCAATTTATCTCAAATGAACCTTGTGACATGAGACAAGCAAAAGTAACAACTGCCAGGGACCAAGGACCAATGTTGCCATTATAAACAAATGGCCGACAATAACTTTGAACCAAGACCATCTATCTAATCCCCATCAGAGGAGTTGCTGGAGGACAACATGCACTTTGCCAACTGTTTATTCTCAGTTAGATCAACTTTCCCCAATGGATATCCATTTGGGTTCGTGGCTGTTAAGAGTTCATTGTACTTACATCGCTGGGAGAGAGATTTCCAAGTTCATCGTCCTGCTCTGAAGTGCCGTCTTCTCTGCCAGATTCAGTCCCGTGAGAGGCGCGAGATTGACTGGGGTGAATCCAAATCTCCACCCTGCTAGTGTCCTCCCCAACCTGCCTGAAGGTCGATTTCTTTCCCCTGCCTCGAGGCCCTGGGCTCAGCTCACATTCCTGCTGCCTCTTGAGCTCAGCTTGCTCAGCCTGCAGAAAAAAAGACAAACCACTCCATGAAGCTGGGCACTGGGCCTTCAAGTAAGCAGCTCTCCTGCCAGCATCACTGTAATTCACAGCAAGCCCAGCATGTGCGGATGGGAAAAAAAGAAGTTTCTGCTTTACCAAGAAATTCACTCTCATAGTAAAGCCAAGCCTTGCTGTCTCCCTAGCCACATAGCAAATCGTTGATGATCAAGATATTATCTTCACCTGGACTGAGACTCTGGTAAGAACACAGTTGAGGGAAAGGAAGCCCCTGAACGAACCTAATTAGCAGCATATCAAGAACGTGGTTCTTATAATCGCACATTAAACCCAGAACAGGTCCCTGGGACTTCTTCTTGCATTTGCATTCAATGTACTTGGATAGAAACAGAAGGCCATGCATCTTTTAAATGATCTTGATTGATTACTCAGGTAAAGAAAAAATTCACTTTTTTAAAAATGGGATGGAGATTAATCTTCTCCTCATAGCTAAGGCCCTTCAATTTAGGGATCACTCCCATAGTTCTTCTCCAAGTCTCTACAAGTGATCCAAACTCACTACTCAGTCCATGTGAGGTCTGACCTGTCGCTTTGTGCACAACCCAGCATAACCTCAGGAGTCCTGTATTCTACCATTCAGACTATGTTTAAACCAAATCCCCATTTGCCTGCTCAGACAAACATGTAAATTTTCACAACGTTATTCAAACAGAGTGTGTGCCAGTGTCCTAGACTTTCCCAGTGTCCTGGCCAACAATCCTCCAGATAGATCGGCTGTTTGTGGGTCACCCAATTTCTAGGTCTCCCACCCTCAATTTAACGCTTTCATAACTTTTTTCCCCCAACTTTGTAAATCACTTCAACTCTTCTGCTTAGTTCTGAGTACATATGGCAAGTTTACTTTGCACCTCCATATAAACTAACAGATTAGAAACATATCCCGGGGCCCAATAAAATGAGTAGCTTTTGCTGCAGTCCGGGCTTGTTCAACCTTTGTTCCTATGGCTGCTTCCCCTTGTAACATGAGGCTGTTCTTGAACTCTGCACCAGACATGCCCTTTCCTGGTGTCTGTGCCTCCATTTCCACCCATCCCTCTAGCTCCAAGATCCTACATGAAGCTGACTTCATTTCAACCAGGAGAGGCTGCAAAAAGTGTCTCTTTGCTAGTATCCTGTAATGTTCAGCAGCCTTCCCTAACGGACCTAGACCGTCAGACCAGGACACATTATCATTGCACGATCTGTCAAATTCACTGTGAGACGATGGGGATGGTTAACAGCAATACTGGCTTTGAGCCATGTTCATCTTGAGTAAAGAAAAATATTTTGGACTGAAAGTTATAATAACTGTGTTTCCCAGCAATGTTGCCAGCAGTATTCATTGTAGAGCATTAACGTATATTACGACAACCCATCTCACTGGGAACTAGACCACAGAAGTCTGTCTTGGTGGTGAAAGGGCGGGGGGAGGAGAGAAAACCTGAGGATTCAATTAACTCATTCTGGATTAAATTAAACTTGAATGTGGGCAAAATTAATGGAACAACTTCATCCTCCAACAAACAACCAGAAACTACTGCATGTGAACATGTGTGAGTGAGAATGTGTGATTACTACAAGAGAGAGAGAACACACACACACACACAATATATATAATTGGAATTCATAAGGGTTGATGATTGTCATCTCTATGTGGGCTTTTTGAAAATAACAAACATTTTTAATACCGGAGAATTGCTCTGTATCTCTCGTACAGTTAATCATAATTATACAGCAAAATTGTAGAGTTTGGCTGCTTAAATGTTTGCCTCTTTTACTGTACACAAATTGTGAAAAACAGTATGTGATACATTCTGAACATCTCCCCAAATACTCAGTGGCAGCAAAAAGTGGGAGGTGGGGGTAAGAGATCATTCCACACTCAAAGAACAAAGGCTTTATTCATTTTAAACCTTTCACTGTAAAAACCCTCCAGTATGCTGAATATAGTATTTTAACACAGCTCCCACACCTCAGGCCAACTGTGCCGTCGTCAATGGACACTGAGCAGAGCTCATGTTACCAACAAGCACTGTGCTCAGCAAATCACTTAAAGCTCCATCGGTGACCAAATAAAACTACAATGGTTGGCATTAAAATGAATGTTACAGCCAATGATTCATAAGAGTTTTATCCCTTCAATGTACAATGAACAGATTTTGGTATATAAAAATCTTCCAAAAGGAAGTAAAACTACAATTGTGAAACACTTGAAAAGTTCTTTTGAATTTAATGCCTTCTGCAGATTTTTGTTCTGGTAAATTGTGTTTGGATGTAGACAAACACACGGTGTCCCCAACTGCCACGCAAGCAACCCCCTGGACCCACCGACACCCCACCCCAGCCCCCCACGTTCTCCCCAGGCACCTGTGGTGCATTTTCTTCGTGTGGATTAATTTCAAAATTAAAGCCACACTGACCCAGCTAAAGTATCTGTAGAGTGTAGACCCTATGGAGTCCCATAGTGTAGTGGTTAGTGTGCTTGCCTCGCAAGCATTAGGACCTGGGTTAGATTTCCAGACAGGACAAAACCTGAGGCAGGTTTCCTTACTCCACACGCTTCTGTTTTCTTAGCAATAATGGTTGTCAGTCGATTGGCGGATCGCTTTCCAGGGGTAATAATAACTATTTGTGGTACGCTGCTGCGCGCTATTGGCTGCCGCATTTTGGCCCCAAAATACACAGTCAATCTACTTTACAATATATTCTGTGAAGCGCTTTGAGATATCTCAATGACGTGATACGGCGCTGTATTAAATTCAAGGATTATTATTATGATTATTATCTCAGAAGATTGGAGTCCAGTACTTAAAACAATTATTACCCCCTGAATCTGTAGATGTACCCCGGGAGACTGTGAGCACTCCGGGGGTTAATGACGTTAGGAGGATTTGCACATTTAGTTATCAGTACATTTAGTTGGATGCGGATCTGGATTCTATCCTCTTGATAAGGTTTCTCTGCATTTATTTTAAAAATGGACAAAATATTCATGCGTAATCCTGCCATCTGACCCCCAGTGAGTGCAGTCTTTTAAACCTCTCCAATGTGTTTGAGTGCAGCGTATTCTGTTTATTTACTGGCAGAGGAGGACGGCTTTGATCCCGGATTGTTCTCTTGCCAAGCCTGCCATCACAATAGTGCAGAAGGCATGAATGGTCATTTTCACACGGCCTGTCCGGCTTGTTTTTCCGATCTTGACGAGTCACAGAGCTCTCACAGATCCTTCCAACACAGCCGCCAAGATCTGTTTGTTACTAAGTAAACACCAGCAAAAAGTCAAGCTGCTTTCCTTTCTCTCCCCACCCAACCCACCCCATCCCCATTAGCACATACACACACACTCACAGCCCTCTCCCCAAATACAATCTCTGCAAGCTCGCTCCCTATACTGAGTGACAGACTGACCTTCCTTTTGGTTTCTTCGAAGAGGCTCATCAGACTCTCTTTCGCTGTGAGAATCGGATTACTAGCAGCCAGACTCCGCATGTAATAGTAAACTGCATCCAGCTTCCGCCTCTGAAAAAACAAGGCAAAAGGTTTGAAAATGCAGACACAGCTCAGCTGAACCCAATTACCAAGAATTCCCATAATTATTTCATTTTCACTGAATCTATTAGTCATAAATAATACAACTTTCTCAAAACGGCTGGACCCTTTTTTCCTGCCAGTTTAACCCTCGGAGGACCACAAATCAGATTTTTCTGGCCCAAAACAAACAGTGCAGCTCTGTTTCTCTCCAACCCCTCTCCCCACCACCCCACTCCCCCATCACTTTGAGGTGGGCAAGCACTCAGGGTTACAATGCTCTCATCAACATGGGGGCAAGCAAAGTGGTCCTGACACTGCAGTTTAACGAGGAGGGAACTGTTAGCTCATATAATGTACAAAATCAAGTTCAGGTTTCCAACTCCAGAGAGAATCCAAAGTGCAACTTGAAAAGTTCCCAGTGATGTGAAGCTTTGCACACCTAGTGTCAGGGCAAGGTGTTACATGCCACTCGGAAGGAATTAAATCTCGCTCGCAACTTAAAGAGAGACAGTACTCGCATACAAACCCATTTCCCTGAGACAATGTCCTGCTTAAAATCAACTCAACACCTTCCAACCCACATTAAACACACACTAACCTAACCGCGAGTCCATTTAAGACCAAATTCCTTGCTCTCCCTCACATGTTAAATCAAATCCATTTATTGACCTCATGATCACAATCTGCAGCACATTCGCATCATTGTCTATGGCACATTTCATGTTTTACGTAAACTAGTGACATCTGGTGATGGAGAGCCTGCATGACATGACTGCAAAATCTTGCATAAAAGATGAAACTTTCCAGTCTCCAGTATATACCTCAGTATTGCGGAGAGATTGGAGAAGATCCTTAGAGCAGAGAAGGTTAAGGTGAGATTTAATAGAGGTGTTCAAAATTATGAGGAGTAAATAAGAAGAAAACGTTTCCACTGGCCAGTGGGTCGTTGACCATAGGACACAGAGTTCAAGATAACTGGCAAAAGAACCAGAGAGGAGATAGAGAATTTTTTTTAGGCAGCGAGTTGTTACGATCTGGAATGCACTGGCTGAAACGGTGGTGGAAACAAATTCAATATTAGCTTTCAAAGGGAAAATGGATATTTACTTGAAAAGAAAATTAACTGCAAGACCATGCGGGAAAGGACGGGGGAGTGGGACTAATTGAACAGCTCTTTCAAAGAGTCAACACAGGCACGATGTGTCGAATGGCCTCCTTCTGTGCCGCAAGATTCTATTCTATGAAGCGGGTTATTTTGGAGGCTGCTTAAGAGCCAAGAATGTTGACAGAAAGGCTGGGAGTGGAGCGTTATAGAAGCAACAGGAGCTGCTGAGACTTGCAAGAGAATTGCAGAAATGCATCTTTAAAGATTTGAAAGAAGCAAAGTTGTCATCACCCAATGGATAATAATAATCCCTCCGTTTGATTTAGTGCCTTTCGAATCAACGAAGGACGTCTCAAAGCGCTTCACAGAATTTACTGTTAAGTCAATTGATTGTATAGTTTGTAGGTGAAAATACATAGTCACTACACTTTACATCAATTCTGTGAAGTGCTTTGAGACATCCTCCTGATGTGAAAGACACTATATCAAACACAAGGATTATTATTATACATTGAATGAGACAACTTTGGTTACTTCAGATCTTTGATCAAGCATTTCCATAAGTCTTTCACAAGTCTGAGCAACTACTATCCCTCTCATCGTCTATAGCTTCACTCCTACCTAGCCTGTCTATCAACATTTTTGGCTCTTGTGAGATGAAGTGGAAGAGATGAGATTAAGGTTTACTGATCGGCCACTGCGCTGGAAGCTTGCACAATCTGAAGGAAATTGAGGAATACAAAAGTAGTATTACTCCAAATTCTTTGGAGCTGTTCCTCAGGGACAAAGGGAATGCTGCACCTTACTTTGAACTTTATCAACAGGGATTCCAAATGGCATGAGTTTGGCCAGTCTCAGGCCACGTCCCAGTGGGCAGGAACCGACTGCAGAGAGAAACTGTGGGCAACACTCCCAGTGCAGGATACAGTGGTGCACAACTTTGTGATGTTACATCAGGGCAAGTTCCTCACAAAATGTCCTCTAACCAGCAGTTTTACAACACAAAATAATATAAGGAACATCCTCAAGCCTCCCTTTATAATCTTTAGGAGTATAAGAATAAATTGCATTTATATAACTAAAACAAGACTAGATTAGGGTTAGGGTCAGGGCTCTTACAAGTTACACAGGGTCATTTGCTGCGTGTATCTTCTTGCAGCTACTGTAGCTCACTCGCCTCCCACGCAGAGAGAGCTCATTACCAGTACAGTTACAAGGAGACAGGACGCTGGGGGAGCTTGTTATGCAAACACAGTAGTGAGGACAGGGATGCTGGCCGGAGATTATTGTGACAGTCCTAAAGTTCAGCTTTTAGCAGTGAGTTTCCCCCATTAAGTCATATGAATTTCACCTGTCTCTTTGGTGGCAGTTCAGGTCACCACAATGACTAGACAATCGCTTAGCACAGGAAATGGTTTGAGCAGGAGGTCTGGTTGGTGCAGTTCACTGGAACTCTGTTCGTACACATCTGGAAACTGGGCGACCCAAAGCAGAGGAAAGAATGTCTCTCCTTTCTCAGAAGACTTTCTGGCCAGTCTTAAGCTAATTCCAATGACATGAACTCACAGGCTAAAGCTGGGCTCGCAATTGACACAGAAAAGTGAAGATTGCATTGTATACATCTCCCGATGAGCAATATCACTCAGAATACCCTCACCCCCGCAAATGGCGTAGCATGCTATCAATCACCCAAAGATAAACAGATGTTGAATGGCCACTGTAGCCAGTTTAAGCATCATTGAACACTCAATGGGACTTGCTGAGAGCACTGAACTAGTAACCAGGCTGCAGTAACCCCTCCTGCTATAAGCTGCACGCTCCCTCTTCCTCTGAGAGGGCACACAGGCAAAAAAAAATTCTGCACTTTGCCACTAAATCTGTTCTGTGCACATTTGAGAAAAAGCATGCACGCTTCAGATTTTTCTAACCTCAGGGGGAAGAGTGAAAGGAGGAGGAAAGATGTTTCACTGCTGGAAGTGCCCGAACTCAATGACTCGACCAAGAGATGGCAAAATCCATCATAGAATGTCTGCTGAAAACATCGGTTTTAAACTCCAGCCCATTTAGTTTCAATGCACAGAGGAGGGAGGATGCTTGCACTCTCCCACGCTGGTTGCAACAGTCTGGGATTGCAGATTGGGTAATAATAATGAGATGATCTGCATGCCAACCTGCTCTCTTGGGTGCTCTGTCTGCACATACGGAATCATTCACATGTGCTGCACAGTAGAATGGCTTGTCTTTACACAGTCCAAACTTTACCATGTCAGGATCCTGACTCAAACGTTCTGAAATGAATTCACACCGCACCAAGCAGCAGCCAACAAGGGAGTAAATATAAAACCGAATTTCTGTGGTCAATTTGAAATTGCAGGTGTGAGGTCGAACTCACGCAAATATTGTGCCAATTAAGTGCTTGTGAATGTTACTTGTGAACGTGCATTCAGTTTGGGTGGAGTGCAAGGGTTTGCATTGTCTCTATTCTTTGAGAAAGGAACAGATATCTGCAAGTGTGTAGTGTCTGGGACTTTGACGCAATCACACCTACAAAAGCAAAAGCCAACAATTCATCAAATAAACAATCCTAACCCCTTTTCATTACTTTCAATCAGTGGAAGAGAGAAAAGGAGAGACAGCAGCCTCATTGCGCTGCTGATTTGATGCACTTTGTCCACAACCGCCTTTAGAACCAAATAATGCTATTGTGAGGCCAGAAATAAACATCTTTACAGGAATTGACCTTCAGTGGCCTTTTTACTGAGTGAGACGCCAGCGTGCAGGAATGTAGTGTTTTCTGCTCGATACTAAAATGCACACACAATTAGCTGAAAGTGGAGCTAAAATACCTAAAGTGAAATGGATTTGGTTAGTCTCAAGCTCATTTTCCACCAGGTGCCCTGTAGACAGGAGCTTCTGACTAAGGCTACCAGTTCTTAGAACGTGCAACAGCTACAAAGCAGAAATGCGGTCATCCTCACAGTGTCACGGGTGAATCACTCACATACAGACACGGACTGCATGCCTTTAACCATACACTGCGTATTACTTGGCAAGACGTGGAAGTCCTGTATCATCGAGTGCAGAACACTCCAGCTATTTAGTCACGCTCAATGAGCAACAGGCTGCTCCATTAACTCTCTTGTACACAAGCGAGAGGAAGAGGTGGCTGGCCAAGACAGTGGAAGTCTGACTATACTAAGGACCCAGAAGCAGACTTCTCTCTAGCTGGCGAGGCAGCTCACTGTACATCTTAGCTGGACAAGCTGGGACCAGGGGCATTCACGCCTAGAGTACCAAAAAAAAAAACTTATGCACAACACAACTTTGTCACTGTCAGGTAGGCAGCCTTTGGATCAACTTAGAACCATTTCTCCAGTTATCACAAGAGAGGTTTGGATGAAGAACCTTCAGCCTATTTTATCTCATCTTAACAGAATTGCCCACTCCAATGTCTTCCCATTACAGCACCAATTCTTCAATGAGTTCAGGGCCTTGGGCTCACCTCCCACCTCGTAATCTGTTCTCAGCTATCAATTACTCTACAGTCAAGAAATACTTCCCAGCGTGTTCCAAACTTGGCCTTCACAATGCTAAAGCTGTGCCCTCCTGCTGTGCAATAAGGCAGAGCTTCAGAGGAGTCCAACAAACACAGATCTTCAGTAACCAATAACCGGCTCAAGTCTCTCCATACAATGCACAGCACAACATTTAATGGAGCAGTGGCTCCACCTGGTGGAATACTGGTCACCACAGCACAGCACAGCACACTGTGATTAATCTACGAAAATCTCATTTCTATGGAGATTGGACAACACATACAGATCTTGCTATAAAATGAATGGCATGGGATTAAACTAGTGAATTGACAATAACCCACAAGTGTCAAACTACACGATAGACTTAATTAGAAAAGGACTCGAATTTCAAGAATGCAGCCAGGAAGAGCCTCCAGAATAAATCGCAGAGCTGCTCACCGTGTAGATGGCCAGGATAGCGAGCTGGTTGTATGGACGACCATTCTTCGGTGCTATCTGTTGGGCTTTCAAGTACCAACTGTGAATTAATAAGAAAGAAGCACAAACATGAAAGGAAAGTAATAAACTGGAAAGAGAGCACAAATCCTCCTGGTGAAGACATACGTTTATACTACAGGACTTTCTGCTCAATGTACCCAGTGTAGCATATATGCAATGTAAGGGAAAGCATGGCTCAGTCAAAAGAATTCTCGTCTCTCAGTCAGAAAGTTGTGGGTTGAAACCTTACATTGGGAAAACAAGTTCACATTCCAGTACCAATCGTGGATCTGCATCGTCAGAGATGCCATCCAGAGATTTTATTAAAGATTACACCATTTGGGAAAGAGAAGGAAGTTTCTCCTCATCAACAATCCTCTGGATTAATTAGTCATTCACTTCATGCCTGCTTGTGAAGAAAAGGAGGAAAAGGAAGTGAAATCTGGGCCATATTACTGTACCTGCGAGCCTTGCCATAGTTGGTGGTATCATTTGCTTGCTCTCTGTAGCGGGCAATGTCTCCATGGCAGATCATGCATCGCTGAGCGCTGATCAATGCGTACTTCACCTGCAGGTTCAAATATAAGTTGTAAATACGGACTCTAAATATTTCCAGGCAGTTTTGAGCAGGACCTTGAAAGCACAGTTAGAAAACGTGCTTAGCATGTCAGTCTGCACGACAAACAGCAATCAGTTAGCACTTTAATCTCCTTTCTGACATGGATCAAGGCTAAGGAAAGCCTGAATATACAACAACAACTTGAATTTATATAACGCCGGACGTTGACTCAGAGCGCTTCACAGTAACAGATCCCGGGGCCGAGCCAGGGGGAGGAAGGTGACCAAAGGTGCGGTCGAAAAGAAAGGTATTTGGCTAACTCACTTTCAATCGCCATTAAACTTCTTCTTGTAACTACCTGGGTGGAGATACTGAACCAGACAGCGGAAAAAAACACCATTAACAGAGTTAGTTACTAACATAAGATGTTGGCTAGGAGTCGTCACTGCTGATGATATCAGTTTTGAGACATACTATATTTGGTTTAAGGGAATACTTTTTCTTAAAATTAATTTTAATGTGTGTGTGTCCCTATTAAATACAAACAACATCAAACACCAATTGCCTTCAACAATCCATATTGAACAGAGCCTCAGAAAGCTGGCAGCGTACACTACTCACCATTTTGCGAAGGGGTTTGCTGCGTATAGCCATCCCATCCATGTAATCCTCCAGTTTAAACTGGTACGCAACCTGCAGCTTGTGCAGAAGACCATCAAAGAAGCTTGTCCCCTAAAGCAAACAGCCTGATTATTCATGACTCTTAAGGGAATCTGTTGCTCACAGTGAGGGTTACATGTGCAGCTATGAACAAGCTATTTAAATATATACAATACATAGCCAGTCACATGAGACCGCATATCCTTGGCTCTCGCCAACCTGTGCCTAATACTCTCAGGAATTAGATAAGCAGGATGCTTCCCTCTGGGAAGAGAATACGCATCCCATTCCAAACACAGGAATTTCCATGTGTATGTGGCATGTATGGAACTCTCAAGTCTGGTTTAGATATTCTTAAGTATGGTTATGGGTTCCCACATTCATCAGGCTCCTGGAAGACCAAATCAAAATGCTGAGAAGGCATGATCCAAGAAAATTTTGACTGAAACTAACCCGAATCCCGTTCCCACAGGGCCTAAAGAGATGACTTGTCAACGTGCTCCCCCGAAGCCACAGACGTCTCACCCTACATCCGCCACCCATATCATGCACCCCTCCATCCTCAGGCATATCATCACAAGGACTCCCAAGTGTCATTGCCAAGGCGTCAGAGAAATCATTGCTACGGATACTGGAAATAGTGTGTTCATGGAGCTGCTAAGTACCCACTTCTGAGACTCTATTATCTAATCAGTAATTGTAACAATGCATAACAAACAGGGTAAACTGTTGGCTCTCACAACAGCTTGTAGTTGTCGAGCGCTTGTCATGTAGAATGAACACCTCGAAGTGCTCAACAAATCCGGTGGTTAATACTGAGCAGGGAGAAGGAAGTGGAGATTTACAGAGCGTGGAAACAGGCCATTCAACCCCATTATTCTGTGCTGAAGGTAACCTGGTTTCCTGACCAGGAATCAAACCCAGGTCACAAAATTGAAGGCCCCAAAGCCTAACCATGAGACTACCGGGGAGGGAAACAGAGGTATTTTATTTTTCACAACTGTGACAGGATTCAAATCTAATATCTTCCAATTCCTCCTTGTAAGGAGGGCTTTGACAGCAGTACGACTGAGGTGACGAGGTTTTGGAAGAGAATTCTAGAGGTAGAGGTTCAAGGTTTGCTTGGCTACTGATGGTGGGACAGAGAAAGTGAGGAACAAGTAACGGGTGAGTAAAGATGGAGACTGCAGACTCATTCTCACCTCATCTAACAAATTCAGCAGCTTTCCTCGGATTTCCTTGGCATAATCTCCAAACGGCTCCTTTAGCATCTGCCGGAACTTTTCGATGACTTGGTAGAAGGTGTTTTTCCACATCGTCGGCTCCACGTTCTGATTGTCTGAATATTCTATGTCCGTCAAGATGCAACGTTCATATAGCTGCAACATCTCTGCCCTGCAGGAAAGAGAACCTTTAATACTGCCACCAAATGAATATAGCGACTGCTTTTCCCATACCTGCCACAGGACTCTAGCTTCCTGTATGCTGGCCAGGTCTCTCATCAGAGCCTCTAATGGCCGAATAGCAACCCTCCTGCCGTTTAACCCACCATCAACTGTGCAGTACTCCTCCACAACACGAGCCATTCGCATATTTGGGAAATACACCATGTGATATGGCTCTGGGATATATCGACCAGGAAGATCAGTTTGCCTCAACAAGGTAGTATGTTTAAAAGAAACTTGAGGAAGGATGTTATAGAGGACAGGGAACAAGCAGGGCTTTGGACAAATTGCTTCAAAGGAGCAGCAAACACTTACACTAATATTTTTGCCTAAAAAATACACCTAACAGTAAATATAGTTGCTTCTTCTGCTCTGTTTCCCAGCCCCATTTAGCTTCTAGTCTTCTTTCTTTTTTTTTATTCTTCCCAATTCTGATTTAAAGCTGTTTACACTAAATGTCAGCCTTGCAGCACTTTGCCTTTGAATCAGAAGGTTGCAGTGTTCAAGCCGAAATTGGCTGCTGTGTTTACCTACAAAATATACAGTCAACCTACTTTACTGTAAATCTTGTTAAGCTCTTTGAGACATCCTCCTGACATGAAGGGCAAGGATGCAAGGATTATTACTATTATTATCACTGAAATTTACACACTGCACACAGTAAATTGAAATATTGCAGTAATCCTGTATAACCACTAGAGAGCATCCAAAAACAAGGAACCTCTTTCAGACAAAAAGATATAATCACCTAACAACACAGCAAAAACAGGCTCGACAAGATGAGCTGCCTCCTCCCGTGCCTTTGTCATGGGGGGAAACAAACAAATGCCTTCAGAGAAGAAGGGAGAGAAAAACATGCATCACCCAAACAAAGCATCAGAGTTGCCCGAGACAGGAGGTAAAGAGGATTCCTACCTGAGCAGAGTCATCCTTTCCAGTCCGTCGGTGCTAACTTTATCCCGGGACAGCAGGTTACTGAGCTGCAGCTCTTGGTTGTCAGCCATACGCAGAAGTCTCCCCAGCTCCTGCTGGTGTATGCTCCGTATTTGCTGCTCCACATCTTCAGGGTTTAACTGGCCTGTCTGAAAGGGAGCTATGAACTGTGCAGCTGGGTAGCCTGGGTAGTACGCACCTGGGTACATGCCATTGTTTGCACTCATTTGGTACTGCACGGCATATGGAGCTGCAGCGTATGGATACTGAGGACCAGGCACTGTTGGCCTGGAGTAACAGTATGGATTGTCAGAGCTTTGGAATTTATAGTACGCGGCCTGAGACGGGTGTGTGTAGGAGGAGTAGGTCTCTCCCTGAGAGGAAGAGCTACACTCGTCATCGGTGTCCAGGAAGTGGAGCGGGGCGTTTTGGTTCTTCAGAGCAGGTTTCTGGTCAGGGTTGTTAGGATCCCACAGTCTACGGGAAGTCCCCCCTCGACCTCTACCCCTGGAGCCTCGACCAAAGAGAAGCCTCGGGCCAGTTGGGGCAGAATCGGGAGAGCCGGGTGCTGTGGAGGACAGGTCGGTATTTGCAGGAAGAACCAAGATCCCTCTGCCTTTCCCGCGTGGTTCCTCGACCTTCTCTTTCTTCTCAGTGTTCTGACTGAATTTATTTGCTGGCAGGTTGGACTTGAGCTCAGGTTTGGACACTTTGCCTTTCCCTCGGCTTTTTTCCTCGTAGTGGTTCTGCTTGGACACGGCAACGGCCCTGTTCATCGTCTCTCTGTCAAACGTGACATGGAGGGCAGACTTGGCATCTTTTCCTCTCTGCTCACAGTTCTCCGCATATCTGACGGAGGTCTGCTCTCTCTCTAGCCCCATCCTCTTTTCCGGACTCTTTGTGGGCGAGTAACGCCTGCTCTCCTCAACACAGTCATCTTCTAGAGAATCCGTGGAAGAAATAGAAATCTGCTTCGGAGGTCTCGATCGCTCCTTCCGATCACCAGCACATTTGATCTTTTCCTTGATGGCCACTCTCTTCCTTTCGCCCTCGGCGGGCCCGTGCTGACCAGAAGGACCGTCCATGCTGTTGTTGCTCCCGGCGGAGCTCGTACTGCATGTCCTGTTACGATCCCTGCGTTTGTCAGACCTCGAGTAGCGCTTTGACGGACCTCCCGGTTTCTCGGGTCTCGCTTGGGATCGATTGATTCTCCCGTCTTCAGATTCTTCATCAAAGTTATTCCCTCGGCCAGTGCCATCTTTCTTTCCTCCTCCTCGCCTCCCCTTCTCCCTTTTGCCAAGTTTCACCTCTACACTCGGTTGAAAGTTCTCCCGGTCTTCTTGACTCCCTTTATCTTTGCCAGTTTCCCTTTGATTTTCAGCAGCCTGCCCGCTATCGTCAACTGGGTTGGTCTTATTGTCGTCCACCAGCCTCAGCTGCTCAGTTTTCTTCACTAGCTCTTCGTCGGCTACGCTGCAGGATGACGACTCCTTGCTAAGGACCTGCACACGTCGGCCAGGCTGGTAGATCTGACGATCTGGCTTCTTTACCTTCTTCAGCTGCTTTGAACCAGCAATGTTAGAGTCACAACCAGATACGGTTTGTTCATCAATGCACTTTAGATCTTCATCTTCATTTCTATTCAACTGTCCATTCTTCCTAGTGACGTCTCCCTGGTTGTTGCCACCATTGCTGTGAGACTCAACAACACTGGCTGACGTGTTTTTCGAGGCAACCTTATTCCCATCAAGATCCTTCACATCTTCCAATTTGTTCTCTTCACTCCCTGGCTCTTCCAATGAAGTGGATTTTTGTTTGTTGTTTCTCAGTCTAGAAACACCTGGCTGGTAAATCTGAATATCTGGCCTCCTGTTGTCCTTCCGTGGCCTCTGGTCTTTGATTTCCTTACTAGACTCTGGAGAAGAAGCAGAGTCACAAATAATAATACTCCTAATAATAATCCTTGCATTTAATATAGCGTCTCATCACATCTACGAGACATCTCAAAGCGCTTCACAGCGCTTCACCGTAAAGTGAATTGTGCAAATGCAGCAGCCAATTGCACACAGCAGTGTCCCACAAACAGTCGTGGATTGAGTGACCAATTTTTTTTAAAAAAAGGATTTATTACCCCCGGAAAAGCGATCCGCCAATCGATTAACAACTGGGTTTCTACTTACTGCTTGATAAACAGAGGCGTGTGGAGTAAGGAAACTTGCCCAGTGTTTCGCCCTGCCTGGATCAAACCCAGGTCCTCTCCCTTGCAATGCGATTGCTCTAACCACTCAACTACAGGACTCCACTATAGGATTACAGTCAGATAATCCAGGACAGTTAGGTGATCCACATTCACATCGATGATTTCATTTTGATTCCAAAGTTAGAAACACTGTTGCTTTGATTTCTTCGAATCTTCCATATAGATAGAGTTATGTCTGTCATCTCAAGTGAAAAAAACCTGCCTGAATAATAGCTGGTCTCATTCCCATTTAATTAGATCCTTGATTTGGCACTTCTGAACTACAACAAATCTGTCAAGAGGAGGGAAAGCCTAACTTCCAATTACAGAGTAAAATAACAGGTGTGAGGGGTACTGACTGAATGGCGAAACACATCACGGGGCTGTGTGCACGTCAATCTGGATCACATCAGAGTCTGCTCGCTTGAAAAATCTACACTGGTAAACAATCCGCCTTGCACATTCCATTGCAGGGGACGTGTTAGCTTGCATCCACGTTCCCAGTCGTGTCACCCTTCAATAGACTTAGACTTTTCAATAAGGAATGGTTTAAATTAAATTGTAAACCTGGAATGATGTATTTCAGCAGCAGGCGAAGCATAACAAGGTCGACCCTAAACAGACACCAAAACCATCATCCACACCTTTGTCGCCCCCCCACCTTGAATTTTCAAACACTCCCCCCGCTGGTCTCCCCAGCTCCACCAGCTCCAGCATCCACAAGCTCCAGCTGTCCAGCTCTATCCTCAACTGCACTTAACTCCCCCCCACAACCTCCTGAATCATCCCAATCCCCACCAGACTCCATGGGCTCCATCTCCAAACAATCTTCACCATCACATACAAATTTCTCCACACTCTTGCACCTCCCTACCTCGTCCCTGACCTGCTTGTACTTCACTCCTCTGCATGCCCGTGTTAGCTCAGCAGAGTGGACAGGCAGAACATCCCCCAACACCTCCTCATCATCATCGGTGCCTGTGCCTTCAAAGCCCCTAATCTCTGGAACTCCCTGCCTCAATCCTCTTTATCTTTCAATCCCAGCTAAAACCTACCTCTTAGCCTGTGCCTACTACGATCACCCCACCTCCTTCATTGCTTGCCATCCACCACTCCACTGTACAGCCCTCCGAGTGAAGAGCGCTATACGAATGCAAGTTGTTATTATCCTAGAGCACCAAAACTTGTAGGAACTGGTCTCATTTCAGCATAAGCACATTGGCCAAAGAGAAGCTAGATAAGTGGGAAAAGCTGCTGGAGAATATAACAGGACTCTGCTTGGCTCGCCTCTACCCCTCCTCGAGCTGCCTTTGGTCACTTTCATTCTTTAAAAGTCTTTATATAGAGCAGCTAAATTTAGCTGAGAACGTCTGGTTTACAATGTGGAGCTGTCAGCAAGTTCAGGATGGACAACGGGGAGCTGGCAACAAAACTTTAGCTCAGTCGCAACAACATACTGTTACAAACTAGCTGCAGAGGGATGGAAAACACGGAAATAAAAAAAAAGGGCATTAAAGTTGCAATAAATGGCAACGCAGTCACCACGATGGGAATACTTCACAGTCGTTCTAAACCGTTTGGCGAGTTGAACAACCAGATTATCAGGCAAACAGTAACAACATGTCGCCAGCCAGTGACAAATATCATGGCCGTACAAGGCTGCCCCACTCTTAAGTTGGTTGATCTTAAATCAGGCTGATGCTACAACTGACCTCAACATCCTACGATTCAATGAGAGTAAGGAATTTGGATCAGAGTACATTGCCCTAGCTAGAGAATAATAACGCAGCATAGATTTGACAAGCTGAATGGCCTCCTATATTGCAATTTCTAGGATTAAGATGGTGGGATGGTAGGGGGGGAGCGGGGTGAGGGAAAGAAAATCAGACAGATTTCTTGTTCCTAATTGCTATGCAGAATCCCTGCTGGAGATGTGTGTGTATTCAAGCTGGCTCGGCGACACTAACCTTCATGGTCAAACAGCCTGATGACAGTCACCAGCAAGGCTCACCATGTAGAATGGTTATTTGTGTAAGGTGGCCACAGCATTGGCCCCAGTAAAAGGAAAACAAATCAGCTGCCCAGAGGCCATGAGAGTAGGAGGCGAGAAACAACGCCTGTTTTTCCACTTGTTGCAGTTACTAAAGTGCTTCAGGCAGAAAGCTCTTTCAACTCTCTGTGACCACGTGTTCCACCTCACTACTGGTGCAGGTACTGAGCACTGGGTATAGCTCCAGCGTGTACTGATCCCATAGCTTCCAATGAAAAATTAATGCACTGAATCCCGGCCCCATTACAATCTAATCAATAAGTTGGCAATATGTCACCTCCTCTCCTGACTGTGGCGACTCAGTAAGGTACAGTGTCACATTAACAGGAGCCATTTGGTACCCAGCCCAAGGGATCAGTCACCATGCGTCACCCCAGTCAGCAACCGTGGTTTGTTTCATGTGGTATTTCATACAAGTGTTGTCATAACAAAACTCAACTCCACCCTCACGCAACATCCTGCATTTTCCTGCAAGGTTCACTGTTGCCATTGTGGGAGAAACAGCTAATGGAGTGCAGACATACAATTAAACTTGGACTTTCTGATTTGATATGGTTCAGTAGCCAAAGGGTCTTTGTCACCAAAACCTCTCTTGTGATCACCAGAACACACAATGTGTTCACCAATCTTCGTCAGAGTGAAAAATATTTTTAAAGTACTCATTTTTTCCTGTTCCTGACGTACTCAGGGATCAGCTACTTTAGCACATGCCTGGGAACTTTCTGATTTCTGTGGCTCGGCCTCTCAGAATCTGACAAATATTTTCATGTGCTCACTTTATGTTCATGACATTGGGAATGCCTATCCATAGTTCAAAATTATTGTTGAATTATTCGTATACTGGTGACTGATCATTTGTTGCAACTTAATGCACTACGGTAAACAAGAGTCAACTGCTGATGCACCAAGTGACGTATTAAGTGACATAGTGAACACCCCTCCAAAACAGAGCAATAGGAAGCGAGTTCACACCCTCAAATCCACACAAAAATTACTAATTTTAGCTTTATTTTGGTGAGAATGAATAAAACAGAACGACAACTTGTACTTGTACTTGTACAGCGCCCTTCACCCGGGGCAGCTTCTCAGAAAGCTTAAACAAAAGTCAGCAGGAGGGTAAAATCACACAAGTCCAGATCCCCAAAAGGTCTGCTCGCCAAAATCTGGATCAGAGGTGATGTGAGGCTACGAGAGGAAACACTGCATCAATTTTATAAAAGCTTTTCCTCCTGTTCTCTCAGTTTCCTTGGCACCCACATTGCTCCGGCCTAGACCATTACATGGCCAACCCCCCCTCCCATCCCCACCGACCCATGTAAATGCCAGCCTTCCACTGATTTGACTCCCATTTGATCATATTTACTGTCCTCAATCCTACAGAAGGGTTGCTCCAACAGTACCAATCCTGATCAAGTCACCCCAAACATTGAACTACTCCTCTTCCTAATCTCAATTTACCTGCACTGCATTTCCTGTATTCAGTTTTACTTTCATTTCAACATTTGTGTTCTAGTAACACAAATACAGTTTCTACGCAGATGCAAATGCAAGAGTCAACTGCTGATAAATATGCAAATGTCCTCTGGCACAGGCCATATAAATAGGTGGCTCTTGTACAACTGGTCCCTTTTCTAATTAATGGCTTTACCATTTAATAAATTAGTGACTTGAAAATAAAAAAGGACCCGAATTCAAAACATGTAAATTTGGAAATATCTTAAACAATATGTTTAATTAGGTCAATGTTGAGCCTTAACCACCTGCTGCATCATTAAGCTTTATTTTTCTCTCTACTCGAGTGAAGTGGCACCTTTCTTTGGACAATGATCACTCGCTGGCTAACTGGCTATGAGCCAAGACAGTGAATTTTGGCAAAGCTATTGCATGAGGTGGGGCTGGGGGGGGGGGGGATGAAGAGGTAATCAAGCATGACTCTTTTCTCACGTAATATAATTAAATAAATAGAAGTAAATGTGATACATGGTACTTTCCTCATTTCCTCCTTCCGATCTCTCATTTCTAATCTCTCCATTTCATTGACAGAACTATAATCATTGCTTCTTTAGACGTTTTACTTTCAAAAGTTCTAAACACACCACCTTATTTACATGCTCTCTCTCCTTTCTGCGGCCTCTGCGCTAAAATTCTAATCGAGACTCTTGCATTGACCAAAACCAATTCATTCTTTCCCCGGATTAAAAAAAAATGACATTCCTTACCTCGCCTCTCAAGTCTTTCCTGCTTTCAAAACCCAAGCGAGGGGTCAAACTAACTTTACAATTTATCTCACTCTTTTTCAGTCTAGGTGTTGACCTGCTATTTTATAAGCAACAAGCTTTCACTGAAATTTCTCAAATAAAAACCTACACACACACACACACACACACACAACAGCTCCATAACAATAATCCGTGAATTTAATACATCACTGAAAATATCAAATCGTCTCAAAAGCACTCGACAAAGACTCTGTGAAGTGCAGTGGCTGTATTTTATTTTAAGGCGACGACAGCAGCCGGTTTATGCGCGCAGCACGGTCCCACCAACAGCCGTGAAGCGAGCGAGCGAGCGACCGACCGATTTACCTGGCCAGGAAGAGCCTGAACAAGTCAAATCAAATCAAATGAATAAAATAAATAAGACCAAAAGGCACGTGGGGCATCTCTTGCCAGACAGAACCGCAACTTCGCTGACAACTTAAATTAAGACTTAAAGCGTCTTAAAGACTACCCCCCCACCCCCCCCACACACACACACACCTCCTCCAGACAGGTTGTACTATAACAGAGCCCAGGTAGGGAGGTAGGTCGGCAAGTGGAGAGGTAGGTGCTGGCTTTAGACATTTTTTTTTAATTATTATTATTAATTATTATATAAAAAAAGAAATAAAAGGTGAGAAAGAAACGACCCCGAGTGTTGGTGGAGGTGTTGGCGCTGGGAATAGGAGCAGCTGGGAACCGCCAGGGGGAAAAACCTCACATCTTTTTGAAGGCAGGAAGGCAGGTGAGTGTGAGTGAGTGAGTGAGAGTGAGTGTGTGTGTGTGTTGAGTGTGAGTGAGTGAGTGTGTTGAGTGTGAGTGAGTGTGTTGAGTGTGAGTGAGTGTGTTGAGTGTGAGTGTGCTGTGTGGAGTCTGAGTAGAAACGGGCCCCGGGTTCGTTGTGAGTGAGTGAAGTGAGTGAGTGGAGTGAGTGAGTGAGTGAGTGAGTGGAGTGAGGGACCGAGTGAGCGTTGAGGAGAATTTGAACGGGGTTCGGGCTGCGAGCGGCCGTTGGAATCCGGTTCAAACCGACAACAACGGCGGCTTCGGCGGCAGCCGGTAACCCCCCCCCCCCCCCACCCCGCACCGCACATCCCGCTCCTCGGCGGTAAACCCCACCCCCCACCCTCACACACGCCTCCCCCCCAACCTCCCTGACCTCAGGTAACCCAGTAACCGCCGCTCTCTGAGCGGCCCTCCCGCCTCAGGACACCAACCCCCCGCCACCGACAAACCCCGGCCTGACCCGACCTCCGCTCCCCGCCCCCCCCACCCCCGGCACTCGGGCCTCCTCCGAGGTAAACCAGCGCTGAAAACTCTCCCTCCCCCCTCGGCGCCTCCCTTACCCGCCCGGGCCCCCGCCGCCGCCGCCTCCAGGCTGCGGGCCAACTCCCTCAGCTCGGCCGCCGACACTCGCACCCGCTCCAGACAGTCCGCCATCTTGTGGCGGCCCCGCACTACACTACCCACCGTGCCCCGCGCGCAGCACCGCTGACCCCAACACAGAGCACCAGCACAGCCCTGACACTGACACAGCACTGACACAGCACAGCACTGACACAGCACAGCACAGACACAGCACAGCCCTGACACAGCACAGCACTGACACTGACACAGCACTGACACAGCACAGCACAGACACAGCACTGACACAGCACAGCACTGACACTGACACAGCCCTGACACTGACACTGACACAGCACTGACACAGCACTGACACAGCACTGACACTGACACAGCACAGCACTGACACAGCACTGACACAGCACAGCACAGCCCTGACACAGCACAGCCCTGACACTGACACAGCCCTGACACAGCACAGACACAGCACAGCACTGACACAGCACTGACACAGCACAGCCCTGACACAGCACAGCACTGACACAGCACAGCCCTGACACAGCACAGCACTGACACAGCACTGACACTGACACAGCACAGCACTGACACAGCACAGCACTGACACAGCACAGCACTGACACAGCACTGACACAGCACAGCCCTGACACAGCACTGACACAGCACAGCACTGACACAGCACAGCCCTGACACTGACACAGCACTGACACAGCACAGCACTGACACAGCACAGCACTGACACAGCACAGCCCTGACACTGACACAGCACTGACACTGAACAGCACAGCACTGACACAGCACAGACACAGCACAGCACTGACACAGCACAGCACTGACACAGCCCTGACACAGCACAGCCCTGACACAGCACAGCCCTGACACAGCACAGCACTGACACAGCACAGCACTGACACAGCACAGCACTGACACAGCACAGCACTGACACTGACACAGCCCTGACACTGACACAGCACTGACACAGCACAGCCCTGACACAGACACAGCACAGCACTGACACAGACACAGCACAGCACTGACACAGTACAGACACAGCACTGACACAGCACAGCACTGACACAGACACAGCACTGACACTGACACAGCACTGACACAGCCCTGACACAGCACAGCACTGACACAGCACAGCACTGACACAGCACTGACACAGCACAGCCCTGACACTGACACAGCACTGACACTGACACAGCACTGACACTGACACAGCACTGACACTGACACAGCACTGACACAGCACAGCACTGACACAGCACAGCACTGACACTGACACAGCACAGCCCTGACACAGCACAGCACTGACACTGACACAGCACTGACACAGCACTGACACGGCACAGCACTGACACAGCACTGACACTGACACAGCACTGCACTGACACAGCACTGACACAGCACAGCACTGACACAGCACAGCCCTGACACAGCACAGCCCTGACACTGACACAGCTCAGCACAGCCCTGACACTGCCCTGACACTGACACAGCCCTGACACTGACACAGCACAGCACTGACACAGCACTGACACTGACACAGCACTGACACAGCACTGACACAGCACAGCACTGACACAGCACTGACACAGCCCTGACACTGACACAGCACAGCCCCGACACAGCAGACACAGCCCTGACACAGCACAGCCCTGACACTGACACAGCACAGCCCCGACACAGCACTGACACAGCCCTGACACAGCACTGACACAGCACAGCACTGACACAGCACAGCACTGACACAGCACAGCCCTGACACTGACACAGCACAGCACTGACACAGCACAGCCCTGACACAGCACAGCACAGACACAGCACAGCCCTGACACTGACACAGCCCTGACACAGACACAGCTCAGCACAGCCCTGACACTGACACAGCTCAGCACAGCCCTGACACTGACACAGCTCAGCACAGCCCTGACACTGACACAGCTCAGCACAGCCCTGACACTGACACAGCTCAGCACAGCCCTGACACTGACACAGCTCAGCACAGCCCTGACACAGACACAGCTCAGCACAGGACTGACACTGACACAGAACTAGCACAGCCACTAACACAGCACTTACACAGCTCAGCACTGGCACAGATACAGCTCTAGCATAACACAGACACAACCCACATTCGGTACACGTCTGGCAAAGCAAATTTTTGGGAGGTTAGCCTGATACATGCAGAAACCCATTGCAAGCCTCTTGGTGAACAAGTTAACATGAAATAGGTGAGAGCAGTGCCCACATCCTCCTGCCCACAGCCCAGACACACACCCTGCCCAATGAGCAATGGCTTCACTAGTTGGAAGTGTGGGGCTTCAACATCGGCTGTTTACCTTTCAGTATAATAATCAAGGTGCATATCAAGCCATGGGTTTATGAGAGTGTGTTCATGAACCATTCATCAGCTGTCATCCCACACTTCAGTTTCCTCATCAGTTCTTTGTTAGCCTTTAATATGACACAAAGATCTATTCAGGAAAAACACATGACATGCCAGGTACCTTAAAGTTCTAGAGGTACAAGTCCCATGCTGTGTACCATGTTTACTCAACACTAACTGCTTGATCTAGGTCCTCATGTGACAGGCCTTGGCAGAGGGATGTGCCCGCAGTGAAGCTGACTCCAACTTCAGCATGCTCAACCCACAGCCCTCCCTCCCTGGATACTTTTCTCTGCTTCACAGCATAATGCTTCCTTCAGGCCCCAAGGACACCATCATGGGTCTGTTGGGGAGTATAGGACCTGTCGAACACTGGCAACAGCCCAGAGGGGGCCAATGAGATGAGACTAGCCATGGTCGATGAGACTAGCCAGCGAAAAGTTTGAAAACATGTAGTTTTGATTACTTTTCAAGTGATCACACTTCATTTCCCTAATGTCTTCCTTAGCCTCAAACTGTGCTTGGTTGTAAACTACCTTTCAGCAATGCTGGCTTGCCCCAGGGGAGCTGTCTAATAACACTTTAAAGGCCCTCTGCTTTTATCTAATAGCTTTCCTTCGCTTTGCATTTACTTTTGACAGGTTTCTGCTTTGTGGATGATTGGCTGAAGACTAGCATCAGTTTGCTTACAACCAAAGATGTAGATCCAAAAGACATTGGCTACATATTCTGTTGTCGAGTCTATGCTTTCAGCCATCACACACTCACTCCCTACCTTCCCGAGTTTTCCTGTACATTGTTAGAGATGACAAGTGTGCTTCACTCTGCATCTAACCTACATAACAGGTCGTCAACACAGACACTGGAGCCTAAAAAGTGAATCATTATCCCATCTGAAAATGGAATTAAGGAACACGGAGGCGAATTAAAAGATAATAAACAGGAAAATATGACACTGGGACTTATCTGTTCACACACTACTTACTATTTGCTCCCATGAAACATCAGCCACATTTGCTCCAGTATCACAACTCATGAGCTGCTGGATATAATAATAATTCTTGCATTCTTGCATTTGATATAGCGCTTTTTCACGTCTTCTCGACGTCTCAAAGCGCTTCATAGAATAGACTGTAAAGTGTATTGACCGTAAATTTGTGGGCGAAACGCAGCAGCCAATTGCACACAGCAGCATCATGGATTGAAAATGACCAATTTATTATTGTTTTGGAGGGATTATTATTAGGCGTGTGGAGTAAGGAAACTTGCCCAAGGTTTCGCCCTGACCTGCCTGGAATTGAACCCAGGTGTCTCACTTGCAAGGCGAGTGCTTTAACCACTGAGCTACAGGACTCCACAAATATGCTGCTTTTACTATGACCTACGTAGGTGAAATTTTAAGGCACAGCTTCTCTTGTGCTCATGAAGGGAAGGAATTTCCAGACTGACACTTTATCTTGGCATTTCAGAGCACTGAAAAATTTGGCAAATCCCTTAAAATTCAGTCACAATTTTGAAAACAGTTTTCTATAAGCTGTTTTAAGATCTTAAAATTAAGATTGCATTGAATCCCAATGTTTCACTAATTGACATGAACAAAACTGTTCTTTGGCATCCAACAGGATAAATCGTCAAACCTCCTGTGCCAGAGCTTTTCTGTGGAAAACCAGGCCTCGAAGTTTGGGCTGAGACACACCTACTCATAGTATTTATCTGATCAAGTTGTTGATCTTTCTCCTCCCCTACCCCCACATATTTTGCATCCAGAAATACCAGGACACGGACCCATATAACACTGGGCTTGTCTTGTCTGAAGTTACCCCCAAGTTTCTCTGTGCAATAGAACCCTGACATTTCAAATAGCGTTACGCTCGCTATGCTCTCTGTACATACTGGGTCTCCGAGTGAGATGGGCAATCAGTGGCTTCTCTAGGCTCTGGATTGGATATTGTTACCAATTCACACACAGCGAAGATTACTTCCCACGTTCACTCAAGAAAGAAGTAGACTCATTCTGGTCTCTGCTCAATCTGACAATGTACAAGGACTGAATATAGCGCAACATCTGTGCGTCAAGACACAATTTATTTTGTCACGAAGTTCACAGCAGGGAATGTTCCATTTCTGAAACCTAGATTCCAGTCGAGTGTCAAATGCGGACTAGGATTTGGAACAGGATGTAACAGTCCCCATGAAATATGCCCGGAAAGGGCTCCTTGCAGGTTAAGATTATATAACCACCCCCCCACACCACATTGGAAAGTCTTTTATCTCAGCCAATCACGTGGGGTAAAGAGGGAAATAACTGAGCAGAGACTGGTTGTAGCTATAAGGAGGGTGGATCTGGGCAAAATCTTCACCATGTGCTTATCTTCTGCAGCAGATCTACACTGGAAAAAGGAGAAGTCATCCACTGACCTGCCTGATCCAATCACATCACTGTGGTGGGGAGCTAAAGGTTAGGGTAGGAGAATAATCAGATACATTTTATTGTAATGAGACACAAAATGAAGTTGCAAAACAAACCACAAACCATCAGAATTGGACTAATTGGGCTGAAGGGTCTGCTTGCATACGGTTTCACTCTATGTGACTGCTGTAAGAGATTCTTATATAAGTAATGGCATTATTGACTACCAATGGGTGCTACTATGCTTTGTAATAAGGTAGCCAGTCACCTTTTGCAGTATCGTGCCAGTACTGTATAAAAGAATCTATTTTAAATTCAAAGTCAAGTCTCAAGGCATTGATTCTTTCATTTAATCCACCAAAGTGAATAGGTGGAACTCTGTAGAAACTCTGCATGTAACATGCAAGAAACCAAAGTCACTGAAATGTAGATGGCACACTGATTCAGAAATCCATTTCCACACTCTAATCTATATCAATTTCCGCTGCATTTATAATGGATTCGTTCTTCTCCCAAGGCACTGGATTTGGAACGTATGGATCGTACACCCACTTTGGGAAAACCCTTTTGTATAAGTTCATCAGAACGGTGTCCTGGGATTTGAGTTGTCCATCAAACAAGCATTTCATATGTCCGTGGGTACCTGAAACAATGCAGACGTGTTAGATTGAAGAACCAGATTAACATAGAACTGTACAACAGCAACCAATCAATAAAAAAATAATAATTTGGTCACTCAATCCACAACAGTTTGTGGGACACTGCTGTTCGCTATTAGCTGCTGTGTTTTGCCCACAAAATATACAGCCAATTCACTTTACAGTACATTTTGTGAAATGGTTTGATACGTCTAACTCACTATATTAAGTGAAAGGATTATTATTAATTTGCCTTAAACTTTTAGATTCACGTAGAATTGGGGGGAAATTCTTTAAAAAGTCTCAACTTGGAAGCTGGTTTTCCACAGCCCTTTACGCACCTCTGCCCAATCTCCGACAAAAGGGCTGAGCAACACCACAACTGTCAATGGGGTTTAATCGGGCGTTCCTTACCTAGAGACTCCTTGATATGTCCTCTGCGACCCCATTTAGTTCGAAGTTCCACTGGTTTGAACCACAGGACATCCTCTGCAAAAGGGAATAAAGAGTCTGATTATTGAAAAGTAAAATGGGTTCATCAAATGGAACAATAGATACCTGTGTGCAGGGTGCACTTGCCAATGGGCATTCAGGGTATTCCCCTGGTGTGTGGCCAGGGAAGAAGGGTTAGTGCTAAGTTCCATCATTGCATTTTCCTTGCATGTTATGCTGGGCTTCATGCCTAAGCTTTGGCAATGAAAACAAACCTGATTCCTCTCACTTGCAAGTCGAGTGTGTGAACCACTACATTACAGGACTCCACAAGTTTCTGGCTTCCAAGCAATACTCTCCAATTTACCATCTACAAAGTGTACTCCCATATAGCAAGATGCTAGCACACATCAGTTAAAGAGAAGCACCAGCACCACATTGGAACTAGGGCCACTATATTTTGCGGGGTTGAGGGTGCAACTTGAAGAAAGAAATAACATTCTTTCAACATGCAAACATTTCTACTCATACAAGAAACAATTCAGAGAAAAACCATGAAAAACCTGAGTAAAGTTTACAGCTAATAGCAATGTAGGAGCCAAGTAAATTCAGCACTCAACACTTTATGCAGATAAAAAACTTCTTGCCTCAAACCCGCAAACACTTCAGTTTATTGTGAAATACTCTGGGAAAGGGAATGCCCTGCATTCTTTGGGTGCAGTTGACGTCGCTCTTCCTTGCTCTCACCTCGGTTAAAGAACATGTATCTGACCACAGAGGTTTTCTTCATGATCTTGAAGGGATGGCCACTCAGGACAATTCTCTTCACGATGATTCTGTCAGGATCCACACTCAGCAGGGAGCCCGTTGCTACCAAATCTTGCATGCCTGTGGTTAACAGAACAGACGTGCTATTACACACACGCAAAACACAGGCACTTTGGTCCCGCTCTCTGACACTCAAAATTCATTCCTATCTCCTGACGTGAAAGGCGCTTTATAAATGGAATCTTGTTGTTGTTGTTGTCTATCGTCTTTCAAAGCCTTTTCAAAACCCGGCTCTGTACAAAGTATAGCTTGAGTTACTTTTGTTGATTGTAGCAATGCCACTATTCTACTTCATAAAGTTCATCAAAGTGTTTATTTTACACAAAAGCCCCAAATAAATGCAAATTATTATTATTACTACTACTACTACACACATGTGCAATCTGCAGACAAATGTGGGCAACAGAGATATTGTAGCACATGTGAAATTGGACAATACTTGTCCTATGGCTACCATCTGGTCCTTTTTCTGTACTTATACATTTCCATTTTGGTCTGATGCAAGACATTTTTTCTGGACAAATTATTGGTCATCCTGCTTGACACCCACCCACCCACATGGCAGCTTTCACAGATGCCTCCTCCCACAACTCACATAAAAATAAGCAGTAGCACCCAGCTCACCACTCACAGCAATACTTTCTTACAAGACCCAAGTGCAAAGACTACGTACCATTGACTCGGGATTTGAACATCAGCACGGAGGCAGAGGGGAAGGTGATCGGAGCGTACACAGTTGCCACGATACTGGAGTTTGGGGGGAAAAACCTCTCATACTTGAACTTATAAGCTAAAGAGGCAAAAGAGAAAGCCGTGAAATAGCGACAAATATTTTGGTGTAAAAATAAATAAGCAAGAGGTGGATCAGACAAGTAACAAGCATTTCTTGACAATGTAATAGCACAGCTAGCCATTTTCCTCACTCTACAAGGGCTGTGACACTCCAGTCACATTATCACCCTTCTGCTTTGAAAACAATAAAGGCGTTTCTCCCAGTGTCCTGCCCCCAGATATAATTAGTTATTTACTTCACGACTGATTGGCTATATGTGGGTCTTTTCTGTGCACAAATTGGCTGCCGCATTCAGCTGCCAATGTTACACTTTACAGTAAATCCAGTGAAGCACTTTGAGTCAAGCACTTGATGACATGATAAGGCGCTACATCAAATGTAAGGATTATTATTAAACTATCCCTTACTTTGGGCGCACAAGACAGCAATTACAGATGTCTCAATAATTACATGGACCTTGTCTCAATGATTATAATGCTATATTAGATGACAAAAGAAAGCTGTCTGCTGTCTAAACATCTAACAAGCAGCACTAAATTCAGTAGCACAGCAGAAGCCACTGGATAAAACAATGGCAAGAATCATTCACAGCCAAATACCACCACCTATTGGGATAACATAGAATGGCAATGTGAGTTCCCAATTCTTGTAAACCACTGTCATAACAACAAATTTAGATTTCACGTCGGAAGGACATCCCAAGGCGCTGGACAGTCAAGGACTTGCACCCGAGGTGGAGTTTAGGATCAGTTGGGGTGTAGGGCAACCAAAGGCACAGTCAAAGAGCAGGGTCTTGGGACCTTGAAGGAGGCAATGGAGCAAAGCTGATATGGATCCTGCTTCAACCACTCCACTAGGAAGGACATTCCACATCCTAACAACTCTGTGAAAAAAATCCTCTTAATCTCCCCCTTGTATGCAGCAATGTTTACATACCACACACAAAAATGTTTTACTCCCATTTCCACAGCAACAGAACCTCATCAACATACAACCACAGTAACGTGAAAGCAGTTAATATTCTCAACGGCACCCAAGCACACTGACCATGGCAGGACATCACACTGACCTGAGGAGTGTTGTGAATAGAGAGGTGGGGCCCGGAACCTCCTGTAGCCACAGTGAAAGATCACCTCTTCTTTGGATTGGATGGGTTCAGTGCAGCTTGGGTGTCTCCTGAGCAAGAAATTGATGACCGACATCTAATATTAACAGAGAAAAGCAACTAGTTACATTAAAGCGACCGAAATCCACACATTTATCACAGCATTAGTGGTCGGCAGGATCGATAAAGAACCAAGTGAAATTGACAACTGTCTCCTTTGATTTTAACTGATATATCAACAAGCCAAGATATTAACATGGACCCCAGTTGTAACCCGATCTCTCTATTTACTTAGTGTTTAGAGCAATCGCCTCGCAAACAAGAATACCTGGGTTCAATTCACGGGCAGGTTGAAACATTGAGTTTCCTCACTCCACACACCTCTGTTTAGCTAGCAGTAAGTAGGAACCCAATTGTTAGTCAATTGGTGGATCGCTATTCCAGGATTAATAATCTCTTAAAAAAAATACTAATAATAATTTGGACACTTAATCCACGACTGTTTGTGGGACGCTGCTGTGCACAATTGGCTGCTGGGTTTCGCCCACAAAACATAGTCAATTCAATTTATAGAATATTCTGTGAAGCGCATTGAGACGTCTCGAAGATGTGATAAGACACTATATCAAATGCAAGCATTATTATTATTATTTCAGTACCTTCTGCTCATGCGGGAGCATGGTGAAGAGGACTATGGGCAGCTCAGGTTTGAAACTCTCCATCACAGAGATCGGCACATTGCAGACATGAACCGTCACGTACCAGCCAACCTAGGGGTGGGGATTTAAAGACATACAACGCTTCATTTCTAAAGACCAAGACATCAGAATTTGCGTTTCTTATCCCATTGCTGGACAATCAAAGAGATATTTGGGGAGGATATGCATTAGTGTTTTACAGAGTTCAAACCAGGGAACAGACAGGAAGGGATCACTAAACCTGAGTGTTGGAGCCTGATTTGCAAACTGGATTCAGCAAATCTATTACAACTGCTGTTTGCTCCGAATTAAAAGTTGTTCACTTGTGAGACTAACAAAGCTGCTAATTGTGAATCTCAAATGGCATTATGGCTTGAGTAAACGCTGCAGAGCTCCTACAGCAGAAATCTGGTAGAACAATTTACACTTCTATAGCATAAAGCAGCATTAACATTGTAGTCCAGATTAGGAGAGGAATATATGGATGATTACTGTATATATAGTGATGCAGTACATGTGTATCAAAGGGTTCAAAAGATATCGCTAGGTTGTGCGATGATCCACTCGTTAGAAAACGTAACTTGGAACAGTTAGAACTTTGAGAATAAACAAGTTACCATGGCCCCGTCTTCCTCTTCCGTGATCTCGTTGAAGACTCGCTTTCTCGTTCTGGCAAAATTCTGGAACTGGAAAATCCTGGCATAATCTCTTGGCAGGTTCTCTTTGGGGTCCCAAGGGGATGTGCGAAAACTCTTCAGACCCCGGTACTTCTGAAACCTGTAGCATTTCCCGGAGATCAGACACCAATACATTAGGGCGGAGCAAAACACCACATTTTCTTTTCCTGTCCCCTCTATTGCTGGATTCTCCTCTCCTCCCAACCTGGTGTTCTGGCCAACAATTTCTCAGATAAACTGGTCATTTACTTAATGGCTCTTTGTGGGTCACTGCACGGATTGTTCTAACCTCTCTGAAGGCAAAAACTTAGAGTCCAGAGGTCCTATTTGCAAACTAAATGACTATTTGTGCTTTGCTAGGTTTCTCTCCAAGACTACACATACACATAACAAAGCTTCCCATGTTAATAATAATCACGTTGTTGAGACATCTCAAAGCGCTTCACAGAATACACTGTAAAGTGGATTGACTATTTCTGTGGCCATCCTGTGTTTCTCAAGACACAGACCATTCCCCAACGTACCTGACACGTGCAGCAACATCCTTGGGAGTGTCCATCTCGTCAGGAAACATTTCCTCCATTCGCTCCTGCTTGTACTTCTCCAGCATTTTCCTCTCCTCCTCGTCGTCGATCTTCTCATCGTAATTATCATCGCGTACGCTCTCACCAACAGTCATTGTTTCACATTCATCATCAGCCTCCTCCTCGTCCCCACTCTCATCACTATCCTAGAGATACATTAGTAAAACATTTACAGGGGTCACATTTCAGGTTCAAGTGATGTGTTCTTTCTTATACAGCCAATATCGGCATGCGTTAAGAGGTAAATCCTAGTACACTGCCCTCGAGTTTTCCCAGGTCAGCTGCACCAGTAAGATACAGAGTAAAGCTTGCTTTATGCTGTCGGCACAGCACAATACGGTAACAGTAAAAGGCATCCCAACAGCAGGTCGCTCTTGCATGCAATGAGATTAGTGAAACAATTCCACTAACAAAAGAGTAATGTTTTAATAGCTACATGCATGCTGTGAGAGCACAATGTAGAGATGAAAGAATCTGCAGGCTGATCCCTCCCTGGTATATCCTCAAGGTGCGCTTGCTTACCTGTGGTTCTTCTATCAGGTTTTCCTCCTCCATATCCTCATCACTCTCCTCATCCTCGTCCACCTCCTCTCCGTCATCCAGAATCCACGCAGCCTGGTAATCGGACGTGCCCTTTGGTACTTTTCGAACAATCTTCTTGGTTTCCTTTATAGCTTCTGAGAAAAGTACAGCAAGCAGACAGAGCACAACACTTAGGTCATATTGATGAGCCAGCCAAGCAGAATATCAACCTAGCACACATGCTCTGCCCTATCATAGGTTGGGTGTTATAACACTAATAATTCTTGCATTTGATATAGTGCCTTATCACGACTTCTAGACGTCTTCAAAGCACTTCATGGAATATACTGTAAAGTGAAGTGACTGTATAATAATCCTTGTATTTGATATAGCGCTTTTCACGTCGGGAGGACGTCCCAAAGCGCTTCACAGAACACACTGTAAAGTGAATTGACTGTATATTTCTGGGCGAACGTACCCAGAGGAAAGCAATAATATCAGAAAGGATGGGGAGGAGCGGAAAAATAACAAGAGGCATTGACAGCAGTAGCTCAACACACGCCAGTGCCCTCGGACATTCACTTTTGTATGTGCAGTTTCTGACTAAAGTGATGAGTTAGTGTTCGACCAGACACCTTGTTTATCAGAACTGCAATTATTTGCCGATTGTGAACATGTGCTGTGAGTGAGGTTTTGTACGTACTGCAATGTCAGGAACAATAAAACCAGGAGTCTGGTGCTTTGAGACTCAGTGTCCACAGACCCCACCCCCCCAAAGGGATTGTAATTCCTCGGCTGAGACCCACCCTCGGCTTCTTGCAGCTCTTCCTCTGTCGGCCACGTCTGCTCTCCCTCCATCGGGTCAGGAACCACCTCGGACTCCAGAGATTCCTGTTTGCTGGGATCTGCCTTCATCAGCACTTTCACATCCTCTTCCATCTCAGCACTGACATCCTGAACAACAAAGACACTTCAATACTTAGAAGGCAAGAGTGAGGGGATAGACCAGTCAACCCATTCCTTGATCCAAGGCACAAAATGCCATCAAGTCTTAGCTGTAAGAACGTTTTGTCTTAAAATTTAAGATGGTTTGGATACTCTCAATTGTATTGTGATGGGTTTTTTTTACAATTAAAACATCAATTCCAATGATTACATTCCCTTTAACCACGTTGAGGGTTACAAAAGCCCCGTCAGTACAATTCACAGGAATGATCTCGTACTTACATTCATCTCAGCATCCGCTCCTTTCTGTACGTGGTTCGGGGCAGTCCTCGTGTTCAGAGGGATAGGGTCAGGAGGGGCATCGATCTGACACATCTGGAAGTCACCGTGTCCAACGATATGGATCAGTCTGTTCACGTTGAGGGTCTGACCCCTGACATAACCAGACACCTTCAGGGTCCCCACGAGCCCACTGGGGTCGCTGGGTTCGAATGCCGCCCGCTGAGCCAGCAGATAGGCCCGCCTGTCCCGGAAGACCACATGTCGGTGTTTCTGCATGGCCACATGTCTCATCACGCTGAGAGCTTCCTGCTCAGTGTCCAGGTTGAAGAGTTTGGCATCCAGGAAACGCTTCTCCAGTAACTTGCTCAGATTCTTCCTGGCGTCTGTTCGCTTCTTCATGGGAAGGTCATTAATTCCCTGAACTACGAACACTGCAGAGTAATTGCCCGGTGTTAATAATAATAATAATAACCATTGCCTTTGATATCGACCTTATCACGTCGCTGAGACGTCTCGAAGCATTTCCACAGAACATACTATAAAGTGGATTGACTGTATTTTATGGGCGAAACACAGCAGTGTCCCATAAACAGTCGTGGACTGAGTGTCCAAATTATTATTATTTTTGGGGGGTGGATTATTAACACAAACATACACATACCATGGTTGGGGAGACCCTGTGCAAAGATGCAGGAGAGACTGTAGTCACCGTAGCTGTCCCATCCCTCATAAGGATCAACGACAAACATCAAGGTGTCCGCCACTTTGGCAATATCGAGTATTGCGTGGATATCCCCTGAAGGAACAGAAAGGAGAATTGAATATCTGAGTACCAATGTTCAAACTATCCTTGTGAGAGAGATGGACATTTCAATATGTTTTGTAAGCACTCATGGAAAAGCAGATCCCAGATTTATAGCATTGTGGTTATGGTGCCTAGCCAAGTGGCAGGAACAGAGCAGCTTAAGGTTCAAGCAAACCTGAAGATACAGAGCATCTCTAACAAAGCAAAGAAGCAGTAAAGAACATAATACCAACACTCGCAACCATGGTTCCTAATGGCTCAGTGAGAAAATGTACTTCGTGGCATGGTATTAAGCCACACAGAACAAGGCACTGGGTTCATATCCCTGTCTATGCTGAAGTAGTTGAACTCAGCTAAGCAGCTGAGATGATCACTGGCTTTTAAGTGTCCCAGAATAAGCTAGTCAAGAGAATGGAAGAGAAAGAGAAATGTTAACCAGAGTTCTTGCTGCTGCAAGTGCATCAGGTGCCCTGTTGACTCGCTCACTCATTCACCTGGATTTGCACGGACAAAGTAGAACCTCTGTTTGAACCTCGGGAAGACAAGGCCAAAGCACTGACTGTCCTGATCGCTCTGATGTACTCTTGCTGTCTCATCGCTCTGTATCAGCTTCAGGACATTCTGGACACTGATGCCAGCGTGCAACAATACCACAGCCACAAGGTGAGGAGGCCCATCCTTGCTCCCAAGGGATCTCTTCTCTGAGAGCATCTAGAAAACAGAAGAAATGCCAAACTATTCAACTATTCCCTCTATAATTGGTACTTATGTTTAAAATCTAATTTTAATAAGTATTTTCTTTCGCAGTATCCTATCTCATGGAACCTCTCTCTCCTCCCCATCCCTCCCTGCTCAGGTGCCCATCTAGCCCTGACAAACACGTTGAGATGGTCTCCTGATGTGAAGGGTGCTATATAAATGTAAACTATATTGTGGATTGTATTGTACCCATCAGCCAAAAATCTTCTTTTCCCAATACCCAGGAGAGTCTAAAGCACAACCCAAGGCGACTTGTGATCCATTCTTCTCAATTCTCTGTAGCACAATACCTGTTTTCTACCTTCCCAGTGAGGAGCAGTGAAGATCTCAAGAACTGCAAGTTCAAATGCCCCTTTCTACCACTGTGGCTTGTACCACTGCACAATCCTGATCTGTGATCCCAGACTCACTCTAACATTGAGCCCCACTTAACATACTGGTGTCAACTCTGAATTACGGGGCGACCCACACAGAGAGCTGCGTGCCCTTACGCTGAAACTAATTACTGCACAGCAAAGCTGCCTGCTGTTCAGACAGATTTACTGAGTACTCACTGCCTCTTTCTTGTTCCGCCGGATCTGAATCGCTCTATGCCTCCGGTCCTGCTTCTTCAGGGCTTTCCGATGCTTCTTAGAAATCACTTTAGCAGAAACCCTCCCTGCAAAGTAAAGCATGTGGGTTTTCAGTAACAGTACGGAGAAGTCGCAACGAAACACGGAGACTACAATCTAACAGCTATCTCTCACAGCTTTTATAGAAAAGCACTGGAGATAACACGGCCCTTCCAGGACTGCATTAATAATAATAATAAAGCATGATATAGCACGTCATCACGTGGTTGAGACGTCTCAAAGCGCTTCATAAGATATACTATAAAATGGACTGACGGTGCATTCTGTGGGTGAACAACGTCCCACAAAACAGCAATACCGTATAATAATAATAACAACAGTAATGTATCTGGGGAAAGAACGGGGGAGTTGGGAGAGCTCTTCCAAAGAGCCGGCACAGGCGCGATGGGTCGAATGGCCTCCCTGCACCACCACGACAACAACGACGACAACAACGACGACGATGATAATCCTCGCACTTGACGTCGCGCCTCATCACGTCTTCCGAGACGCCCCTCGGGGCGCTTCACGGGGAACGCGCGGCGACCGTGGAGCTTCGGGGGCCGAACGCGGCGGCGGCGGCGTTCCCCCCGGTCACCGTGATGCCACCGAGACCTCCCGACTCCAGAGCAGAGACCACCGGTGGAGGTGCCCGAGCTGTGGCCGGAGACCACGTGCCGCTCCCAGGCACCGGCTCGGTCACGTGCTCCAACCGCCACCACCGGCTCGGTCACGTGCTCCAACCGCCACCGCCGGCTCGAGCTCACGGTGGGTCCCGATTCCCCGGGCCACCGTTCGCCGCCGCCTCCTCCTCCTCTCCCGGTACCTTACCCTTGTTCTCCCGCTCCAGCTCGCCCTTGGTGCGGTGCCTGCCCGCCTTGTGCGACTTGTTCTGCTGTTTGAAGGCGCCCGCCCTGTGCGGCGGGTCCGCTCCGCCGGCCGCCATCTTAACAAGGAGGCGCTCAGGCCGGGCAAGAGCGCACGGCGCGCTGCTCTCTGGGATCCTGGAGGACCTGATGGGAGCGAGCGAGCGAGCGGGCGGGCGCACGAAGCTGAAACAATCGTCCGGTTAATTACCTGTTTTGTGAGCCTCAGGAACATGAAAAAAAATCGGTCGAGAGGCATTTTTAAATTTCAATTGCTTTTCATCTCCATCCAACAGCCAATGTCATCCATTGGGATATAAAACCTGATTTATTCTGATGGCCACTCCCAAAATAAGACCGGCTCCTCCGCCTAAATAATAATCCTTGCATTTGATGTCGCGCCTTATAATAATAATAATCCTCGCATTTGATATAGCGCTTTTCACGTCGGGAGGACGTCCCAAAGCGCTTCACAGAACACACTGTAAAGTGAATTGACTGTATATTTGTGGGTGAACGCGGCGGCCAATTGCGCACAGCAATGTCCTACAGACAGTCGTAGATTGAAAATGACCAATTTATTATTGTTTTTTGGGGGTTTTGGAGGATTATTATTAGGCGTCTTATCGCGTCTTCCGAGACGTCTCCAAGCGCTATGCGGGACACACTGCAAAGCGTAGTGACTGTATCTTTTGTGTATGGGTGAAATGCAGCAGCCGATTGCGCCCGGCAGGATTGAGTGGCCAAATTTATCTTTATTGAAGGGTTTATTGTCCCCGGACAAGCGATCCGCCAATCAACTAACAACCGGGTTCCTACTTACTGCTTGGGAAGCAGAGGCGCGTGGAGTAAGGAAACTTACCCAACGTTTAGCTCTGCCTGAAAATCGAACCCTGGTCCTCTCGCTTGTGAGCCGAGGGCTCTAACCACTAAACTACAGTGGATTCCCAATTGTCATTACTATGATTATAAGGAGAGGAAATAGGAAGGGCCAAGCAAGTTAAATCGCAAGATTCTGCGAAATTCTACAAGTTGGCACATACTGTTGATTTTCAAACCCCCACACAAAAAAAACCCCAAAACAACGAAAAAAAAGCGAAGAACAGCAGCTATTCTTCTTGGACGTGGAGTCCTGTAGCTCAGTGGTTAGAGCACTCGCTTTGCAAGTGAGAGACCTGAGTTCAATCCCCGGCAGAGGGCGAAACCTTGGGCAAGTTTCCTTACTCCACACAGAGCCTAATAATAGTCCTCCAAAACCAAAAACAATAATAAATTGGTCATTTTCAATCTACGACTGTTTGTGGGACATTGCTGTGCGCAATTGGCTGCCGCGTTCGCCCACAAATATACAGTCAATTGACTTTACAGTGTGTTCTGTGAAACGCTTTGGGACGTCCTCCCGACATGAAAAGCACTATATCAAATTATTATCATAAAAAGACTATGGGTTGAAACTCAATGATAAAATCCAATTTGTATGCACTTACCAAAAGCGCCCACTGGAGGGCAGACGTGTATCAGAAACAGACTGGAAGATAAAGCCATTACAGGAGTCACAATAGCCCACAAATATACAGTCACTTCACTTTACGGTGTATCCTGCGAAGCGCTTGGAGACGTCTCGAAAACATGATATCAAATGCAAGGATTATTATTATTGATAAAAAATCTATGACACCGTAATATCTGGAGGTGCCGTCACGTATAGTGTGAGTGTGTTTGCAGGTGAAGGCAGCAACCAATTTGCACCCAGTGAGGTCCCACAAGGGTGGTCTCCTCGGAGCTGAACTTGCTCCGACGTGACTTGCCTGGCAACGGAATCGAGCCCACCCTCTGTGACGGGGTCCAGTCATGTTCGTGAACCAGGCAGGTTATACCAGGGCACTCACTGCTGATGACAGCACAGGGCTCATCGGCAGGACCTGGAAGGGCAGACCAGTCACTGGGGGCAGGGAGTCATCCCCCTCAGCTCCTGTTAACCCTGCAGCCAAAGCCCTACCGGGTAAGTGGTCCCAACTGGACAAGCAGTGGGAAAGCTCAAATGAGGATCTTTTCGTTCATAAATTTAAATCGATTCCTTTTATTTTCTTGTAATAAATCACATGCTACACGCTCAACGCGTCCTCAGACATTCTTCACTTTCCGGCTGGTGAAGAGTTTCATCTCGGATTCCGACTGTTCGATATTGCCAGGATTCTGACCGACGTGAAGTCTGGTATCTCGGAGCTGCCTTCGCTGCTCTCCCTGTCAGGATGAACTGGAAAATCCTTTACGACAAGGTGTGGACTCCGAGAGAACCTCGTGGACTGCCCATCATATCACAGGTATTAAAAGAACGAAAAATAAAGTGACAGTCCTCACAGTCTCAAGGTCTTCCTCTTCGACCGTGCCTTCGGTCACCCTCCTACCCCTGCCCTCCCGATCCCAACCTCCAGCTCGGGTGCAAATCCTCTCGATGTGAAAGGCGCTGTGGAAAAGTCATTTGATGTTGTTTTAACCTCCTACCTGATGACCCTGATTAAAGCTGCACTTGTTTGATGTGAAGGTTGTGCACCTGCTGCACTGCCCTTCGAGTTCCGTCTTGACTTCCCCCAATTCTCTGTTTAACCTGTACAGATATTACACACAGTTCATATGCCAAAAAGTACACCGGGTCCAGCCCAGACACCTCCAATCCACAGTCAATCTCTTTGAGGCCACAGCTTGGTGGGCGGTGAATGATCAGCCAAAACAATCAACACGCGGCGGCTCCAGCCTGCAGTAACTTCACACGCAACGGCCAAGTAGATATTCTTCCCAGCTCGGCCTTTTCCTCAGGTCTTTCAGGAGACGGTGGCCGTTGCTGGTCAGACCGAATCCAACCATTCCGTAACGTAGCTGTTCTGTACACACGGGACGTGTGGCATGTTCCTGGCCACGGGCACCAACACGCTGGGCTGCGCCTGCGGAGCGTGTGGTTCCAGACAATCTTCCACCTGGATGTAGTCCTGTCAGAGAAAGATGAGGGTTTACTCAGTGTTGCCTCACTCCCCCTTTTTACTTACACTCCACTTTAACTCTTTCCCATCCGCAGGGCTATGGTTGCAGGGAGCTCACCCGAGAGGCTACAGTCACTTCACTTTATAGTCTATCCCGTGAGCGCTTGGAGACGTCTCAACAATGTGATAAAGTGCTACATCAAATACACGGATTATTAGTATTATTATTAATATTATTTGGGGAGTGACGGGTACGGATTCAGACTGCAACCTGGTTACACAGCAACTTGTCTTACCAGAGCAGTATCACATCTACATCTTGTTGTCTCTCCTATCTTCCTGCGATGTACCCACCCATCACTTTCCCACTACAGTGCCAGGGTTAAAGAGTGGCTTAAATCAATCAATATGTAATTGTGTGTTTGCAGTCGTTGCCGGTGGTCACTCACTGCATCGTTTTCCACCAGATCCTCAAGGTACTTAATAATGTCACTGAACAGCGGTCTCTCCTCATAGGCCTGACTCCAGCAGAACTGCATCACCTCGTAACTGTGCGGAGAGAGACAGGGCTTAGCGCGTCTCACACCGCCATCACCCCAGGACTTTACCAGGGCTCTTCAACCGTGCACATCAAGGTACTGTGTACCTGCGCACGCCAACCCCTGTGTCTGTGCCGCGGAGAGATGGCCCATCGGGATCACTGTGACTATTCTCTGTCGAGACTCGTAGCTCAGTGGTTAGTTAGAGCCCTCTCCTCGCAAGCGAGAGGACCCGGGTTCGATTCCTGGTGGGGGCGAAACCTTAGCCACGTTTCCTTACTCCATGCACACACCACGTCTCTGTTTACCCAGCAGTAATAGGAACCCGTTGTTAGTCGATTGGAATACCGTTTTCCGGGGGTAATAATCCCTCTAAAAAAATCACTCGATCCGCGGCTGTTTGTGGGGACGCTGCTGTGCACAATCGGCTGCTGGTTTCACCCACAAGACACACAGTCACTACACTTTACAGTATATTCTGCAAAGCGCTTTGAGACGTCTCAACGACGTGATAAGGCGCTGTATCAAATGCAAGCAATAATATTAAAATATAATTATTATTATATGCAGCGATATCACCAGTGATGTGATTGCTGACGTCCCGATGGGGAAGGAGTGACCAGCGACTGTGCCCTGTTATAAGGCTGTTTGGGATTTTACAGCCCCCACCCCCCACCGCCCCACAAATGCTGTGTTACAACCAGCGTCCAGTGTAGAGGAGAATATACATACATTTCATTCCTGCATTGCCTTGGCTTCTTCATCTTATACCCGGAGCACACGTTTAAAATCACCTCGTCTGCGGTCTCAAACTCAGGGTACGGGGAGCTTCCTGGGATGAAAGAAGGAACCACACAGACTGCTCAGGACATGAGAGGCACCATTTCACCCCAGAGCAAAGCTCCCTCTACACTGTGCGTCCGTCCACACTCCCAGGTCAGCTACAGCCTGGTATGTCTCTTTCCGCCTAGCGTTGATCGAGAAGATTCCACATCAGTGTTGTGCTGCGGACACCGTGTTCCCCCCCCCCCCCCGTCAACAACAACAACAAGATTTCATTTATAGAGCGCCTTTCATGTCGGGAGGACATCCCAAGACGCTGGACAGGACCCGAGCCTTGGGGGGAAATGGTCAGGGTGAGGAGAGGGGAGGGAGGGAGCGAAGAGGGGGTAGAGAGAAGAGAGGGGAGCTGAAGGCTGAAGGTCAAAGAGAAAGGTCTTGATTCCGGCCTTGAAGGAGGAAAGGGAGGAAGCGGCGAAGGCACTGGGGGATGGAGTTCCAGAGCCCCCCCCTGTCCTGTCTCTGCTCCAGAACGCTCGTCCTGGTCCTTACCCAATGTTTCCATCTCGTAGAGCAGGATTCCAAAGGCCCAGATGTCGCTCTGCAGTGTGTAGATCCCGTCGGTGAAATACTCCGGTGGGTACCAGCGGAACGGAATCCCTGCCGGCTGCACACGGAAGTCACGCTTACACACAGTCACTTTGCGCCGCCTTAACTCTATTACGCACTTTGGGACGTCCTCCCGACCCGAAAGGCGCGTCATGTATTGTATTGTGTTGTATTGTAACTGAACCCAACGCTCTCCGCCTGCAGTAACTGTCATTGTGCTCAGTCTCTTCACACCCAGAGTTTCTGTAGAGTGTGGCCTCTCTTGTTGAGGGCGATGCTGTCCCTCCCTCCCTCCCTCTCTCTCTCTCTCAAGTCTCCTGATTGACCCGAGTCCGCATGTCGCCTTGTGTTTACTCGCTGGACAATGAAGCAATAGTTGGCGGGCTGGGTGTAATCACCCCCTGGGCCGGATGTGGCCCCTGGGCCGCCAATTGGCCCACCCTGATGAAAAGCATTGGAACGGACAAGTCACGCTGGCCAGCTGATGGCCTCCTGTTTGCCCAGAGCCGCCGGTGGCTAAGACGTGGCTCTCAGTCACTCACCCTCTGTCCCTTCTCCTTCTTGACGACCTTGGAGTTGGACAGGTCTCTGGCCAGCCCGAACTCCGCGATCTTACACCCCTGAGGGAACTGACAGACCAGGATGTTCCTCGCTGCAATGTCCCGGTGAACAACCTGCCAAGAGAGGGCAACACGTCAGGCACTCCAGGGTGATGACGGGTGACGAGTAATAATAATAATAAATATCCTGGCATTTGATACAGCGCCTGATCACGTCATCGAGACGTCTCAAAGCGCTTCACGGGATACGCTGTAAAAGTGAATTTACTGTAGGTTTAACTGCTCTCTGCCCTGGTGTCTGTCTGCTCAGGTGGACATTAAAGATCCCACGGCACAACTCAAAAAAGGAAGGTAGTTTCTCTCTCCCGAGTTCCTGACCAGCGATCAACCGGGGAAAGAAAAAAAAAATCGGTTGTTCACTTTCTTGGCTGTTTGTGGGTAACCGTTGTGTGCAAATTGGCTGCGACATTCAACCACAAGATACACAGTCACTGCATTTTACAGTATATCCTGTGAAGTGCTTTGAGGCATCTCAACGACGTGATGAGGTGCTATATCACATTATTATTATTATTATCCTGACGTGAAAGGTGCAAAACCAAATGTAGCGATTAGAAATTTACAGCGTAGGAGGATGGATGGACTTGAGTCCATCGAGTCTGCAAGGCTCGCACAGCAGAGATCTGTTCGATCCCACTGCCCCGACTTTTCTCCCTATCCCTTCAAGCCCTCGCTTTCATATGCAATTGCTCCCCCCACAATTTCACCCACAAAATACGCAGTCAATTCACTTTACAGTATATCCCGTGAAGTGCTTTGAGACGCCTCAATAATCCGCGATATCAAATGCGAGGATTATTATTAATTATTATTATTAATTATTATCGATTGCTATTGTGATTTTTTTATCGTGTTCGAGCCACGGGCTCCCGTCACTGGGCAAGAGCTTTTCTGTCCCTTTGTTGTTGCTATTCGTCTAATTGGAACAGGGTTACGAACAGGAAGCAATCGCTGTCTTGAAGAGAGTAACCCCCACTCAGGAAGCATGCAGAGAGAGACCTGAAAAACGATCTAGCGAGGGGGGAGGCGAGGCACACTGGCCAGACATGTGCACACAAACTCCCCCCCCACCACCCCCACCAAACCCCACACACACTCAATTAAATGTTACGATATCAAGTACTATTATTACCAAATAAAATCTAGCACGTTCATTCCAACCCAGTGAAGAGCCTGATGTCCCTGATCTTCCTGGTGTGCTGCAGACCTTGTAAGGAAGAAGCTCAGCGCCCACCATCAAACATTCCATCGCCTCAATCCACCCCCATTGCTTATTGGGGACTTCCCACTCGATGGGACACCATTCGAGTGCAACGCTCCAGGACAGAAAATGCTGTACCTTCTTGGACGCCATGTGCTCCAACCCCAGGGATATGAAGTAAGCCGCTGATGTGAGCTGTGCCTTTAGTTCTTTGTTGTTAGACAACTGTATCCTGTTATTCTGCAATAAGTTCTTCAGAGTGCCGCACTCTGCTTGCTCCATAATCAACAGGTAAGGCTCTGAAGCACACAGGTCAGTAGTGACTCGTACGGTTGTATCTGACTTAATAATAATAATAATAATAAACATAATCCTTGCATTTGATGTTGTGTCTTATTACGTCTTCGAGACGTCTCACAGCGCTTCCCAGGATACACTGTAAAGTGAATTGACTATGGACTTTGTGGGCGAAACGCGGCAGCCAATTGCGCAGTGCAGCGTCACCACAAACAGTTGTGGATTGAAGTGACTAATCTATTATTTTTTCTAATTTTTTTTGGAAAGAATTATTACCCTTGGAAAAGCGATCTGCCAATCGGCTAACAACCGGGCTCCTCCTGACTGCTGGATAAACAGATGCCTGTGTGTGGAGTAAGGAAGCTTTGCCCAATGTTTCGCCCTGTCTGCCCGGGTTTCTCGCTTACGAGACGAGTGCTCTAACCACTGAGCTACAGGACTCCACAAGGACCACAAGAGAGGTTCACATCAAGAAGACCCTTTTTGGCCCATCCTTCCAGAACATCCACCCTCCAGGCTTTCCATTAAACAAAATAATAATAATAAATTAATCACTTTAATCCACGACTGTTTGGAGGATGATGGTGGGGGGGATGCGGTCGGTGTGATGGGTGAGGGATGTGATTGGCAGAGGATGAGGTATGTTGGGCAGGAAGCGATGGGTGATGGGTGAACATGGTGTGCGTGTGTGGGTGGGGGGGTATGTGATGTGTGGACTGAGCTGAGGGTGGGGGGGCCGGTGGTTGATGGGCGAATGGTGGGGGGGTGTTAGGGAGGTGGGCAGTGGGTGTGTGATGGGTGGACCTGGCTGGAGTGGGGTGTGTATGATGAATGTGCTCCTGCCCTCAGCAGTTGGGATGTGTTGAGATTGAGTGCAAGACAGGATGTTTCACCTTGTGTGGAGTTCCAGTCCAGCAGCTGCACGATGTTCTTGTGGTAGCTCAGCTTCTTCATGATGTTAATCTCGGTCTCCAGGTTCTTGTGGGGGGTGTCTGGGTGGGGGGAGCATTGAGGAGGAGACGGGTTAAATTCAATGTCAAAAGCCACCAAGACCCTCCCACCAATGGTGTCCCAATCGCAGACAGCCTGTGTGACCGCGCCTTTAGTTACCCCCCAAACTCTCGGCCCCTCCACCCTTCCTGATACCACCCCCCGGCTCGGGTGCAAACCCTTGACTGTTCAGCGCCTTGGGACGTCCTCCCGACGTGAAAGGCGGGCGCTGTGTAAATGTAATTTGTTGTTGTTGAACACATGTGGAGGTTGTGATGTGGAGGTTGTGCTCACTGCACAACCTCCACATCACAGCGTCTGTTCAATGTGGGATACGCTGTTCAGCCTGGAACAGGACGCTTGGCGTCAGCCACGCTAAAGTCTGCGCCTTCGTAACTTACTCCTTGAGTAGAGTTTGCACGTGACCAGCCGGTGCCCCTTGCAGTATCCCCGGGTGATCTTCGCTCGGTAGAACCTCCCCTGTTTCCCGATTTTAAAAATCTCCAACAACGATAAGTCCTCCAGGGTAAAGGTGGGCGTCTGAGACAGACAAGAGAGGAAAGGGAGGAGGTTTGAGGTGGGACACCCACACAAGTGAACCTGAGAAAAACTGAACACAGAGTACTGTAGCTCAGTGGTTAGAGAGCTCGCCTCGCAAGCGAGAGGACCCTGGTTCGATTCCCGGGCAGCGCAGGGCGAAACCTTCGGCAAGTTTCCTCACTCCACACACGCGCCTCTGTTTACCAGCAGTAAGTAGGAACCTGGTTGTTAGTCGATTGGCGGAATCGCTTTCCCGGGATAATAATCCCACAAAAGAAAATTGTTCAAATCCATTCACTCTCTGGCACCTCCCTCCCTCTCCGACCTCCTCACTCCCCAACCCACCACCCGGCACCTCTGCTTGACTGGCACTTGCCTCCTTCTCGCACCCTCCGCCCCATCATCGGATGTCGTGCTTTGAGCCACTACACCCTGAGACTCTGGAACACCACCACCACCACCACCACCGGTCATTACCTGGAAACTCCCTCTGAAGAATAGCCTTGACATTCTCTCCTCACGTTGGTTCAGTTGTTTGGTGTGGGGGGCTGGTAGTGTGGGAAGCACCTTAACCATCCTAGTGTTCCTATCTTTACCGAAGTATGGTGTCATCTCTGTCGCATTTTGTGGAGTCTTTTTCCTGAAACGTGGAACAGATGAGACGAAAGCCCACCCTCGACTTTTCAGTGCTCCCAACGGCAAGTTATTGTCAAATTCATCATCAGTGTGTCTCAGAGAAGCCACACAAATCGCTGGGGTAGGGAATGGATTTGTGACACCTGTGATCTGAGAGATTCTTCCACACTAACAGCCGGGGTTGGGTTCAAGTCCTCTACCAGACTCTACCAGTGAAATATCTGCAACCATCACTGAACTAAACCATCACTAAAGGGTCGATTCTTTCAAGAACAAATCAGGTATCTTGGGATACAGTAAAAGGTTCGGGACATGACATGTGCATGCGACTGCCAGGATGGTGGAAAGTGAACTGGATGGATCTCAGTCTTCTTTCGCCCAGCAATTCTTATGTTCTTATGCACTAATAATAATCCGTCCAAAAAACTAATCACAATAGTAATTTGGTCACTTAATCCGCGACTGTTTGTGGGGACGCTGCTGTGCACAATTGGCTGCCGCGTTTCACCCACAAAATATAGAGTGAATTCACTTGACAGTATATTCTGTGAAGCGAAGACATGATAAGGCGCAATATCAAATGCAAGGATTATTATTATTATTAAACTCAGCAGGATTCGGGATGTAATAGAGAATTCGGTTTGGTAGTGTGGCTGGTTGGTGTGTCGGGGAAGGGGTGGGGGGGTGTTGGAGAGGGGCTGGGGGGGCGGGGGGCGCGGTGGGCGGGGGGCGGGGGGGGAGAAAATCACTCACATCCGAAACCACACAGAGACACAGGCAGCTACAATCAGGATGATGAAGACACTTGTGATCACAAAGGAGTAGATGAAGATGTAGATGTTGTCATCTGCAAACAGAATCCTGCGTCAGTCCGCACGCACCCAGCAAATCAGACACCTCACGAAAGGAAATTGGGCACGTTTTCGGAAAGCGAGAAATATTAAGAGGTTTGAGGACAGGTCAGGGACTAATTTAGTAACTCGTTCAGGGAGCCGGTGCAGACACCTGTGGCCAAATGGCCTCCGTTTGTGCTGCGAAGTCTGTGGTTCTACCCGACTCTATCAGGTAACTGTTGAATTCAATGATTGATGATAACAAATTTGCTCTAAACACTAGCCGCTGCTTTGCCCAGACCATCAGAACAGGGATGAGGTACATCAGGTACGTCTACACGTGAGAGGTTCAGGTGAAGAACGCCCTTTGGCCCATTTGATATAGTGCTTAGATTATTATTATTATCAAATCCAAAGATTTGAACGCCGGCAGTATTCCAGGCTCTGGGCTCACTGACTGCTTCAGAACAAACACTCCTTTATCATTCAATGTGGAAGCACGGAAAATGGCTCAACCCTCTGTCCACCAACCACAAAAGCCTATCCACTCCCTAATATCTTGCGCTACGCACCTGGGGCTGAAGTTGCGGTTGAGAGGGGGAATATCTGAGTCGTAGCTGCGAGGGTGGTTGTGATTGACGTGTTGGTTCTCACCGACGTGTTATTTGAAGCCATCATATTCGAGTTGCCATTGACCACGTCTCTGTACCTTGGGTTGAAACAAAGATGAGCCCTGAACATCACAGTGCTACACTGAAGGGATGCGAAGGGAGCCCAAAGTTACAACGCGCAATAGACTACCACTTCCTGTCAAGTAGAACAGGACAGTCAGATCAGGAGTGATAGGAGGGGACTGATGGTGGGTGCTGTCACGCTCCCGGGTCTAACGCCTGACACCAAATAAAGACAAGCCGAAACATCTGGTACATCCATGGGGGTGTGAGCTGCGCTGTCCTTGGCATCAGACGTTAAACCGAGGTCCCGTCGTTCTGTTTAGGTGGATGTTAAAGATGCCGTGGCCATTCGAGAAGAGAAGAGAGTTCCTGGGCTTATTACCCCCAGTATTTAGGTCAACAATCCTCCAGATAAAGTGAATCACTCACTTTATGGCTGTTTGTGGGACGTTGCCGTGTGCAAATTGGTTGCCGCGTTCACCCACAACGTACTCGGCGTTACAGCCGCCACAGCGTATCCTGTTAAGCTTGCAGCCTTCTCCGTATGTGAAAAGTGCCATATCAAATGTGAGGATTATTATTTTTATTCGCAGAAACAGTCCCGCCACAGAAACAGCCGCAGTGCCATAGCGTGGCGTAAGCGCACTCACCTCGCAAGTGAAAGGACCCGGGTTCGATTCCCGATCCGCCAATCGACTAACAACCATGTTCCTACTTACTGCCGAGTAAACAGAGGCGTGGTGTGTGGAATCAGGAAACTTGCTTAACGTTTTGCCCCTCCTGGGAATCGAACCGGGGTCCTCTCACTTGCGAGGCGAGTGCTCTAACCACTGACATTTCAAATAGTGCTACAGGACATCCTCCTTAACAGGCGGCCGGGACTTTGGTATAGCGTCTCACCCTGAGGACAGCATTCCAACCACGCAGGGCTCCCTCAGCCGGTGCTCGTGGAGCCTCAGCCTGGACTGTGAGCTTGGAGTCCCGACGTGGGGCTTGAAGCCATAATCTTCTGACCCAGAGGCGAGATTGCCGCAGTACCGACCCAAGGCTGGCATCAATAAAGAACAAACCGATAGACACGAAAGGAATTCAAAACATTTCCTCCCTTTGTACCTTAATTCCACGAGCAAAGCGCCATTTGAGACTGGCGAACTCCCCAGCACCAAACACGGTCACTGTTTGGATCGAACGCAGCTTCAACTCCTGAATACTTCGGCGACTGATGAGCGAGGAGGCTGATTTCTCTTCTGGTTGACGTCATGCAGCTCCTCTGAGCGCACCGTGCCTTTCAGACCATTTCCTGCCAGAGGCACTCTGTGGTTCTCAGACGTCTCACCTCCACTCAGCCAGCAGCACAAGAGCGAGCAACAAACAGACGCTTCGCAATGGGTCTGTTCTTCCACCCACTGACCACATTGTCACTGAGAACCTGCAGGCGTAGTCTGGGCCAACACACATTTTTCGCTCTGTCCTTTGAAGTCCTTCACTCTCAGTGAAGAGAAGGGGGCTGCGACAATGAAATAAATAACATCATAATGTTCGTGTGTATAGGGTGGGGCGGAGGGGAGCTTTTAAAAATTATTGTTGTTGCAGTACTAATAATAATCCTTGCATTTGATACAGCGCCTTTCACGTACGGAGGACATCTCAAACTGTTTCACAGGATATACTGTAAAGTGTGGGTTTGATTCCCGGGCAGGGTGAAATGTCAGACGAGTGTCCTTACTCCACACACCTCTGTTTACCCAGAAATAAGTAGGAACCTGGGTGCCCAGGACACCGGGAGAGACAGGGAGACACTGGTCATCTGCAGACATGGAGTCAATTTCCACTTGTGATGCAGATGACACCCAAATCTACTTTTCCTCATTGAGCCATGAACGCAGGTCCAATGATATTCTGTCCGTTGTTTTCAGACAACAAGGTCTGGAAAAGCGGCAACTTTCTGCAGCTGAATGTTGACAAGAAGGAAGCCATACTCCTTGGCTCTCCTCAACATCTTCTCACCTGTGGCTCTAACCTCCTTAACCTCCCCGGCCTATCCCTCAGACTCACTGAACCTGTGCGTAACCCAGGAATCAGGTGCAATTGCCTGCGATCCTCCCTACCCCACATCCTGTCCCTCACCAGGTTGGCTTTCCTCCGCCTCCACCACATCGCCACCTCCGACCATACCTCACACACATGATGCCCTTATCCAGTCATTCATCACCACCCGCCTCGATTTGTCCAATGCCTCGCCAGTCTCCCCAGTTCCGCCGTTCATAAAATTCAGTTGATTCAAAACTTTGCCACCCACACTAAATTCCGCACACCCCTCACCCCAGCCCTTGCCAGGCTTCACTGGCTCCCTGTTCCAGAAGAGATGAATTTCCTGATCACTCAATTACAAATCATTTCATGCCCTGGCACTTCCCTACTTCTTCAACCTCCTTACACCCCATTCCTCTACCTGCCCCCTTCGCTCATGGCAAACACGTTCAGGAGAGTAGAGAGGAGAGGAGAAAGGGAGAGGCTACGTGAGAGAAAATAACTTGTGTGGATGTAGAGTGTGACCTGGACGACAGATCAGCTTCAAGGCAAAAGCTAACAGACTGCTTTGTCCCCACTTGGGTCCAAATCCCTGACTGTCCAGTGGCTTGGGACGTCCTCCCGACGTGAAAAGCACTGCACAAATGTCATTTTGTATTGTTCTGGCACAGTGGAAGCTCCAACGATTGCCCTGTAACAATGTTCTAAGTACAGCTCAGCTGCCCCGCACCTATTCAGTAAAGCCACATCCTCTGCATGTTTTGAGTAAGCAAAGTGATTACAAATTTGTCACCACAGGGTTTAAGATTAGAAGCTGTTGGTTCATAAAGCAACTGAGGAATAACTATTTCCATTGGTGGGTGAGTTGTTAACTCAATGCTTTAAATTTAACATTACCAAGAACTGATTTTACACAGAGGGTTTTGAGAACGTGAGAATTACCGCCAAATGTACTGGTTGAAACAGAATCTATAATAGGGTTCGAAAGGGAATTAGACAAATAATAATAACAATAATAATGATCCTTGCATTTGATACAGCACCTTATCACGTCTTCGAGACGTCTCAAAGCGCTTCACAGGATCTACCGATGTGAATTGACTGTATGTTTTTCGTGAGCGAAACACGTCCGTCAATTGCACACAGCAGTGCCCACAAACAGTCAAAACAAAACAAAAAACGAGGGCACAATAATAATAATCCTTGCACATGTTCCTCTGCAGTTACTTACCGTCATAATGATAAAAGATCCTAATCACAAATCTTGAGTCGCCGGATAAAGTAACTGTCAGAGAACAGTCGGATAGGAAGGGCAGACCACACCGTACCTCCGCAGTATGTAGTCTGGGACATGACGTGTGCATATGCATCGAGTGGCACTTCTAGCGTAGGGAATCTGGACCTCTCTTCCCCCAAATGACGGTGGATAACGGCTTCCGATCTCCCTGCTGCCCACCCCCCCCACCACCCCCACCACCCCCACCCCCAACCCCGCCACCCACCCACCCTCCCCGATCCCGACCCCCGGCTCGGGTCCGAAACTCTGTCTGCCCCAGCGCCTCGGGATGTCCTCCCGACGGGAAAGGCGCTATGCAAATGTAATGTTGTTGTTGTTGTTGTGGTTGTGGTTGTGGTATGGTTGGATCCATTCAACTTTTCCAGACTGAGATGGAGGGGATTTTGGTGAGGTCGGGGTATCAAGGGGTACGGGGCAACCGACAGCAGGTGATTGGGGTTGAGAGGGGCAGATCAGCCGCGATCTTATGGAACGGCGGAACAGGCTCGAGGGGCTGAATGGCCTCCTCCTGTTCCCGCGTGTCCCGGCGCTGCGCCCGATTCAGATCTCAGCGCTTTCTCTCAAACTGCGCAAGAAACGGTCTCGGCTTCGAAAAGGGAAAGAAAAAAAAAAACGTGCTCCGGGGTTTCGATTGGGGTCGATTTTTATAGATAAAAAAAAACACACACACACACGAGGCGCCCAAAACCCGCCCAAAGTGGTCGGTTTCAGGCGCTCCAAAAAAAAAAAAACCGCCCCATTGGGCGCGAAACCCGCCCAACCTGGCAGCGTTCCGCGCAGGGGTCCCCGTGCGCCTGCGCCGCGCTGGGAGCGGGGTGGGCGGGACCTACGTGTGGGGGGTTGACCAATGCGCACGCGCGCTTCCGTGCCCACCCCCCCACCCCCCCCCGCGCGCGTGTCATGTGACCGGGGGGGAAGGGGCGTGGCGTCGCCAGCGGTTGTCACGTGCTGCCAGGACGGCCCCCGACGGCGTGTCATGTGACCGGTCAGCTGACAGCTCATTGGCCGGCGGCTGGTGGGTCGGTCGGAGAGAGACGCGGAGCTCGAGCCCCGGGGCCTGGCCTCCCGCCCCCCCACCCGCCGCCCAGCCTCCCCCCCTCATGGAGTTCAGCGGCCGCCGCACTGTGAGTAAACCGCTGCTCCTCCTGCGGGTCCCCAGGCGCCGGGGGAGATCGGTACAGCAGCGGGTCTGAGCCCCAGAGAGAGAGAGAGAGAGAGACCCTCAGGTGGGGGGGGGCCTGAGCCCCAGAGAGAGAGAGACCCTCAGGTGGGGGGGGCCTGAGCCCCAGAGAGAGACCCTCAGGTGGGGGGGGCCTGAGCCCCAGATAGAGAGAGACCCTCAGGTGGGGGGGGCCTGAGCCCCAGAGAGAGAGAGACCCTCAGGTGGGGGGGGCCTGAGCCCCAGAGAGAGACCCTCAGGTGGGGGGGGCCTGAGCCTCAGAGAGAGAGACCCTCAGGTGGGGGGGGGCCTGAGCCTCAGAGAGAGAGAGACCCTCAGGTGGGGGGAGCCTGAGCCCCAGAGAGAGACCCTCAGGTGGGGGGGGGCCTGAGCCCCAGAGAGAGAGAGACCCTCGGGGGGGGGCTGAGCCCCAGAGAGAGAGACCCTCAGGTGGGGGGGGCCTGAGCCCCAGAGAGAGAGAGAGAGACCCTCAGGTGGGGTCCTGAGCCCCAGGGGTTCCTCAGGTGGGGGCCTGAGCCCCAGGGGATCATCAGTTGGTGGGGGCTGAGCCCCAGGGGATCCTCAGGTAGGGGGCTAAGACCAAGGGGACCCTCGGGTGGGGGGCTGAGACCAAAGGGACCCTCAGGAGGGGGAGCTGAGTCTCCCTGGGGTGGGGTGATTGGGGTGTCCTGTTAACAGATAAGGTTCTTGTACTGTAACTGTCTGGAAATGCATCTGTGGGTATTGCAGCAGCTCTGAGCTCTCACAGAGAGCATCTGTGGGCATTGCACCACTGGAAACTCCCTCACTGCCCCTCTCGTTAAATATCACAGAGTTGGCAGTGAGTTCTGAAGCAGTAACCTTCTATTCCTTTCTCCCTCGTGTACCTCTCGCTCCAGCTTCCCCTTAAATACATCTGTGCTATTTGCCGCAACAACTTCTTGTGGTAGCAGGTTCCACATTCCCACAACTCTCCGTGTGAAGAAATGTCTTCGAAATTTCACAAGAGCTTCACGGGGCCCAAGCTGGGTTTGGGAGAACTTAAGAGGGATTTTGCTCGGGAGTGATGGGTGTTGCAGATGAAACCATTGTGTGATAGACATTGCTTTAATAACCTGCCCTTGCATAGCTGTGCTAAATGAGGCTGCCGTCAGTGGTGTCTTTTCAAAGCATCCATATCACCTACGACTCGTCTTTGCTTACAGTATGCAACATGCAGTGCAAAAAAGCATTAAGGTTGTGTTTGTTGCGGGGCTGGATCACTTGGGCTGTGACCAATCTGTTGGGAAAGCTGCCAGACGTGTAGTCACATGCTCCAGTGGTTTGCTATGTATATGTGGGTAATTGTTTTCTATGGTGATTTGGATGGTTCAGTTCCCCTTTCCTCACAACCCTGCGCGCCAACTGAAGGTTCCAGCTTTTTTTTGTAAACCTTTGCTCTTCCAAAAATAAGCGCTCGACTAACGTAAGAGGATTATATCAAGGCTGGCGGTGTGATTATTCAGCACCTTGGGACGTCCTCCCGACGTGAAAGGTGCTGTGCAAGTACAATTCTGTTGTTGTTATTTCGCAGCAAAATTAAGCTAAGTTTCACTTGGAGACTGCAGGGGAAGCTGATATGGAAAGTAAAAATGTTAAGACTGCAGGAGGAAGGTACTTTCCTGAGGTTGCACAAAAGTGTCTCACTTGTGCTGTTCCTGATTTAAGCGTGCAAACTGGGGTATCCATTTTGACCGGGTTCTTCTGGCTCCTAGACACGTTTAGAGGGTTTCCAGTGGAGACCAGGTTGAGTTCTGCAAGTATGTTTAAGAGCCTTGTAAACTCTGCAGAATAATTGGTCTGTTGAAACTCAGTTGGAGAGAAAATGGGTTTAACAACAACAATCCTCTCATAATTGATACCATATCTACATAACTGCCCTAGTCTGAGCGGCTGGTGTCGCTAATGCTGCAGTTGCAAAGTTTATCAGTGCTGCACCCAAAAGTTGAACAGATAGATGTTCCTGATAATTGTACCATCTATGCAGTTTGCAGCATCACTGTCTGAGGCTTGGCTTGCCACAGGTTTAAAGCTGTTTTAAGTTGTTTGGAATTGTCAGACTTTGTGGTGGAGAATGGAACTCGGGGCACTCCAAGGTCCAGTCCAACACTGGTCAGATGTAGAGTAAAGCTCCTTCCCTCTGCTTGGAGAATGTGTCTTAACCCAATCACCATTGATATACTTTCTGGTTCCCACACCGGTCAACCTTGGCCTCTCAGATTGGAGTCCTTTCGTGTAGTTTTGTGCTGCAGATCCATGTTCCATTTCAAACTTCACTTTTTCTACTTCAAACCCTGTTAAAATAACAAATTTAGTACAATTATGTGTGGTAAAAGCAGATTTTGTGGTAAGTTCTTGATTCTGAGTACGTTCTTGACTCTGTAGATACAGAAAGAATTACTGTATGTTGTAACCCATTCTGTTGTTTCTGTAACCAAACAACTATTAATTCACCCTTGAATTGTGGTCAGTATTTGTACAACGGTTGCATGACCCATTAAACAAATGCATAAGTAATCCTGGTCACAGTGATCATACATTCAGAAATTGTTTTTGTGCGTTGAATTCATANTTTTTTTTTGAAAGGTGAAATTGTACCAACCAGAAGATTGTTCGAACTCCAGGAGGCCCGACACTGATTTTCTCATCGCGCGTAGAAACGGATCATGGAGTGGCTGCTCGCCAGCGTTGAAAGGGACTTGGGCATCGACCGCAAGCAGCTGGCGATTGGGGAAGGGTGCCAGGTGATCGCCTACGTGCCCACAAAATGGTTGGCAAGCCTGAAGGAGAGGAGGGTCTTGCCCAGCGTGTGCTCCGTGCCCGATGGAGTGACGGCAGTGGAGATCGAGACCTACCTACAGCGATCAGTTCACAAGCTGCCAGCCGGATGGACCCGGGTCACCATTCAGGCTCTGAGAAAAAAACTGCTGCAGTACCAGCTGTCACGGAGACGGACGTCGCCTCCCAGCCGGACAGGCGGATCGGGAGGAGACGGCAGTGACTTGGATTCATTCTGCAGCTTCATGCAATATGTCGCCGATCAGAACTATAAAAACTTGTGGCGCAAAGCGCTCGAGAAATCTGTTCACGTACAATCGGGGGGCGTGGAGCAACAGGGCGTTTCCAGCTTAGAGGCCATCAAGCAGTCTCTCAGCAAGGCTCTCGGCTGCTGCTTCGTGCAGATCAGCGGTGATGGGTCATCTCCTAAAGAGACGTGCCCCTCCCCAGCTGCCGAGCCCGTGCACCCCAATCTCCTGAGAGCCGAAGCCTTGCTGGAGTCAGCCGACACTCTCTACGTCGTGCAGCCTTTTGCCAACTACTCACTTCGGGACATCGTGACGTACAGTCCGGCCAAGCTGGCCAACAGCAACACCAAAGTGCTCTTCATCATCTTCCAGGTTTTGCAGGCCATGCGGACCTGTCACCGAGAGGGCCTGGCCTGTGGCAGCCTGTCCCTTCACCACGTGATGGTAGACGAGAGACTCTGCACCCAGCTGCGGGTCAACCTCTCCGATTACGAGAGGCCCGAGGCATTGGAATCCATTAGAACCGACTCCGGAGAAAGGACTGATGAGATTCGTGAGAGAAGCCCGGACAGCGAACGATCAGTGGAGCTGCGTAAATTGGTGACCGATTGGGTGCACGGGAGAATCAGTAATTTCCAGTACCTGATGGGGCTGAACAGACTGTCTGGCCGCAGGGTTGGGGATCCCAACTACCATCCCGTCCTGCCGTGGGTGGTGGACTTCACAATCCCCTATGGCAAGTTCAGGGATCTCAGGAAATCAAAGTTCCGCCTGAACAAAGGGGACAAACAGCTGGACTTCACCTACGAGATGACCAGACAGGCATTTGCAGCTGGTGGTCAGGCTGGCGAGCACCTGCACGTCCCACACCACATCTCTGATGTCTTGTCGGACATCACCTATTATGTGTATAAAGCACGGAGAACGCCACGCTCTGTCCTGTGCAGCCATGTCAGGTCCCAATGGGAACCCAACGAGTACCCGGCCAGCATGGAGCGCATGCAAGCCTGGACCCCCGATGAATGCATCCCTGAGTTTTACACCGATCCCACCATCTTCCAATCCATTCACCCCGACATGCCGGACCTGGATATCCCATCGTGGAGCAGCTCCTATCAGGAATTCATCAATGTTCACCGCAAACTGTTGGAGAGCAAGGAGGTCTCTGTGCACCTCCATCACTGGGTGGACTTGACGTTCGGCTACAAGCTCACTGGTAAGGACGCGGTCAAAGCCAAAAACGTCTGCTTGCATCTGGTTGACAATCACACCAACCTGACCAGTTTCGGAGTGGTGCAACTCTTTGACCAACCGCACCCGCAGCGGCTCATGATTGGCAGCTACGCCCCGCCAGAAGCCCCTTCGATTAACAAGCCCTTCAGGGAGATGGTAACCGCGCAGCGCTTCCAACGTTGGGTGGTTCACCCGATCAATGGGACGATCCCGGAGATGGCTGGCTCCGAAGGGCAATGGCCGGTGGACAAGAGTAAGAGTGTTCCTGGAGAACACATTGCTGCTGCAGCTGTCGATGATGATCTGGAACAAGGCACCGAGGCGTTAGATTCCCTCTCTGGGTCAGGGAAGGCACTGGAGCAGTCATCTCCTTCCCAGTCCTCCAACCTATTCCCCTTGGATTCTAGGGCTCCACTTCCCCGAGCAAACCGACGGAACAAGGCCACTCCTGACACCCACGAGTTGGAAGAGTCCAAGATCATCCTTCCCGAAGCTTTCCATCCTCTGCAAGCACTGGAGGAGTTGGAGAAGTTGAGTAACTTTCTGGTGAGGGGCCTATACAGGGAGCTGGTGGAGACCAAGCAAGGAGAGCAACCTCACTACCTAACTCTTGACCAGCTCTTCCAGAGGGACATGCAGGCATTCGGGATTCTGATTGCTGAGATCTTCTTTGCTCCTCGGCTGCGGGCCCTGGACCCGGATGCCTCTCTCCTTGACCGCTTCTTGGCCATGCGTAAGTTCTGCCTCTACCACATGAAGGAGATCGCGGCCCCACTCCAGCACGCCGTGGAGATGCTTCTGCAGCTTCACAAGAGCCCAGATGAACTACTGCAGACCCGCCTGGAGGCCAACCAGGTGAACCTGTTTGAGTACGAGCCTGTCTTTGAGGGGTTGCCTCCTCCCTGCCCAGCTCAGCTGCTCAGCCCCAACTGCCCCATTATCCCCTTCCCTCCGTACTTCTCATCTCTTCACCAATTCATTTGCACCCACCAGTTACACACGACTGACAATGGGGAGCAAGGTCGCGACTTTGTCTTTCACCTCTGGCAACAGCTTGACCAACTGTTAGGGGAGATCCGGCCAGAAGGCTTGGAGATCCTCCTACCCTTCATCCTCGGCTTGATGTCAAATGAATCCACTGCTGTCTATGCAGCCTGGTACCTCTTTGAACCAATAGCCAAGGCTCTGGGACCACGCAACACCAACCGGTACCTACAGAAGCCTCTGATTGGGGTGTACGAGAAGGCTGGCTATCTTCACGGGCGCTTCTACCTGTACATCGACTGCTTCATCATTCAGTTAATAGTGCGTCTCGGCCTCCAGCCTTTCCTCAACCACCTCCTGCCTCACATCCTGCAGATTCTCACCGGCTTTGATGGCGCAGACGAGGAAGGCAAAGCCTTAGTGGGGAACGGGGAAGACGACGAGGCTGGGTCAGTGAGTCCGGCTTCCAGCTCTTACGCCAATGATATGAAGAGCACCGGAGAGCACAGCTCTGCCAGCCTCATCGACTACTCCTCGGGCATCAGCTTCAACGAGCAGGCGTTCCCGACAGAGAACGAGGACTTCCAAAATGGAATCTACCTGGACGACCAGATGACACTGAGGGACCAGGAGTCTGTCAGCGTGGGGAAGCTGAGTGACAAAAGTAGCGCCAGTGAGCTGTCCTTGGAAGACCGCCTCACTGATGCAGATTCCAAGGAGAGAGTCAGCCTGCGATCAGTGGATAGCAACCAGGACCTCAAACAGAGTGAAGGCTCCCCACTGCCGGCAGACGAGTACGCGGAGGAGGAAGGGGGAGGGGAGGAGGAGGAGGAGAGCTGCTCGAACCTTGATGTCGCTGAATCCACCGTGTTCAACTCCCTGCCGGCCCCAGATCCTGGGGAAGCTGTGCTGCTCGAAGACGAGGAGGAGCAGGAGCTGATTGAGGAGCCAGAGGGGAAGGAGCAGAAGATCTTGCTTGGTAAGATGTTGCTCTCTCTTCATGTGGAAAGATAGAATCCTGTTGCCTTTGTTCAGAAGGTGTGTTTGATACCTGGGTTAATCTGTGACCGGGTTTGGAGGCTGCAGGATGCAGAAGCTCCTAATGTATTTTCACACAATCACGGCTTGTGTCTATGTGTATTGGAAGGGTGAGTGAGCATGCGAATGTGTGTGCATGCATGCCACAGAACTCCTCTCGTTGCCATCGTGCTGCTGCTCTCTCACATCAGGTTAAGTGGTTTCTGTTCAATCGTGTTTTGCAGATACGGCCTGTAAGATGGTGAAGTGGCTGTCGGCCAAACTGGGCCCAACTGTAACATCCAGATACATTGTGAGGAATCTGCTGCGCCTGCTAACTACATGTTACTTTGGTAATGTCCTCACCACCGTGTACATGTTCCTTTCACGCTATAGTCACCAATAGCCTGTTTATTCCTTACAATGGTTGTGCAAAAAAAAGCGAAGCTTGTTCAACTGTGTTCTATGAATAATGTTTAATTGTGTCTGCATTGCTGAAAGGGTGTGTGTGTGTGTGTGTGTTCAATTGATGTGCAGTGAAGCATAGCAAACGTGAATCCTGGGATGTAGACCTTTGTGTGCATCCAACTTCCTCTTAAATGCTTCTTTAGTATCTGATTCAACCACTGCTCAGACAGCAGGTTCCACATTCTAACAACATTTTGTGTTAAGCAGTTCCTCCTAAATTCTCATTTAGATCACCCTAGTAGCAATCTTATTTGTGTATCCCCAAATTACACACTGCCCAACAAGAGAGAGAGAGAAATCCTCCTCTTTTCAAATAAGAAATGCTTAAGTGAAGTTTAAGTCTGGAGTTGAATGTGAATTGGATTATAAGATTTGTGCTTCTTTCAACCTTCTCTCAGGTCCAGAAAAGCACCAGTTTGTGTCCATGGGCGAGAATGGCAGAAGTCACATCGGTAACATCTATGAGAAGCGTGAAGTAATTGGAGACTTGGTTGCAAAGCCCGTCCTGGACTGTCTCATGTATGTGGCTCATCTGTATGGAGAGCCAGTCCTCACCTACCAGTGCCTGACCTACATCGCATATCTGGTAAGTAGAACAGCTCCAGCAGAGTTGACTGCATGGTTTGGTTCTGAAATGTATAAATTGGTGATGGGATGGGAAACAGCTCTGGCTTTATTAACGTGTTAGTTGGATATTGCTACGTTTGCTGTACACCCGACGCCACTGAGTATGGAGCCCACTTTGCTGTATACTAGATCTGAGCAGTGCTGAGCTGGACAGCTAGTGCACCATAGAACACTCATAAAAACACACAGTCAGGTACAGAGTCAGCACCTGGGGGGGTGGTCTGGGGGGAGAACTCAGAAACGTCACTGGTGGCACGTTACAGAGGTGGGAGGAGACCACTTGCCCCTCAGCAGCAGACTGGGTGTAAGGGAGAAGGCACTGGTTTCTACACGGGTCCCACACCTGCACAGGTAGGTTGCGCAATGCAGGTTTAGTGGGAGAGGGGTATTTTCCAATCGGGCTGGGATCAGTAAACAAAGGAACAAAGGGCATATTATTTTATAAGAACCAGGTGAAATCGCAAGGAAGCAACTTACCTTCACCCCCCCCCCCCCCCCCCCTCCTCATCAATGTCTTCTGACTCCACAACTTGCTTCTCTGTGATTGTGTGTTGGGGAGCTCCAATCTGTTGTGCTGTCCTTCAGTAAAGTAACTGCACTGAGGTCTGCAGTACAGCTTCTCTGCTATGTATTTTGTTACAATCGGTGTTGAAGTGTTCAGTGTTGTATGAATTTTGTGCGGCAGCTCCTCTGCACCTCAGTGAGGAGGAAGGGGAAGTATGATTGTGTGTGTAAGGCCTCTGAAATGTGTCAGGCCTGAGACTTCTTTATATGGTATCCTGTCCGGTGAGCAGCCAGACAGATCATAGAATCGTACAGCACAAAAAGAGGCCATTCGGCCCATCGAGTCTGTGCCGGCTCTTTGAAAAGAGCAATGTAATGTCAATCCCACTCCCCAGCCCTTTCCCCATAACCCTGCAGGCCCGTCCTCCTCAAATACCGTCCACCACGTTTTTAAAAGTAGTTATCGAATTGGCCCCGGCCACCCTTTCAGGCAACGCCAGATGAGTGTAACTGCAGCTGGGATATCTGCTGATCAAGTGGATGAGCTCATCGCTGCCTGGATTGAACGCTCTTTTTAGGTGTGATCTGTTTGTGAGCTTGATGAGAAACTGCAATTAGTATTGAGTGGCTAACTCACCAGCCCTTTGCCCCAGTGGCTGTTGACTGCAGCAGTTATAACAGACGGGCAATGCTGAGTTCCTGGTATGGGTGAATTACTGCAGTGATGCCAGGTTGTTGCTGTTTCGGCTCTGAGCAGGCTGAACTGCTCGCACTGCACTCCTTCAGCATTTCCACGGAGGGGATGCACTCGCAAGGACATTCACTTGTGGACCCAGTGAAGAGAGCTCCTCAACAGCAGAAGGTTGCTCGGTTTATGCTGAGGTGGTTGTTCTAAGGTAGTAGTTGAGGACACTGCAGTTGTCGCTTGTTCCCATGGGTGATGGTGCAGGAAAATAATTATTTCTCATTGTGATCAGCTGCTGTTGTTAATTCACTGTGACTCACTGATCTCAAAACGTATCTAACCAAACATTTGAGAGCGTGACGGTTAGAGCACTCGCCTCACAAGTGAGCGGACCTGGGTTCGATTCCTAGGTGGGGCGAAACCTTAGGCAAGTTTTCTTATCTCCACACGCCTGTTTACCTGACAGTAAGTAGGAACCCCGTTGTTAGTCGATTGGTGGATCGCTTTCCGGGGATAATAATCCCTTCAAAAAAAAACTCCAATCACTCAATCCGCGACTGTTTGTGGGACACTGCTGTGCGGAATTGGCTGCCGCATCTCACTCACAAAATACAGTTAAACCTACAGTCAGTCTGTGGAGAGCTTTGAGACATCTCAACGACATGATAAGGCACTGTATCAAAATACAAGGATTATTATTATTGTGAAAGTATTTTGTTAGTTGGCATTATTCTCTGTTAATGTGGTGGTGTAGTGGCATGATTGTTGAGGGTTAATGTTAACCCTGAGTGTTCTCCTCCTGCAGGTCGCCCCAAATAGTAGTTGGCGGCTGAACAGTAGGAAGGAGGCGGGCTTGCTCTCAGCGGTGGTATTAACACAGAAGATCATCGTTTACCTGTCGGACACCACGCTGATGGACGTGCTTCCCAAGATCAACCAGGACGTGCTTTTGCCAGTCCTGGATGTGCTCACCTCCTGCGACACCAGGTCTCCATCCTCGATGCTTTCAACCCACTCATCCCCCACTCCCTGCAACTCCATTCCAGAGTCTCTTTTGCCTTTTTCCTTGCCAAATCCCTTCAGGCCTTGCCATCTCCCTACCTTTCTGACCTGTTTTCTCCCCCACAACACCACCCACTGCCTCCGCTCAGCTGGCGCTGACCTCCTGCTTGTCCCTTGTCCCCTCCACTCCACCATCGGCGCCCGCGCCTTCAGCTACTACAACCCGAAGCTTTGGACTTCTCTCCCCCAATGCCCCCTCCTTCCCCCTCTTTTAGATCACGACCTTTCTCTTTGACCATACTTTGGTCACTTTCTCCCTCCCCCTTGCTCGGTGTCGGGCTCCGGCTGTGGATTTCGTTCCACGTTGAGAATTTTGTGTTGGTAACTTGTGCTTTTGTCCTCCCGACAGTTTCCCCAGCGGAGCGCAGGCTCGCTCCGTGCTGTGCATCAAGACTCTCAGCCTGATTGCCCTGGTGTGTTTGAGGATCGGGCAGGAGATGGTGCAGCAGCATATGAGCGATACACTGAGGAGTTTCTTCGGTGGCTTCTCTGTCCTGCGAGATCTGAAGGAACAGGTACAGAACTTTATAACTGCAGCAGCTTCACAAGCTGCTGTCGGGGTGGATCCAGCATCAAACCTGTTGATGGTGGATTTGCAGGGATAGCCGCCTAACTCAATTGGTAGCTTCCTTGTTTGTGAGTTCAAACCCCATGTGGGGGATTCGATCTCAGTCTAGGCTGACATGTCAGTGTCAGGAGAGGTGCATCATTGTCAGAGGTGCTACGTTTCAGAATAGCTGTGAATCAGGTCCCGTCTGCCTCGGGTACATGTTAAAAGATCCTGTCGCACTATTAAAAAAAAAGAGAGGGAGAGAGAAGGGGTTTCTGCTGGCCAGCAATCCTCTCGTTGATCATATGTGCAACCTTGTGGGCTACAAAATAGCTGCCCGTTTGCCAACCACAAGAGTTGCTGCATTTCACAGTAATTACTGTGAAGTAATGTATAAATGTTTTTTTGTTGCGTATTCAGAATATTGACCTCACAAAGCTTCTTAGAGGAGCAGCCTGGCATGCGGGAGGGAGTGTGAAGGGATGGGGTGCGAGTGAGTATCCAGCCCTCCCTCCCTCCCTCCCTTCCTGGGGGTGGTGTGACTCGTGTTTGTCTCCACAGATGGGGACGAGGAGTGAGAATTCCCACGATTCTATCCTGTCGGAACTTAGGGCCCCGGATGCCAGTGATCAGGCCTGTGATATCACTGCCCTGGAAGAACTGGAAAAAGTTTTCAGTTTGGAGATGGCGTACTCTGCCTACATTCCATTCTACTGCCTGATAGGTGAGCTGCTGGACGGACAGGTGACTGCATGGGATGCGTGGTACACAGAGTGGTGTTGGGGAAACGCACCTCACTACAACAGCAGCAACAACTTACATTTATATAGCGTCTCTCACGTAGGGTAGCGTCTCAGAGCGCTTGACAGTGGCGGAGCATGATGCTGAACCGGGTGGTGGGGGGGGGGGGAGGGAAGATGGGAGGTGACCATAGGCACGTTCGAAGAGGGTGGTCTTCTTCAGGCGCGATCTGAAGATGGGGGGAGGAAGGTGGCGAGGAAAGGCAGGGGAAGACAGCTCCGGAGTTGTTGACAGTACAGGGTGTTGTTGACGTGGCTTGCTCACCCAGGGCCCTCCTGAATTTTCCATCTCTTTTACACAACTCTTTTACGGTTAAATTTTTTTTAAACGATCGCTCGAGTGAGTTGTAGCCTCAAGCTCTTCCGTCTGCAAGTGCAGGGAGTGTTCTGCCACACGGTGGTACATAGTCATATCGCAGGGAGTTGCTATTGAGTGCTAAGCAGTGAGCGAACGCTCTTAGCATTCAAGGGCTTTATTCAACCTTTGTATTTGAGATAGTGGCTCCTATTGGTAAGGGAGCAGTTTGTCCTCGCCTCTGGCCCTGTGAGTGAGTCGCCTGTTCGTTCACCCACAAAATACCGAGTCGACCAACTTTACTGTGAAGCACTTTGAAACGCGATGAAGCACTTTGAAACGCGATGAAGCACCATATGAAATGCAGGGATTATTATTGTTTGGTAGAAGCACAAACCCCCGACCTGTTATCTTGTTGCAGGCGATTCAATCATCAGGAAAGTCATCAAAAACCACGACTATGTGTGGAAGCTGACCACCCTGTACCAGGACGCGGTCAGGCTGCAGAGCCCCACGTCCCCAGACCCTCTCTCGCCGGAGCACGACTGGGAAAACGGCTTCAGCTTCTCCCCGTTCGATGGCCGGCTGCGAGACGACGGAGTGACTGGGACGTTCGGGAGCGCTCTGGTCGGGAACCGGATTGAGATCCCGCCGGACTCCACGTCCGAGAGCCTGCGCTCCGCCCAGGTCAGGCAGCGCCTGAGCAACCTGAGCTTCGGGGGGCCCCAGGAGGACGGTGCACTGAAGCAAGACCTGCCCAAGAGCCTGCGGACGCTGTGCGGGAACTGGCTGGCGTACTGGCAGTACGAGATTGGCCTGAGCCAGCAGGACTCCCACTTCTACTTTCACCAGATCAAGCTGCAGAGCTTCGTGGGGCACTCGGGCACCGTCAAGTGCCTGTCTACGCTGAGCGGAGAGGACTTCTTCCTGAGCGCCAGCAAGGACAAGACCGTGCGGCTCTGGCCTCTCTACAATTTTGGCGACGGGACGTGCGAGGTGGACCCCCGCTTGACGTATTCCGAGCACAAGAAGTCCGTGTTCTACGTGCACCAGATGGAGACCCTCCAGGAGGTGGTCAGCTGTGATGGGGCTGTTCACATGTGGGACCAGTACACAGGTAAAGAGGGAGGGTGGGAGGGAGGGAGCCCTGTGTGGGGCAGAACATGGAATGAGAACATTTGACCTTTCTTTTCAGAAAGTTCCCACGTGACCTTGAACTCCGTGGGTCAAGTGAATTGGTCATTCGCTTCATGGCCGTTTGAGGGATATTGTTGTGTGCAAATTGGCTGCCGCGTTCAACCACCACCAGAAAGAGGCTGAGAACGGCAACATCCAGTCTGCCTGCCCAATGTTGACAGGCAGACTGGATGCTGCCGTTCTCAGCCTCTGCCACTTGAGGTTCTCGGGGAGATAGTTCCAGTGCAAGATTGTTTGCTGAGCTGCTCCTTAACATGCCCTCAATTTGCAGGTAAACCCATTCGGATATTTGACGTCTTTGACTCTCGGAATCCCATCACAGCAGTGACCACAATGCCGGCTCCTCACGTCAGCGTCATTGCAGGAACAGCCGACTCCATCCTGCGCTTTATTGACCCCAGGAAACCAGGGCTACAGGTAAGCCTTTCACTTCACTGATTCTCTGAACCTCCTGCAGCAGCAGATTCTTTCCTGAAAACATCTCCAACTTAGCCAGAAATCACTACCAGATTTTGATTGTGTGTGTGTGGGGGGTGGGGGGGGGAATTAAACCTGGGTTTTCCCACAATGTTAGCTCTCAATCTCAACATAGATTGGTAGCAATACCTCCCCTGACTCTCTGTTTGTGGGACCACGTTGGCTGCCACGTTTCACCCACAAAATATACAGTTAATTCATTTTACAGTGTATCCTGTGAAGCGCTTTGAGACGTCGCAAAGACGTGATAAGGCGCTGTGTCAAGTGCAAGGATTGTTATTATTGGTCTGTTTTACAGCACGAGTTCAAACTGAATACGAGTCTGACTGCAGGGTTAATCCGCTGCATGGCAGTGAATCCCAGTGGCCGTTCAGTTGCCATTGGTTTCTCTTCTGGTTACGTTTACCTGCTGGACACCAGGACGGGGCTGATCATGAAAGTCTGGCAAGCTCATGAGGGTGACATTCTTCAGCTGAAGGTGCGTGTACATGGCTGGACTGGCCCAAGAGATGGTAGCAGTCAACCTCAGATTTAGCAAAGTTGTCTTACCTCTTGGCTAATGCTAATGTCTGCAGGCTCGGGGAGTGTGGGGGAGAGGAAAGACTCTGAAAGTCTCTACTTCACCACTGGCGATTAGTCTATGCCACAAGTCCCTAGATCTCTGTCTCGCCCATCTTTACCCATCTTTAACATCTTCTCCCTCTCTTGTGACATTACGTCTAACTGTGTTCCCTAGTTACTGACTCCACTGTCATCTCTTTATTTAACTTCTCCAAACCCCTCATGAATTTGTACATCTCAATCAGATCCCCCCTCCAATGAAAATAGACTCAGCCTCTGCAATCTCTCCTCATGACTGTAACTCTTCATCCCCAGAATCATTCTTGTAAACCTCCTCTGCAGGTAAACCCTCTAAGGCCCTGACGTGAAGAGCCCAGAACTGGACACAATACTCCAGTTGCAGCCTAACCAATGATTTATACAAACTTAACATTATTGCTTTGCTTTTGAAATCTATTCCCCTGTGTATAAAACCCACTGTCCACTCTTCTTCACAGCCTTTAACACTTGTGTTGCCACGTTCAATGACTTATGTACCCATATTCCCAAATCCTCTGCCTTTGAATGGGGAAAGAGGAGGGAAGTGAGAAATGTCCCCCGAGAGTAGTAAACAGCGACTTCCTGTGTGCGTCAGTGAGCCAGCATTGATCAATGTACCAAGGGGCAGTCGGCCTTGTAAACACAGTTGAACCAGAAAATTCCCTTGACCTGTGGGGTTTGAGCAAACTTCATCCAACATTGACCTTCCTCTGTAAATGACTTCGGCACTTTGTGACTTTACCGGCACTGTTTAATATTGAAAGTTTCATATTGAAAGTATCAAATGCAATAATCGCTCAGATAAAGTTATTCATTTACTTCAATACCCTTCGCTAATTGGCTGTTGCCACACTCACCCAGAAATACAGCTCCTTCACGTAACAGTTAAAATTCATCCAAAGCGTTTTAAGATGTTTTGATGGTGTGATAAGGTACTGTATCAAAAGCAAGAATTATTATTATAAAGCACGTTTCACAAAAAAGGGGTTAAATTGTGTTAAAATTTAGCATTGAGTGATGAAATGGACGGAGTGAACCTTGCCCTCAGGTGTGTGGGTGAGGCATGTTGTGACCCTGGTTAAAGTTTCATAGAAGAGTAAACATTTCGTTGGCGTGTGACCAGAGTGATCGGCCCCTGCAAACATGGGCTGGTGACTTGACTCTATGGCTGTCCACTCGGCTTTCTGCCTGTCAGCGCTCCTGGACACTACCCCGCGTGAAGGGCGCTATATAAATGCAAGTTGTTGTAAGGGAACTGACGTAAAATACTTTCAGGAATGTACCCAGAAGACTCTTATGTAATTTCCTGATCTGTGACATTCCCCCCACCCTGTCTTCATCTCGTAGACACTATTGAAATAACCATCACAAACCCATCAGATCTTAAGATCTTACTATCTGAGGGAGCTTACTGATAATGGCTTGCGTCCTTCACGTAAGACAACATTTGAGCACTTTTCAAGGACTGCAAACAAAGGGGTTGTGGGTTGGGGGCGGGGAGGGGTTGGTGACAAGCTGGTTGAAGAGTTAGATTTTAAAGCGGAAGTGATGGCAGAGGGGAGGTGAGTGAATCCAAAGTTTCTGTGGCTGGAAACGTATGGCAAGCCTGAGTTAGCGAAGTGAAAGGGCCCTCTCTCCTCCAGCCACAGTTAAGTGCAGACACTGCTTTAGCTTTGGAGCTCTAGGTCCCAAGTTTGTTGACATCTTAAACTCATTGAGTTTTTTTTTATCGATTATTTTCTACCAGGCTGCGGAGAACAATGTCATCATCAGCTCCTCCACTAATCATTCCTTATCTGTGTGGAAGGAATTTGACCAGAAACCTTTCCACCAGTACAAGTCTCCCTCCGACCCCGTGCACACCTTCGACCTCTACAACAATGAAATTGTGGCCGGAACGGTAGCCAACAAGATCGGGATCTACTCGCTCCTGGACACCTCCGCCCACGTTGGCATGAACAAGCTGAGCAGTGAGAACTTCCGGGGGACGCTGACCACTTTGGCTGTGCTGCCCACTAAGCGCCTGCTCCTGTTGGGATCCGACAACGGGATCATCCGGCTTCTGGCCTAGGCAGGACTCCCAGGACCTGATAAAACAGCAGCACCTTTTCCTTCGTTAATCACGCGTTCGTGTTGGACGTCTTGCCCTTAACCATAAGCAATAAGGAAGGCTCAGTGTCTCGCTCGATCAAAACACTCAGGTCCCAGTGTTACCAGATTTGTTGCAATGACACACCCCTTGTGCCCTGACCCTAACCCACTCGCCCTTTCTTTCGTACGACCTTTTGAGAACGAAGCGATCTTAGAGCTCGTTTTGAATTGCATCCTTTTTAAACTGTATAATCCCTGGTACTTATTTGCTATCTATTTCTAATAGACGTGACGAGAGCCACCAGGAGTTTTTAAATACATAGCACATGGAGTTTAAGTCCAAGAATTTTTTTTTTAACAAAAATGGTTACTTAAAATGCTTTCTTCTGGAGTTTACTTGGGCGCTCAGAGGAACAGGTCAAAAACACTGCAACTAATTGATCTACCTGAAACGTTGTAGGTGCTCCTTAATCCACTTGTGGTACAAGTGTTGTCGAGACTAGGAAAGACCTGTCAGGGATTAAAGTATTTATCTTCTCTGTACCCTCGCCCACCACACCCTCACTAAAAAAAAAATGGTGAGTCTTGGGAATGAAAGTTAATGGTGCCTCCTTGGTTAGTGCTCTGTGGACTGTCGGAGGTCCCAAAGCTACTGCACTGCGGTGGCATTCTGCCACTGATTTCTGATGACTGTTTGTCTTTCTTGCAAGTGGCGTTATTAGCTGGTGTCTTGATACCTTGAGGATACCTGAGACCATCAAGGTTCATGTGGGACTTCTGGCTAAGGCAACTTGGACCTTCCAAATGGAAGAGAGGAAAGGGGCTTCTTGATGGCAATTCAGGAACTTCAGTACAGTCCCGGTCCTGGTGCAGTATGGTACTCACTTGCCCTGCGTAACAGCTGGAGGAGAGGGCTTCAGAGGAGATGCGGTTAAAACATTTTTTTAACCTCATTGTCAGGAAAAAAATCAACCCTATAAAGTGTCAAGTGTACTTCAGTCCCCAGGGTAAATGGTTGTCCACTGTTGTGCTTCAGGAGAGCAGGTGCTGAGGTGGGCCTAGCTGGCAATACAAGGCTTCTGCCGTGAAGTTCTGGTTGTCGAGCCTGAATTCCCCTGTTTTTATGACAGTGAACAGCAAGGAGCTCATCCTGACCAAGTTCTGCCCTTGCTGGATGGGGGAATGTGAATATATGGTTCTCAGATATATCTTAATGCCCATTCGGGTGTTGGGATGGTTATGGGATACTGTGCTGTCTTCATCAGCAACCTGCCACTGAGGGAATAAACTAGAAAGGGCTTCTTCCAAATCGAAAGTCTGAGAACTCTGTGGTGTTGGTCTCGGGTCCCCAGAAGGAAAGATCTCAAAGTGAATCCAACCGCGAAAATGCAAAATGGGCTGATGCTGTGATGCGCAGCAGCTGTGTAATGGGTGTGATTCAGTCGGTGACGTTCCTGTCTCGAAACTAAAGTCGAGGAAACCGAAATGAGTTGCCAAAGCAGCAAAGACTGGGTTTCCGGGTTAGCAGAGCTGATGCCTGGGCATCCATCCATTGCAGACTCTAACCCTGAGTCTTCAGGTTCTGGTTTTGACTGGGGGAAGGACCGAACAGCACTGAACACAACAGTATTTCTAAAAGCCATGTCTTACATTCTTTCAGGTTTTCCTATATTGTAAATGGGTAGAAACAGCAGCAAAACCTTCTTCGCTGTAGAAGGAAACTTTTACTAACCATGGAAAGCGATCAAATGCCTTATATTCCATTTCATATCACAGTTGTCTCTTAATAGAAAGTGTTTTTGTTTCAAACCTTGGTTCAAGGTAAATTTATTGTCTGGAAGCGTTTGGTTAAAGCAGTCGCTATGTTGGACTGTGGAGGTGGTCATCAGGAATAGGTGCTTGGATTCTACTCTGACAATGAGTGCCCTGATGGTTCAGTGAACAGTAGTCCTTGCTCCTATACTAATGCACAGTTTGAATTTGTTAAACAGTATGGATTACATCCACTGATAGGATTGATAAATTATGTGTTCTCTTAAGAGCTGGGGCTCTCCAATTAAATGGAGCAACTGACTTGTTTTGAGCTCCAACTGGCTCTACCCTCTGCTCATGTGGTTCGTATTAAAGGGGAAGGGGTGTCAATTTGGGGGTGAAGAGTAGAGATGTTTTTTTTTTCAGCCCTCCCTTTTATTCCAGTCAGCAAGAATATTTTTTTCCCCCATGAATTCACGTTAATGTTAAACTCTACGCATACAATCGCCCCCCCTAAACACTGTAAAGAATCACAGAAAACTCGTTTCAAATGTCTGCGTGAATATCTTTTACAAAAGATCACATTCTGCCCTCTAGATACGTGCCTCACATTCACCTTCACTCTCGCCCTCTCAATTACACACACACACACACACTTGCACCTGAAAAGCTGTGCTCGACAGCTTTCACAGCAGTATAATCCTGGACTGAATTCCAGTGGGGTTATGTGCTGCGTTCACCAGCAGCTGCCTGGTCCAGTGCCTTGTTCTCCAGGGTGTGAAAGTTCTACGAGTTGGGCTTCATCTCAGGGACACTGACTGGCACAGCTCCTTACGAGATCAGGGGCATTGGTACCACTCCACCATCACCTTACTGCCCCAGTTCCCGACCTCAAGCTCGAGGCAACACCAGTTCCTAGTTGCAAAGAGGTGAAGAATTGGCACCTCTGTGAGAAGGGGGTGGGGGGCATGGAGGGGGGGGGGTGGGTTAAAAACTGAACGAAGCAGGTGGATTCCAGCTCAGAAGAGGGTGTTTCTGCCTGCCAATGACCAGTTCTGGTGGGTGTCTTGTCACTTTCTAAGGGTGCTCAACGCACATGCATTACGCATCTTTTTATTGTCCTTCGTACATTCATGCACTTGTTCCATCACTTGAGGCTCAAGCCACGTTCTGTCACAAGCCTGCAGGAACTTTCTAGCGTTGTAGCAATGGTTCTTCTGGAGATGTGAATATTTATAAATAATAAACAAATTTGAAAAGACCTCTCACAAGCTCTCGGTCTGTAATTTGGCTGAGGGTCATCAAATCCCTTCATGTATTCAATGCTCTGGTGCTTATCCAGCTCCCTGTTTAGTTGACACGAGCGTATTGGTTAGAGCACTCACCTCACAAGCGGGAGGACCTGGGGTCAATTCCCAGACAGAGTGAAATCTTAGACACGGTTTTTACGCCACACACCTATGTTTAATTAGCAGTAAGTAGGAACCCAGTTGTTAGTCGATTGGCAGATTGGTTTTCCAGGGATAATAATGCCTTTTTAAAAACAATTTGACCACTCAATCCACAAAATACAGTCAATTCACTTTACAGTGTACCCCGTGAAGCACTTTGAGACGTCTCAATGAAGTGATAAGACGCTATATCAAATGCAAGTTGCATTTTAGTCAGTTTAATATCTCGATTCCCTCTTTCAACCCAGACCAGAACCAATTGGAAGAGCTTTGCTCTTTATTTAGGGAGAGATTCTGCCGGACATGATCTTTAACCCTTTTTTTTAACCTTCAGCATTAGCACCATCTCAGAGCACAGGCTCAGCAATTGCTTACTTGCTTGACTCCTTGAGTCACTGCTTTACAATTAATTAAATTCTTGCGGATTCTGAAGCTGGGACATTACACTGACACCAGTTTGTTTTGAGAGTAACGGCAGTGTCCAAAGAATGCAATCACAGTTCCTCTAATAAACAAATGGCTCAGTTCGTGGGCGAATGTTTAACCACCATGTGGCTCAATATTTATTCACTGAACAAGATCAATATGCTAGAGGCCCCTGGAAGTTACTGATTAGTATTATTAGCTACAATCAGTTAACAAACTGCTGATGTTATGGGTATTTTGCCCATTTTTTCAGTCAGCACTTTAGATCGTAGGTACAGCGAACAAAAAGACTAAGTAAGGAGGTAAGGTGTTCATTTCTTTACTCCTATATTTCTCCTATGTTCCTATAGCATTCTGATTAAACTTCTGTTAATATTAAATCTGGTATAATTGAGATCCAGCAATTGATCCTTTTCCAATGGGTTGTAAATGAAGGGCAGATTTTTTTTTATAGGTCAAAATGCTGTTGGGTTAAATTATCCTTTGTTTTTTTTTACTCTAATGTCTTTGAGCATTCTTGACCGTCCAGCGCTTTGGGACGTCCTCCCGACCTGAACGGCGCACAGACAAATGTAATTTACTGTTGTCTGCGCGGCAGTTTGACTTATTATCCAGGACTGCAGCCTTGCAAGGCGTCAAGCGGATGCAGAGAAAGCTCCCGATGTTTGTCGGGTTCAGTCAGCGAGTGCGCAAGTGCCCGGTTTAAACGTACAGTGACTTCAATCTCACAGCTGCTTCTGCGAGATTGCTGTGGGCAAAATCTACGCCGTGTTCACCTACAAATACACACGGTCACTGCACCTTACAGCACAGTAAAGCCTCCACAAGTCGTATCAATCAGGACCGTAACACTTAATATGACTTGCGCAAAGCATGAGTTACAGGCAAACTTGTACATAAGTTGGATTTTATATGACTAACACATAACAGTAAACAAGTACCTTGTTTTCCGCACTTGTTCCAAACGGAGTGCATTGTGCTTCATTGATTGAAACATTATTTATTGTTTCAAATGAAGTACATTGTGTAATAGTAAAGTACATGTGTCGGGTGTTTCATCACCGCAGACGGTAAATGGACATGCGGTGATGAGTCAAGACTTTGTTTTTTCCAGTGATTCAGTACGGCGGGTAAGTGTGGCAGCGGCATTACGAGTGAGGAGATGAGTTGCATAGGATTTAAGATCATTTGGAACCAATAAACCATTAATATTTCAGCCATTGATCGCCTTTAAAAAGACGACTCGTGTGCAACAACCATCTGAAGTGTTTTTTTTTGGCAGGCAACTGAATGGGACTCAGCTGCACGTATGACTTAGGCCATTATATATAAAAATTACGCTTGTGCTTTTGAAACGATCAACGCTTTCTGCTTCCACTGTCTCCGGTTCCATACGTTTAGCACTCGCTCACCGAAATAGTGCCCAGATTTTTATATTTCGGACCCTGTGTGAGCGCTGTCCTTTGCCGACATTTGCCTGGTTTTACTTCTTTAATGCCTCTGATGCTGCACCAATTAATCCGCGGATACATTTTACAGGAGACACAGGGACGCGGGATGGACTACAGACTGATCATTGCGCTGCTGCTGTGCTTCATCCGACCAAGCAAAAGTACCGAAGTAAGCAATACTCTTTCCGTTCTCTCCTGCTTCTCTTTACTTATTGAATCGCTTGGTTTGGACGCTCTTAAGCATGGTGGTGGGTTTCCGTGTTTGTCAGTCGCCCAGCTGACCCCCCCCCCCCCCCCCCCACCCCCCCCCAAATTACACATTCTTGATGGAGTATTGCTAGATTTATGCCACAAATCAAGAAATATTCAATCAAGAAAAAACTGCTTTACCGACCGAAAAATAATTTTTTTTTTCTCTCGAGGGATTATTATCAGGTGTGTGTGTGTGTGTGTGTGGAGTAAGGAAACTTGCCCAAGGTTTAGCTCTGCCGGGATTCGAGGCGAGTGCTCTGACCACTGAGCTACAGGACACCACACGAGGAGGGAGGGGGGTACGCTGGCCACAGGTTGGCCACACACCGCATTAAAAATTTTCTTTTCCTAAAGGATATTGGAACGGTTTCTCCTACAAAGACGCCAGATGTATCTCTTTGCCCAAGCTTGGACCTTCCTCCCGAGGTACTGGATTATTTATTAGGATTATTTATTATTACTGTATTATTATTTTTTGTAGTACTGTGGCGTAATGGTTAGAGCACTCGCCTCGCAAGCAAAAGGACTCGGGTTTGATTCCCGGACAGGGCGAAGCCTCAAGTTTCCTGACTCCACGCATACGCCTCTGTTTACTCAGCAGTCGGTAGGAACCCGGTTGTTAGTCGACTGGTGGATGGCTTTGCCGGGGATAATAATCCCTTCAAAAAATATAAAAATTTGGTCACTCAATCCACGACTGCTTGAGGGACGCTGCTGTGTGCAATTGGCTGCTGCGTTTCGCCCACAAAATACACAGTCACTGCACTTTACAGTATATTCTGTGAAGCGCCTTGAGACGTCTCGAGGACGCGATAAGGCGCTGTATCAAATGCAAGGACTAGTATTAAATCTCAATTGAAAGAAAATCCTAAACAATTCATTGTACTTTTCTCCCAAGGTCTCAGATCCCTCAAAAGATGAATTCAGTGTAACTGAACAGCCTGTTACCCTAAAAAGTCTTCCCCTGGACCACACCCAGTCCCCTCACACCGAGAGCTCGACGGGTAGCTGTATGTGCACTGAGGAGCCGGGAACCAGTGTTTCAGACAAGGAACCGAAACCCACGCAAACTCCCCAGGAGTTTCAGGCGCTGGCGAGTCAGCCCAAGCCCGAGGTGAAGCCTGAAGACTGCAGCTCATCTGTCACCAGGGAACAGATGGAGAGTCTGGGGAACGCCATCACTGACTTTGGCATGGACTTGTTCAAGAAACTGTTGAATGAAACAAGTAAACCAAACATTGTCATCTCCCCGCTGAGCATCACGCTAGGCCTGGCTCAGCTCGCTCTGGGTAAGTTTATGGCGTGTTTAAACAAGGAGCGGGAGGCAAAGGGAGTACAGTAACCGGGCGTTCAGAGCAGAGGCCTTTAACAATGACAACTTGCATTTTTATAGCGCTCTTCTCGCCGGGTGGAGTCCCGGAGCGCTTTGAGACGTCTCGAAGACCTGTATCAAACGAAAGGCTTATTTTTTCACTGTAACACAGGGATTGGATTTCATGGGGTTGTGTTTTACCCTCTAGGTTCCATGAACCAGACCGAGAGCCAGCTCCGCAGGACCCTCCATTTTAATTCATTCCCCTGCGCCCACCACTCTCTCCGCCTCATGCAGAAGGAGTTCACAAACCAGGCCTTGCAGATCGCTTCAAGGATTTATGTAAAAAAAGGTGGGTACGATGCGAGGGTTTGCCTGCTCCTGTGGGGAGGCGGAGAGGCTTGTGGGGAGGCGGAGAGAGGGGGTAAGGAGGGAGAGGGTGGGCGCAGAGTGAGGGTGACGCAAGATCAGTATTGATTCTGGAGATGATTAAGATTTGAGTGAGACGTTAATGATTTATAGAGTTAGATTATTATTATTATTTTCTCTTCATACTATTAATAAGCTGTGTCTCAGCCTGACTCAGTTGGTAGCACTCTCGCCCTGCGTCTGGGCTTGGAATCACATCGTCTCAGCTGACGCTCTAATGTCTGCGCTGGGTGGGGGGTGTGGGGTGGTGTTGCAGTGTCAGAGGTGCCGTCCTTCGGATGAGACATTAAACCACTTGCTTGTTCAGGTGGATGTTGAAGGTCCAGTGCGATAATGCCAAAAGGGAAGGGAGCTTTTCTCTCTAAACAATCCCCTAAAAATAAAATTGGTCACTCACTCTTTTTGAGGGATATTGCTGTGCGTAAATTGGCTGCCACATTCACCTCCAAATGTGTAGTCACTACACCTTACAGTGTATCCTGTGAAGCGCTTTGAGATATCTCAACGACGTGCCAAGTTGCTATATCAAATGCAAGGATTATTATTATTATTGTGATTGCATCAATAGGATTCCACATTAAAGACGAGTTCGTCCAGACATTGGAGAAGTATTACAAGTCACAGACCCAGCTTCTCAAGGGCAAAAGTGCAGATGACACAAAGGCGATCAACAAGTGGGTGGAAGAGGTGACAAAAGGAAAGATTAAAGAATTTCTGCGCGAGGTTCCCAGCAACATCATCTTGCTCCTGCTCAACGCCATTCATTTTAAAGGTGCGTTCTGCTCTGACCGTTACCCGTGTGACTGCACAACCATTCTCCGAAGGCTTTGTATCCCTGTGTGTCAGCCTGGGGCAGCGATCGAGCTCTCGTCCCTGAGTCAGAAGGTCATGAGTTGAAGAACAAACACGTTAGTCTAAGCTGACGCTCACTCCAATGCAGCGCTGGGGGTACGTTGCGTTGTCGCAGGTGCGTCCTTCAGATGAGACGTTGAATTGAGGTCCCTCAGGGACTCAGGGAACCTGGGCCTCGGTTTCTCTTACCTGAAGGACAGTGATCCTCGCAAAGCAGCTCCCCCCGCCAGCACTGCACTTGAGAATCAGCCCTGGACCATGAGGTCAAGTCTTGACGTGGAGCTTGAACCTACAACCTTCTCGTGCTCTGGGACGCTGCCCTGGTTGAGGGCTGCGAAGGTAATTGCAAGTTGTTGTTGTTGAAGTGTGAAGTGCTGGAGACTGAGCAAAGGTGAGAAAGAGAAGCATTTCGGGTCTGAGTTGTGTCCTGACTGCCTTGTTCTGACAATCAGGGTATTGGAAAGCAAAGTTTGATCCGAGTGTCACCGCAGAAGGCTTGTTTTACGCGGAGGATGGGAAGAGCTTCCCCGTGCAAATGATGCAGCATCCGAAATACCCGCTGAGTGTCTTCATGGACGATAATCTTAACGTTGAGGTAAGACATCTCGGAACATCCTCCCGATGTGAAAGGCCCCGTATAAACCCAATTAGTTGTTGTATTAAGAACCTCTCAATCTCTGCTTATACTTTTACTTTCAACCCAAATTGTCCTTATCCTCCTGATCCAATTCCCTGTATTTCCAAATTCTCTATATCCCTGTTCCCCTGTCCTAAAGGCTGCCTATTACTCTTACCTTACGATTTATACATATCAGACTTATGCAAGTTTTATTATTATTGTATAAAGTGGTGTGTGTTTTTTTCCCTAGGTTGCCAAGTTTTCCTTCAAGCAGAACATGAGCCTCATTGTGATCATCCCAATAATGGACAGTAACATCAGCAGCGTGGCCAGTGAGCTAAACATACAGGAACTGCTGCCTAGGTTCCCCAGAACGAAGAACATTATGGTTAAGTTACCGAAGCTGGATGTGGACTACGATGTCGATCTGAACAATGTCTTAAAAGAACTCGGTACGTGACTTTCTCTTGTAAATAAGAACGTAAGAATTTGCTGACGAAAGAACATCAAGGTTCATCTAGTTCCCTTTCTGCCATCCCAGCAATCAGTTGCTTGACATGTCGCGTCCCAAACTATACACTGTATCCCCAGATATTATTTTCTAACAGAAATATATCTCATTTGTTCTTGAAACAAGCAACACTTTCTGCTTCCGCCGACTGTCTCCTTAGGGAGCCTGTTCCATAAGTTTCCTGCTCGCTTAGTGATGTAGTGTTTCCGCAGACTTGTTCAGAATTTCCCCCCCTTCAATTGCAGGCCGTGTCCTCTGGTTCCACTGTTCAACACAAGATCAATCAGCTTATCATGAATAGTCTACATTATCTCATCTCTTCAGAACCTTATAGACTGTTTGTGCCATGTTGCTGTGACATAGAGGATGGAGCATTGAGCTGTACTCATCTCTCATTGGGTATTTACATCTCGTTCCTTCACCTTCTGGTCCTTGCCTTTCTTTTCTAATCACGAGTCTTTCCTTCCAGGTCTGGGGGTGATTTTCTCCCACCCTGACTTCAGCCGCATCTCGGACCAGCCTCTGTTCGTGTCCAGTGTGAAGCACAAGGCCACACTGGAGCTGAAGGAGGAGGGAGTAGAGGCAGCAGCTGCTACCGTCGTCGCCATGAGCAGGTCCTTCTCCATGTTCAGCATCAACCGGCCCTTCATCTTCTTGATCCGGGACGACCACTTTGGCATTCCCCTCTTCCTGGGAAGCATCAAGAACCCGCAACCCCGTTACCACAAGAAGGCCCAGTACCAGCCGTACATGAGCTACGATGAAGATCTGAGGTCAGAGAAGTTGCTCGGCCCCAAGTGAGGAGGTCCTGGAGACACTGGTTACCCTGGCAATGCCTCGCCCGCCCGGCCGTGACACCACACGCAAATGTATTTTTATTTTTTACAAATTAATAAACAATGAATCGTAACCTTCCCTTGGCCTGGAATCNTTTTTTTGTACTGATCTGGTCCTCCCAGCCTCGCCTCTCAGCTTCTCTTTCATAAGCTGCACAGCAGCTTCAGCGAGGCTGTGCCCACCGCTACTCCAGCGCTCAGCCCGGCTCAGCGTGTCTGAAGTTCATGGGTTCAAGCCCCGCGTCGGGACTTTAAACCCACCTCGTCTCTTACATCAGCACTTTGACCTTCACACAGGACAGTCCCGCAGCGCTGCTAGTTTAGTCTAGGCTGACACTCCCAATGCTGTACTGCGGGAGTACTGCATTATCTTTTGGATGGGACCCATATACTTGTTCAGGTGGATATTAAAGGTCCCTAACATTGAGCTTTGCAGTGTATTGGTTACACCACCTAATATACAGGTCTAGGTTTCGGTTTGCGATGTGGGGCTTGAACCCACACCGGTCTGACTCGGAGGCGAGAGCTCTACCTGTGCACCAGGCTGATACCTAATCTGGCCCTGAGGGAAGATGTTAAAATCCTAAGGGATTCAAAGAACGCTGAAAAAAGAGAATGAACAGGAGATAGGAAAGATGACCTACTTCCTGGAGGTTTGTAGCACAAACGTTATGTCCCCAACAGCCAGGAAACCCTGTGAGCTCCAGGACTTTAACATTGCTAAATGAGTTGAGTTTAGATTCCCAGGTGTCATACTCAGGCTGAACAATGCTCTAGTCAGGTTGTTAGAGAACTTCATAATAATTGCATTTAACATAGTCCCTTATCACGTCATTAAGACGTCTCAAAGCGCTTCACAGAATGTACTATAAAGTGGATTGACTGTGTATTTAGTGGGCAAAACGCGGCAGCCGATTGCGCACAGCAGCGTCCACTAAACAGCCGTGGATTGAAGTGACCAGTTTGAGTTTTGGTGCATCCAGAGCTTTTCTTTCTTATTCCCATTTAAGATCTTACGCCCTTCAATGAGGCCTCTGTGAGAAGTGCCTCGGGCTTGAAGAGCCTGACCCGAGCTTGTCTGATGGTTGCTCGTAGTTGATTTCCCTAACACAGAGGATGATCCTGGTTGCTCTTCTCTGCACTGCCTCTATGGTTTGGGCAAGTTCATCATGTTGCAGTGACCAGAGCTATACGCAGTACTCCAGGTGCGTCCTGACCTGTGCAGTCACTAGAGAGCCTGAATAACAACTCCCTCTCTCTCTCATTGTCGCTACAAATTACTGGGTGGAAAAATACAAGAGCACATCACACAAACAGGGTCAGAGTGTGGCCTCAAAAACACTCCACGTGTTTCCTTTGATTGGGCAGTCGTAATTCAGCCCCCCAAAAAAGCCATTTTAGCTTCTTCTTGCTACACCAACCCTCTGCCAGCAGATAGAGCTGTCTGACCATTAAATCTCCCCAGTTAATGGATTGCAACTGTGGGCTGATTCTCTTTAACATGGGAGTGTTGTTACACCACAGAATCAGGCCATCGCTTGTGCTTAAGAGTATCCAAACCAAGCTGAGAATTCCCATGCTTCCCAACCCACACGCTGGCCATTCCCCGAGATGGAATTCCCACGTTCTTAAAGTACGATGAGAAAATATATCTTCTCTTTATAATTGGCAGAAGGGTTTGGGTGCACTGCATTCTCAACTGAAACAACAACAAATCACACTTGTGTAGCGCCCTTCACTTCGGAAAGATGTCCCAGGGCGCTGGACAGTCGGGGTGGGGGGGGGGGTAGGAGAGGTGGAGGGCAGGGGCTGGGAGAGTGGCCGGAGTCACGGTCAGTTGTTGAGAAGGTTTGCACAGTGCCTGTCTGATCGCTGGCCAGATGCAAAGTAAAGGAATCTGCGCAGTGTGAGGAGCCAGCAGGGTTCCTGTGCTTTTCAGTACGCGCTAACGAAATGTGACACCTCCGTGCAATTGGAACTTGGAGATGAAGTGGTTTTATTTTTAACCCAAGGTCTCCTTAGAGGGTTTCTGCTGCTTTTCATCTGTGATCGTGAGACCTGGCAGGGAATCCTACGTCAGGGCAAATATTTGCTCAGGAAAGCTGAGGGATAAAACCTGGCATCCGTGACTGCAAACTGCTCACTTTGCAAACTCGTCCGTCACTGGCAGGTAAGGAACCGGACTGCTTCACTGTTAAAGTACTAACACCCAGCAGACTGAGTGAGAAGCGAGAGGGGGAGAGAGATTTGGATTGAAAGTGATGAGGCTTGGAAAACAATCCGACTCCCTGATCAGAATTTTAGTTTGTGAAATAAACTGCTCCCAAAGGAACATGGTTTAAACCCATTGGAAGATATATAAATAATAATAATAATAATTGTATTTGATATAGAGCTGTATCATATGGTTGAGTCCTTATCCCCCAGAGGATAGAGTTCAAAATACTCATCCCCACTTTTATACCCCTCCTTGGTTTTGCCCCATCCTATGACCTCCTAAAACCCGAGTTGGGGGGGGGGGGGGGGGGGCGGGGGCTGGTGGGGGAGTGAGGTGGAGGGGTGGAGAGTGGAAGTTGCAGAGTTTTATGCTGTAGTTGCTGAAGGTTTGGCTAGCGATGGTGGGGTGGAGGGGGCAGGGAACACATAGCAAGCCCGAGTCAAATGAGCAGAGGATGTGAGGGAGAAGGCCTTGAAATTGATCTGACGGGAGCTTGGAGCCAATGTTCCTCTAAAAGGCAGGGTAGAACTTGAAGTTTGCAAACCCAAACTAATGTTTCATGTTAGCCTCCAGGCGGACTTCTGTGTGTGTTTTTTTCATGGAAATATTTGCTTGGGGATTAGCACAAAAATTTGTTTGATAATTAACCTGTCTGAGGAGAACAGAGGGGCCTCAGTTTTATCTGAAATCTCTTTGGTGTAAACGGGTAAAGTGCATTGAACTATCAGTCGTGCCTGAGACAAAAAAAGACTAGTATTAAAATCCCAGAGAGGATTCTGGTGACCATAGGCTTCAAGTTCAGGACAAGGGGAAGGTGAACAGACGGTTTAGATATAATTCCACAGGTGTGTGACTATGTGGAATAGATATCCCAGGGAAGCATATTATAATAGTTCTTATATTTGATATAGCGCCTTATCACATCGCTAAGACGTCTCAAAGCGCTACACAGGATATATGAACTGATGGTGTATTTTGTGGGCGAAACACAGCAGCCAATTGTGTACAGCAGCACTGTGGGACATCTCAACAAATTTACAAGGTGCTATATCAAATGCAAGGATTATTATTTAAACAGGACCATTTGAATTGAATGATTTCTGACTTCTTTGACGTCCATTTAAATTTCTCAGAGATGTTCTTTATTAATATGATTGCGAGTGAGTAAAATCTTTACTCTAGGTAAAGGTTTCAGCTTTCTTCTTAATGTTTCCTCCGTGCTCCCACTACCCTTATTTTCTGAGGCCCCTTTAAGTAGTTTAAGCGTTTAAACCCGTACCTTTTCTTATCTTCTGAACCCATTTGCATGAGAGTCAAATGAGGTTAAATACAGATCAGTTTTCTGTTTTAAGTCCATTTCTGTAAACATAACCTCAACCTTGGCCGATTGTGTAAGATTTAATCTTCGTTGGAACATGTGGCCTGAGAGAGAGGAATGGATTCTCTATCTGGTTTACTCTGCTCCTTATCTCTTGAGTGAGGCATGTGTTTGAACCTGTGAAACTTTGGGCATGTTTTTAAACAGGGACTGGAACTGGGGTGATCCCCCTCCTGGTGATCCCAGTGGGCTTTGGCCTCCAGCACAAAACTTGCCCTCACATTCAACAACAACAACACACTAGGCAGCGTCTCAAACCCACACTGAGCCCAGCCTGTAAAAAAAACAAAGCCAGGCTGGTGAGAAGTTCATAAAAAGCCATCAGCTACACGTTGCTGATCACAGAACAGCTCTGGCAAAGGCTCAATATAGGACACTGGACTGGTCTGGCCGTGGGCTAATGCAATTGAGATGGAGATCAGCCAGAAAGCCAGGTCCTATTGGTTATCCTGAGACTGGGACCTGCCTTGCCATCAAATTTATTGGAACTGACCTTATTGAAATAAGATGTTTGGTAATTTCCCCCCTTCGAATACAGGATGAAGAGTCTGATCGTGTTGGTGAGCCTGACAGCCCTCAGTTCCCTCTCTCTCACCCAAGATGAGGGATTCCCACAGGTAAGTCTTTTCATGTTCCAATACTTTGCAAAGGTAAACAGCTGTGCTTCCAAGGCGTTCTGATCGGAACAGAAGGCTTCACGAAAGAGGAAGAACTTGTATCTTTATAACACCTTGTGTCAAAACGTCTCCAAAACACTTCAACATCCTGTCAAGTAAGACTTGGTGTGTGTGCGTGTGTGTGTGCATGTGTGCGTATGTGCCAGCCCGCAAGGACTATTGTTATTGTTATTACTAACTACTGCTTCTAATAATAATAAGCCTACTGCCCATGTGAGAAGTTAAGTTGCTGGCATATTCATACTATACATGGGTTCAGCCTCCTTTACATTCTCCAGCAGATTTATCGTTCTGCTTGATACCCAAAACCATTGCTTCTTTTAAACCAGCGATCAAGTTCACAAAAGGTCATTGAACAGTTAAAGTGATAGTTTGGGTTTGCCTGTTGGGCAAGCGTGTTCTCGAATGACTAACAATGCAGTGGCTGAATCACTAGATATAAACCATGTGAACCCTTCAATTAGATTCCAGCCTGTAACTCGCTCCTGGGTGCCCAATATAATTAGCTTCAACAGCACAAGGTGAAAATCACAACAATAATCATCTCAAACATTTCCAGGGATCATTCAATGAAGAAAGAACATTTCTGGAGATGACGGACCTGCCATTTGAAGAGGAAGAGGAATTGCCAACTAATCCAGTCCAGAGAGTTGCCTTGGCTATCTCCACCTTTGGCTATGATTTATATCGGAAGGTAGCCCAAAAGACCCCCACTGCCAACGTCTTCATGTCTCCCCTGAGTGTAGCCACAGCTCTGTCTGAGCTCTCGCTGGGTGAGAAAGATCCTGGTTCCATTCTCTGTCGTTCCAACATCACGGTCAGAGTCCCTCTTTGGAATCCGGGTCACCATAGAGAGAATTATTTTCCCTTTAAATGATCTACCTCCTCTGTCACTTCTCCAAATTCTTTTCCTTCAAGGTGATGCACTTGTGCTGTAAATATGGTTATATGTGTATCAGGTACCAGCAGCTCTATGGTTCCTTGTTTGACACGTGAGCTTAGACAGTGACAATTAGAGGCTACGTAACTGCTGAGCTGAATCTTACTCTCAGGTGTATGTTTTCCAGCAGCAAAGATTGGTTACCGAGCAGGGGTGGAAATCTAGTCTCTGTTTCTCGTTCTTAGTTGACATAAGAACCACGGTGCTCCAACCACGGCCTCAGAATAGTTCAGCTTCACTGAGCACAGGCCAGGGATTGACCCTCCCTGCTCTGTAAGGCTCAGGGCCACACCACACGGTGGCTAACATTTGTCCCCTTCTTTTGGTCAAAGCGATCATTATTAGGGTTATTAACAACATTACCCCTATTATTGACCCTTCATTTTTTTCTTTTGTTGAGGGTGAGAGGCCTTTTTCAAAGGTATTTTCTGCTTCTTTGTCTCTTTTTGGGTTGTTTGTGCTAAACTGCACACCAATTCCAGCCAAGAGATGTGGACATTTGTCCAGAACTCGGCCAATGCAGTTTCTTGGCAACCAGAGCCCCTGAGATGTCCCCCCGTTGACCTATGCATTGACGTTCCTTACAAGCCGCACATTCAGCCCAAGCCCAGTTCCTCATCCCTCCAGAACCATGAACCCACCTTGCCCGGCCTCTGGTCTTGGCTCAGCTCTTTCTTGAATGATTCAGCAGCCTCTGCCTTCCCTGCACTTAGCGGCAGTTTATTCCACAAGTTCCCAGCCGGAATTGGTAAGAGATTTCTTCTTAACTCCTGCGTAGCTCTGGGTTCATTAACCTTATGCCTCATGTCCCCACTTATCATCCCCGAACCCCAGGTATTTGCTGGTCATTTTGGTTCAATTGTCTAATTATAATAACTGTTGCTCTTCCTGATTATGCATATTCCTAAATCCTAATATTTTCAGTTTACGAGATGTCGAGATAATAATTTAAACCACTTAGCAGTGTCTTTAGAGCATCTCAGTAGATTTATTTTGGGTCTGACATGTGCAGAAACCCAATACCTCGGTTAAGAGTATCGAAACCTGCACCAAAGAGTGGTCTCATGCGTATCATATGTGCAAGTGACCTGCCAGGATGGTGGAAGGCAAACTGGATTGACCTCGTCTAGCAAATTCTAATATTCCAGCCACATCTTCAACACTGTGAGCGGCGAATCTTAGGATTCCCTCTTACGTGTTTAAGGTCAGAAACACGCAGAATAACTGATTTCAACAAAATCTGTAGTGAGGTCAATGCTTTGTTTTCCGCTGCTATTACTTTGTGCTGTTTTATTTGTTTCTAAGGTGTTGCCGAGCCGAATGAGCAAATGCTTCACAGGGTCCTCAACTTTCGCTCGCTAAACGATCTGGAGATTCATAAAGTCTACAAGGACCTCATTGCTGAAATCACATCTCCACCCAAACAATTCAAAATGGGAGCTCGAATGTACACAAGGAGTAAGAGCATGGTGACCAATAATAATAATAATAATCCTTGTGTTTCATATCATGTCTTCGAAACATCCCAAAGCGCTTCACAGGCTATATTGTAAAGTGAATTGACTGGATAGAGTTCAAAATCCTCGTCCCCGCCTTCAAAGCCCTCCTCCAAGGCCTGGCTCCTTCCTACCTCTGTGACCTGCTAACTCCATATTGACTTGCCCGATCCCTCCCCTCACTGCCCGAGTGAAGAGGGCCATCTACATAAACACAAGTTGTTGTTGATGTGGAGGAAAGCGATTCGGTAAAATCAAACCAAACTGATGTTTCTCAGCGGCTGATGTTTGTTTGTTCTCACTTTCAGGGCTGAAGATGAAACCAAATTTTTTGAAAGAGGTTCAAAAGTTCTATGGTGAAACGCCCAAGGCCCTGGGTAATAAACCCCAGATCAGCCTGTGGAATATTAACCAATGGGTGAATCAGAAGACTCAGGTGGACAGGATGATGACCTCAGTGCCTCTGCGTCTGAGCATCTTCTTGCTTAGTGTCGGCCATTTTAAAGGTAATAAATTTAATTTGCATTAAGTTACTTTGTCCAAGTGGCAAAATGGAGCCTGAGACTCCAGCAGAACAGCAACTGGGTGTGTAGGCAGTGGCTTGCTCCACGACCCCCGCCCTGCACACTTCACCATCGGAGGTCAGGCCTTCAGCCTCTCTGTCCCCATCCTCTGGAACTCCATCCCGGAGGCCCTCCGCCTCGCCCCCTCCTTTGCCTCCTTCAAGGCTTGGGAAGTCCTCCTCCTGACTTGAAAGGCGCTATTTATATGCAATTTGTTGCCGTCGCTGAGAAGGAAATTGCCTTGTCTGCTAATCCAGTGATCAGGTCCAACTGCAAGAACTGTTGGCAGTATTCCTGTTGTCTGTGTGATTGCTGGGTTGATTTCCTCTACAGGAAATGCAGGAATCTGCACCATTTATTATAAATAGTAACGCTCATACTACTAAAGTGGCAAATTACAATCATAACTTAAAATCAGAGTTAGCCAACTGTGCTCCAGGCTTGTTGACAGCGAACGTCAGACACTTTCCAGGCTAAAAGAGTCACCATTTTCCTTTTTTTCACACAGGTCAATTGATGACAGGGTTCATTTCAGCAAACATAATGCAAAAGCCGTTCAGGGTGGATCAGGACACAGTGGTCTATGTCCCCATGATGACTGAAATAGACTATCCTCTTCGGTTTGGTTACGACTCTGATTTAAAATGCAAGGTAATGGGAGACATTATCTTTATAATCTTCCTGCCTGTCTCACTTTCCTGTAGTTCTCTGTATCACTGCAAACACAAGCAACAATTACAATCCTCTCTCCTCACGTTCCACATTCACTGTGAAAACAATGGCTTAACCACAACGTAATTGCCATCGACTTCTAAAGGCCCAGGGTAGCATTTAAGAGCCCTGGTGGCATATTCCTCGTGCCCCCCTACAGGAAGAGACATGAACCATAAGTGATCCTTAATTCATGATATATAAGCAGTTGCTGGGACTTGAATTTTCATCCTGCATTACGGGTTTTGCCTCTTTGAGAATGTTTGTGTGGCTGTACGTTTCTTGCCGGCCAACCTGCGCCTAATAATCTTTGGAATTAGGCAACTCCAGGGTGAGAGAGAGAGGGAGTGTGCATTGAATTCCAACAATCTGTCTCTGGGAATTTCCACGTGTAGGAGGGATGCATGGAACTCTCAGTTGAGATTGGATATTCTTGAAGCGTGGTGATGGGTTTCCGTATGTGTCAGACCCCCGGCTGCCAAAACAAAACCCTGAGGGGACAAATTGTGGATCTCACAGCTCCTGTGGATGTTCAGTAAACACAGTTGCTAACATTTCCTTTAGATCGGCATGTTTCCATTTGTCGGAGACATCAGCATGTTCATCTTCCTACCCGACGTCATCAGTTCAAACATGACCCAGCTGGAGGACAACCTGAATCCTGGCTTTATCCAGGACCTCATTGAGCAGCTTCAGGAGGTTCCAACCAGCGTCTCCTTACCCAAACTGCGGCTCAAAGCTGTGACGGAGCTGAAGGAACAGCTCGGTGAGTATGAGAGTCAAATTCGCACCCGGGAGGAATGAGGATTCTTCCACAGGATGTGGATCATCCAGAAGTCTGCGCCCTGTGTCCTCTCCCTTTGTTGCTGTTGTTGAGAATGACAGTTGGACCCTTGGCCTTTAAAATTAAACAACACAATGTCTGCAGGAGTCCTGTGGCGTATTGGTCAGGGCACTTGGCTCGCAAGTGAGAGGGCCTGGGTTTGATTCCCTGGCAGGGCGAAACGTTAGGCAAGTTTCCTTGGTCCATACGCCTCTATTTACCTAACCCCGGATCGCGTTTCCGGAGGTAATAACCCCATCAAAAAAATTAATATTAATAATAATTATTTGGTCACTCAATCCATGACCGGAGTATTTACGTTCATTAGCTGAAGGGTATAACACACAAAAAACAAATTGCTGTTGTGTTAAACAGAACTCGAGCCTCTGTACACCTTGTCTCGGATGCCGAAAATTGCAAACCCCCCTCTGAAGATCTCGAGCATTAAACACCTCGCTGTCCTGGAGCTGCAAGAAAATGGGATTGAGGAGTCTGTCAAGGAGGAAGGTGGAAGGGAACTAATGCTGGATTTCCATGTCAACCGGCCTTTCATTTTGGTGTTACACGATAACGCAAGTGGGTCGTTGCTCTTCATTGGAAGGGTCATGGATCCCAGGGGGCTGATTGTAATTTAGCCCCCACCCCCGCCCCCAAAGAGACAGTGGCAATAAATTAACCTGGAGTGATCTGTGCCTCAAAGCTCTCGTAATATTCCAAACCGAGACCACCTCAGTGTGGAATACAGTAAAACCATATCAGTTGGAACCACACATTTGAGATGACTTATGCAAAGTATGACTGACATGAAATGTATAAATAATAATAATCATCCTTGCATTTGATAGAGCGCCTTATCACGTCTTTGAGACGTCTCAAAGCGCTACAATAGTAAATTCAACGGAACTTGGACAGACTTAAGGCAATTATACCATTTATACAGATCAGACTTCTGAGAGTTCTACTGTATCTTACTTTATCCTTTTCGTTTCCTGACTCAAAATATCCATTCCAATTTCAACCGATTGGTTTGCGCTCTGGGTTGAGGATATCCGTAGCTTTGTTATACAGCTATCTATGCAAAACCATTACTGCGTCTCCTCTCTCATTAATCATTGCTAAAACTGCTCTGTCGTACTAACTGCGCTCTCGCCAAGATGGGTGAATTAAAGTGACTTAATTGATACAGCCCAGTGCCCTCATTCAGTACATGAGAGTAAGAGATAAGGATGAAGTCACCTCGAGTCCAGCCTGCAGGCTCGACTGTCTCTCCTTTAGAATCTCAGGCTGTTTCTGAAATGCACCCAATGTCCTGCAAAAGCCAATGTTTCTTTTCGAGGCCGAAGAGCCCCGGCTTAGAATCACACTAATTAATCTACAGCATTCGGTATAGCGCCTTTCACCTTGGAAGGACGTCCCAAAGTGTTCCGCGGGATTCACTGTCAAGTGTAGTGACTGCGTGACTGTCTACTCCTCGATCACTCACTTAATATTTTACAAAGGCTTATTTTCCCGCGCGCTTTTTTTATGTCCAACTTTCAGCAGCAACCGAGCTTTTCAGAGGAAAAAAAACACTTCCAGAATCCATGTGTTGTACAAGATTTATTAGTTATTACAGGTTATATACAGGGGAAGACAAAAAAATAATCATCCTTGATTCTTCATGGCTTTTCATCGTTCAATGATAAACTAAAATATCAAACAAAGCTTCTCCATCGAACAATCTTATAAAATCAATGAACTGGCAAGCGGTGTACAAGGCAAAACCAGTCGTGAACACCTTCTGCGATGGCAAACTGGGATCAGAAGGGATCACATTTCCATATAGAATTTACCCTGTTCTGTATTGCTTTACGTATCACACATTTACGCACGGATGCTGTGCAGTGTGAATCAATTTAGTGAGTCTGATAATAACAATAATAATAATAGCTATTTTTATTTTTTTAAAAATGTATAATTAAAGTATAATCTGGAGGAATTTTTTTCTTATCCCGGCTTGGAAGCATAGGCCTTTGGCAGTTCGTCAAAGAGAGTAAAGGGAGGTTAAAAGATTGGGGTAAGGCGGAGGAATTGAATTCCTCACCAGTAAACTCTTGAGCTTGATTTTCTGTTATTTATTCGTGCATTGATTCAAGTGATCCCTCTGTACAACAGGCAGTTTTGGTCCATGACTTAAGCATCATCTGGAGTTGAGGCGAGGTGCCACCTGTGTGAAAAGGACACAAGTGTAGATCGGTTACAATGCTCTTCTAACAACAACAACAACTTGCACTTATACAGCGCCCTCCACGTAGGCTAGCGTCTCAGAGCACTTAACAGTGGCGGAGCCTGACCCCGAGCCGAAGGGGGAGGGGGGGGGGAAATGGGGGGAGGTCGCTGTAAGCACGGTTGAAAAGGAAAGTTTTCAGCCGGGATTTGAAAGAGGGGAGAGAGGGGGGGCAAGGCGGTGGGGGTGGAGGGAGAACGTTCCAGTGTTTTGGGGCATAGTGGCTGAAAGCACGACCTCCGATGGTGGGGCAGAGGGTGGGAGGGGCAAGTGGAGGGATTTGGACCCGAACTGGGGGTTGGGATCAGGAGGGGTGGAGATCATTCATGAGCTTCCATTGCCCAGAGAGCTCAATCCCACCTCATATCAATGACAAACAAAAATCCCAAATGTTTGTTCCGTTTGGTTTCAAAGGATATCCAGGCAAATGGATCTACACCAAATTCCATGAATTCTCCTTTTAAAGGCAGATTGAGTTGTTGTCACGTTCACCGTTAAACTCATTTTAAACTGTCCACTTTACAGATTTTATTGGAATTTCCTGAAACCCTGGGCAACTATACAGTAGTTTAAGTTGCTCCTTACTTTGTGTCAATGAGAAATCTACGGGATCTCAGTGATCAGTCAGGCATTTGATACGGCATCTCATCACAACTTCTAGATGTTTCAAAGCGCTTCACAGGATATACTGTAAAGTTTTGCCCGGCCTTGGAATCGAACCCAGGTCCTCTCGCTCGTGAGGCGAGTGCTCTAACCACTGAGCCACAGGACTCCCACTTCATTCCATCGGTCTAAACTGTTCGTTAAACAGGGCTGTGAAGCACAGCAGCCGCTTACCACTGACAGGTGACCATTCTTTGCTTTGGATATGATCAGTTCTGACCCGGATGTGAAATCGATTATTCCTTCTTTGCCCTGTCCAACTGTGAACTTTATGCTGTGGGAAGAGAACAAATCTTTAACACAGATCCTGTAATAAAACCTTAAAGTGTTAAAGTTACAAACTCCATATCACCGAGGTGCGCACTTGTAATTATAATTGTGTAGCGGGCACAGCCTCACCTTCCCTGGATGATGTTAATGTTGTTGACTTTGTCTGCGGTCATGGCTAGTTTGGTTAGTGTCTCAATCACGTGATCACTCTGCAGCACAACATCACCCTGGCAAAGAAACCAGACAACGTCAGTAAACAGAACCCTGGCCGTTGAAATACCTCTGCACTTCTAATCTGCTCTTCGGAGATTCTAAGACAGGTCTTCTCATCAGCAACGGCCCCAAGAGATGAACACTGCTTAAATGCTGAATCTGGGCTGATCAGAAAAACACCGGTTCCTTTGCTTCTCCAATAATAATAATAATCCTTGCACTTGATATAGCGTCTTGTCATTCAATCCACGACTGTTTGTGGGACGCTGCTGTGTGCAATTGGCTGTCCTGTTTTGCCCACAAAATACAGCCAATTCACTTTACGGTATACTCTTGTGAAGCGCTTTAAGACATCTCGAAGATGCTATATCAAGTGCGAGGATTATTATTGTTACGAAGTACTCAGTCATTCAAATTACTGCATACACAGACAATTGAGTCACAGAACTGCAACACAAATAAATACACCCACAATCACACTCCACTTGCTTTCAATCTCCAGGTTTTAGAGAGCCCGGTCATGTGTTTGGTTCAGTGGAATCCTATACAGACCAGGTTTTGAGAGACCCACATCATGCTCCTGTATCAGATCCTGGATTACCTTCCAGGGAATATGTACGTACCTTTTGCTTGTTGTCTTCACAGGGAACATGAAGAACAAACAGTCCATCGCTCAGCGAACTGACAGATATTCCTGAAGAAAAACAGATGAGAGGCAAAAATACATCAGAAACCGGCATGCGTTCAAGTGTGACCATCACATCTTGATTTATTGATACGATATTTCAGGAATAATCAATATTGCAGGTTCAGTGTGAAACGTTGGTCCTGTTTCCGTCCTCCACGCTCTTGCTGGGAGTGTGGTACACCAGGGTACACACCGAAATACACAAAGCTACACCAAACTGTACCTCTTAAGTTGTTGTAGTCGATCCTCTGTTTAAGTTTGGCTTCTTCCACAATGAAGGCACTGCTCTGTGCAATGACCAACTGCCGCGTTCTAGCCCTGTAGCCCTTCCTGTCGTACTTTGTGACGGGCACGGCGTACTGTAAGAGAGGAACCTGAGTTACTGGAACATTATAACATGAAGCCTCCCATCCTTGGCGTCATCAAATGTTTACCCAAACACAAGGTAACTGTGGGATCTGATCTACGGTATTTCTTCACAGATTTCTCAATCAGAAATAGAGTACGCAATTCTCAAACTCCTGAACTGTCGATGTGCTTGTAATACGTGCTATAGTCTGATCTAACCCTGACACAGGATTATTGCGTGTCTGCACAAACACGTACCTGGATTTTATCGACCTCTATAACCTGCAGCACCTTGGGGTTGATTTCGTTGGATGCTGGAACGAGAAGAAGGTACATTAATGGTGGACCTCAAACAGGGTCTCCACAGGTGCATGTCCCACTCTGCCCTGCCCCACCCTCCAGCAGGCATCCCCCTGACCCATCACCCACTGTACACATCTGGTCGAAACAAACTGCATTGAAGCATTTAAGAGGAAGCTAGATTTATACTTGAGGGAAAAGGAAATAGAAAAAAATGAATAAAAATAATAATTTGGTCACTGAATCCACAGCTGTTTGTGGGGACGCTGCTGTGTGCAATTAGCTGCCGCGTTTCTCCCACAAAATATACAGTGAATTCACTTTACAGTATATCCTGTGAAGCGCTTTGAGACGTCTCAAAGACGTGATCAGGCGCTGTATCAAATGCGAGGATTATTATTATGATGGCAAAGGAAGGGAGTAAGGAGTGGACACTAATGTAGAGTATAAACACTGGCACAGACTGGTTGTGTTGAATGGCCTGTTTCCATGCTGTAAGGTCTATGTAAATCAATGTAAATCCGCAGCCCACACCATCCACTAGTCCACGCTCCCAGCCCACACCCACCTGGCACACCCCAACCCATGCCACCACATGCCCGCCCAGCCTGCCACGCCACCTACATTGCTAACTTTAGAAACAATGTGATTTGGGAGATTACTCACTTATCCTGGAGGCGACAAAGAGTTTGGGTACACTTTGAGGATAGTTGTCTTTCTTATCCTTGAACAGTTCGCTGGCTACAACCTTCTGCTCCAGCTGGTATAAAACACAATGAAACTGTTAAATATCAAGCTATCCGAGGAAAGCATACACAAAATCATTGTCCTATTGTAAAGCGAATTGACTGTGTATTTTGTGGGCAAAACGCAGCAGTCAATTGCGCACAGCAGCGTCCCCACAAACAGTCGTGGATTGATGTCTCAAAGCTGTTCAACACTGCTGGATAGACACCAGAGCTGGGGGTGGAGCTGGGGGTTGGGGAGGGGAAAGTTGACCAAACAGATGAGTCTTGAGACAAGACCTTAGATTCTGGAAGAATGTGATCCAATAGACCAAGGCCCTTCTTCACCCAAACTGATCTCTGCACTAAGTCCCAACTTCTTTCAATTTCTCCGTACCTGTTGCTTCCATTCCAGAGTGATCTTCTTGCAGTAAGTCTGGACCATATTTTGCATGTGTAAGTGTCTCAACTGCTCCGAGGCCTGAGGAGAAAGGCAGACATGGTATCTTAGATAGTACTGTCAGGGCTGGAGCATTCAGGAGGCTGGAGTTCACCTCCCACAGAGCTCCTCTGCCTCAGATGTACCTGGGTGAGTCTCTCGAGGAAAAAATGGCAACTCTTCCCATGGTCTGGACCTGAAACATTAACCCACTTGGCTCTCTCCATAGGTGCTGTCTGACCTGCTGAGTGTTCCCAGTGACTTCTGTCTTTATAACCCAAACTAGTTAGCATTTTGAATGATCACAAGTGAGAAACAGGGTATTGTATTTTGACTTCTTTCCCCTTTTGACATTTTACGTATTTTTTTATTGCTGCAGGACTGACTAAGTGTCCCAACTCACATTAGTGCCTCTGTGTGGGCAAGTGCACACACACACACACACACATACACCACCACACACACACCCACACCACACACACACCACACACACACTCACATACCACACACACACTCACACCACACACACACTCACACCACACACACACCCACACCACACACACACACACCACACTCACATACCACACACACACTCACACCACACTCAGACTACACACACCACACACACACACAAAATAAACAATCAGTTTAGTTTTACCTCTGAGAGCGCTGGGGGAGGTACAGGCCACGATTTGTCGAGAACGTTCTTTGGCAGGTTTCGTTTCAGTTTCATGAGGAATGAGAATCTCACGTAATCCAGAAAATATTCGTTCTCAGGACAGCGGGGTTTATGCCGATAAATAAAACCCTTTACGAACCTGAGAGGAGAAAGTTTTTATAAAACGGTACAAGTTTGTTTTCACATCCCCCACCCAAATTACTGAAGGCTTTATGTCTAATATAATGATAATAGTCCTTGCAGTTGACGCAGCGCCTTATCACGTCTTCGAGACGTCTCAAAGCGCTTCACCGAACAAACTGCACGGTGAATTGACCGTATATTTTTGCGCGTGAAACGCGGCAGCCAATTGCGCACAGCAGTGTCCCCACAGTCGTGGATCGAGTAATCAAATTATTATTTTTTTTAGGGGATTATTATCTCCAGAAAAGCCATCCACCAATCGCCTAACAACGGGGAGTAAGGAAACTTGCCCAGGCTTTGCCTTGCCTGCCCAGGAATCAAACCCAAGTCCTCTCGCTCGCAAGGCGAGTGCTCTAACCACTCAGCTACTAATGTTTTGCAGTTGCTTTGAAGGGAGTGAGGGAAGCCTAACCTGCGTATGACGTTGGCTGCGTGTCTTTTGCGAGCAGCTTTTCTGCGACCGAGAATCCCCCTCCACCACGACTGAACGCTGATGGCTGTAGTAACAGAAGCATTGAGACCCTGTGAGTTTCACTGAACTCCACAAGCAACAACAACAACAACAACTGGCATTTATATAGCGCCCTTCACATCCCAGAGCACTTGTACACTTAACCCAGATATATTTGTTCATGGCAGCAATTTAAAACCAGAAAACATTACACAGGATTTTAACGACAATAAAAATATACCGAGTAATTACCGACGTCTCTCACAACATCTCAAGTTACATCAATTCTGGGTATAATTCAGAAATCATTCAGGGAGTACATGTTCAATGCACGGCTCACACACACACGCACACACACGCACGCACGCACAGAGAACAGGGAAACACCTACCCGCTCCTTTCTGCTTCAGGAATTTCTGTCGCTGATGGAAACCCCGCCAAACTGTCTCAATCTTCGTGGCTAATCAAAGAAAACCGTGACAAAGAGGTTAGAATTCCACCAAAGAACCAAGAATTTCAACTCACTTTCGCAGCAATGAGCCTCGCACTAGTTCAGGATCAGTTTATTCCCCCCCCCCCCCCCCGAGTCACTTCCATTTGCCAAATTGAACGGTAATCAATATCTATTATTATTAATAAATCAGGTTAATTCCACCCACTCTCATCTAAACGATTAAAGGTGCACACACTCACCTATAGTATGTTTCTGCAGTTCAAAGGCATCTTCAGTGGCAAAGAGAGTCTTGGGAAAGCGGATAAAAATCTTCGTCCTTGAGTGTCAGAAGAGACAAGAAGATATTAAGAGGATGGGAACTGCTGTGCAGGAGCTCCGATGGTGAAGGCAAAAACTAAACTTTTTATGGATTTTTGTTTACTGTACATCAAGATAGAGAACGTCTCCGTTCACACAGGGTGACCAAAAAGTCATACCACCATTACAAATGTCTAACAAGTCTTAAATAAATTATGTTTTAGGGTATTTTTTTAAAAAAAGATAATAATTATCCCTTATCCTGTACATGCAGGATAAGGGATAATTGTACTCACAAACCAGAATGTAACAGATTAATGGTTAGAGTCCTTACACTGTAGTTCACACTTTATTCTCTCCGTGCTCAAGGCTAAGTGTTGTACTGTACCTGCCCAGTTTGTACTCCTCCGGTTTATATCCAAGGTGCTTTACCAGAGTCGCTATCCCATCAGAAGGACGACCTTTCCAATTCGGCCAGGTCTCTGGGCACAAAGATTTGTACCTACAGACAACAATGATTACTGCTAGTTATTGAACAAAGCCTTCACATTAGGCACTCAATCAAACCTGGCCATTTCCTTCTCCCCCAGTCTGAATAAAGCTATAGCCAACGCAAGGACAATCTGGAATGTAATTTAATAGTGTGAAACATCTCATCTCATACTATTCCCTGCTGTATTTCACAGGAATTACCAAGAGTGCAGTACCACTGCCTGTTCACAAATCGTAGATCAAAGTTGATGGAATAGAACCCAATGCAGCCACACAAGCACTTTGATCATCTGAATAGAACCATTCATGTGATTAAATTACTGCAAGAGGGGGTTTGATTCTGGGTCTAGTTTCTTTTTGAGAAGCACCAACCTCTCGAGACTTTATCAGTGTTTAAAAACAGTTTGGGTTCTGGAGGCTGGAAGCCTTGCAACTTGAAAACAATTTGCTAGATTTACATCTGACTATATCGTTTCTCAACGGCATCTGCTACCGAAAGGAACATTATAATAATCCTTGCGTTTGATATTGCGCCTTATCACGTCTCCGAGACGTCTCAAGTGAATTTTGTGGGCGAAATCCGGCAGCTAATTGCGCACTGCAGCGTCCCACAAACAGTTGTGAGTTCCTGAGTACTGCTGGATAAAACAGAGGCGTGTGGAGTAAGGAACCATGCCACGCCCGAGAATCGAACCCAAGTCCTCTCGCTTGCGATGCAGCTGCTCTAACCACTGAGCTGCAGGACTCCACAGGAAATGGCAAACCAACCACTTCAATACACAACACCGGGGATTGAGGGCCTTTCAAATGCAAATCTTCAGCACTTCCTACATTCCATTCAGATTAACACACTCACTCACCTCTGCAGGAAGATTTCAAATTTCCTCCGATATGCAAAGCCAGCTCTCCTTACTCGGAGATTTTCCATTAGTCCCAGGTATTTCACTTGATGTCTTATTAGGACTTCATCAAACTTCCCTGAAAATCAAGACAAAGATAATGGCCATTCATTGTTACGGTCAGCACACTGCCAGGGTAAGAGATAGCAAGGCACTACAGCGTACTGATGCTCTGAGACACAAACTGATGGACGTGGGTTTGATCTCATCTGAAGCACATCACATGCTTTAGTCACAACTAAAGGCTGCGTCTGCCAGCAGGAGAAGGGAAAAAAATCAGAGGAAAGAGGGATGCTGGACAGAAGTGGTTCCTCAGGCCTCCTCCAGTGCCCACACAGAGGAAAACACTCAGAATCAGAGTATGGGTTTGAAACTTGTGAAAGTCAATGTGATTTTAATTGCTACACAATACTTCCGTTTTCAAAAGCTGGTGGGATTTTATATCCAGTATCTTGAACCGTGGGAGACAAGTCATTCACTCTTTGTCTGGGGACGGATTCACAACTAGATATGAAAGGTCAGTGCTAATCTAAGCAACTACATCACCCAGTTTCTCACTGAGAGNAAAAAAAAGGCCTCCATTTAGTTTGACTGTACCCAAGACTCTAACAAGCGCAGGTTTCCAAAGGTTACAGACTGGTGAATTACCGGTTTGCTTCGAATCATTTGGTTTAATGCAGCGGACATAAGAAGGATCTTTAGACATCAGAATCTCCATCAGTTTCGCAAGACTTGCCTTAAACTGAGTGGCTGCCTGAAAAACAAGACGGTTAATAAAGATTACTGTAACGCTAAGTTTTACTTTACGTTGTGGACACATGTGTTGATGTGTTCGTGTGAAATGGCTTCTCCTTAAGGTAGAGGAGCAGCTCTTAACTATCTGATTTATTTTCAATGATGGCATTACTGAGTGAACATAAACTTGATAATAAACCTTGCGTTTGATACAGCGCCTGATCACGTCTTCTAGACGTCTCAAAGCACTTCACAGAGTATACTGTAAAGTGAATTGACTATATTTTGTGGGTGAAACGCGGCAACCATTTGCACACAGCAGCGTCCCACCAACTACCATGCACCAAATTCTTCTTATTATGCATTTATTAACATGTGTACATAAGAGTCACTGCCCTTTGTTGTGTATGTATCCTATAACCCAGCTGCTTACCGTTTCTGGTCTCTTCCTGTCATCGAGTTCACTCCTCTCAAAGCACTGGTTTAAGATGCTATTCCCAGAATCGCACATAACCTGACAAAAGCCAACATGGAGAGATCATGAGAAGATCAACGGAAAACTTGAGAGAGTTCTGACAATAGTTATCATCCCAAGGTCTGATTGAAACCAAATTGCAAGGATTTTATGTTGATTTGGGGGCTGCAAATAGTCACACGAGGAGTTTTCTTAATGCTCGCTGTTCTGTCACAGCGAGTGTCTCTGCCCAACTGTTTATTACACATCTATACAAACTGCTCGCAGTAAGTGATGATCCCAGGCATTTATCTTCACAGAAGATGGTCGAACAGACTGCCTAGGATGCTAATGGATGTGATTTGGGCTGAACAATTTCAAGAGAGAATTAGATGGGTTATGTGGTGGATATGGGGCAGAAAGAATAGGTTAATATTCTAAAATATAGGTATAAAATGACAGCTTACCTCTTTCAGATTCCTGAAGAGCAGGTCATTGTTTTTGTCCAGGAAGCCTGTTAAAGAAAGGAGTGTTTGGTCTTTAAGGTGCTAATAATAATACTAATAACCCTTGCATTTGATACACCGCCTTATCACGTCTTCGAGAAGTCTCAAAGCGCTTCACAGAATATACTGTAAAGTGAATTGACTTTTGTGGGCGAAACGCGGCAAGAATTGCGCACAGCAGTGTCCCACAAACAGTCGTGGATTGAGTGGACCAATTTTTTAAGCGGTGTAATTTGAAGAGTAATTGAAATGATTCACTGTAGAATGTATGCCTACCAGTCACGTTATAGTTCACCTCTCCTGCATAGTGTAGCAGTCGAAATTCCTCCCGAGCCAAAGTCTTCCTGGTTTTCTGATCACCCAATTTATGTCTGTCACCAAGAAGGAAAATGGTTAGCTGTAAAATGACTCCAAGAGTGATAAAGTAATAGCTGCTTGTGGGATCTTGTTGCTGTAAATAACTGCCACATTTATCTAAAATCACTTTACCTGACAGTGAGCGCTTTGACGTAATAATATTAATATTAATTTCTTCTTTTACCCCCTAGATCACCTGCTCAGGAGAGAGGATTAATCAGGACTGCCATGGATTGTCTGCCTAGATTACGAACTCAAAGTCCTGAACTTGGGGCTTGCAAACCCAAACCTTCTGACTCGAGGTGATAGTGCTACTCACTCAGGCTGACACCTCAAAATAACAACACGAACTTGCATGTACATAGCGCCCCTCACTCTGGGTAGGGTCCCAGAGCGCTTGAAACACACAGAGTACAAGGAAAAACAAGCTAAAAGAAAAGGTTTCTGCTCACGTGACAAAGTGGGGATGTTTGCCAACTGTCTCCTCCAGCTTTTCAAGGAAGGTTAAATCAGTCGCATCTCCCGGGCGCAAACATTCCTCATCCTGGTTAAAAGAATGACATAATAAACCACTGACCATGTGAGACAGTGGGATAAAAAAAAGGTTTGTGGAGCAACGACATTGCTTGGGGCACCAGCTTCATGTGTGAGGTGTATTTCTAGTCTGTGTCTGACTATTTGAAATGATTTTGGGGGGAAGGGCAGGCAGTTTATTCTGTTTTGCAATATTCTGATATACATTCCGACATGCATTATAAAACCAAGCGATACTGAGATGATGGGTCCTCTGAATTGCCGCGGAGTAACAATGATGGGAATGGAAGGGGCAAGGCGGAAGGATAGAGGTAGTGTTCCAGAGTTTCGGGGCGTAGTGGCTGAATGCGGGACCACTGATGGTGGAACGGAGGGCACGAGGGACAAGCGGGAGGCCAGAGTCAGAGCGGAGGCAGCGGGTAGTGGGTGGGGAGTGAGCAGCAGGACTGCTTCAGCAACATCAGGATTGGCGATGGCCTTGGTGTATAAAACAAATGAGACGATATAGAAACTCAACTGTGTTTTTTTAAAAAAATTGAATTTGAAATGTTAAATGATACTGACCAAAATGGAGATGATCCCTTTGTGTTTCTCCTCCACCAGGTCACAGATAATCTTGTTGTCGAAATATTGAACAGGTTCCCACTGAAAACAGAGAGAGGCACCTAATTCTTTAACATCATTATCAACAAATAGCAAAGCCTCCTATACCACAGCAGATCCCCTTACAGGAAAATTCATTTAGACCCACGGAATAAGTGAGTGATAGGTCATTCCTTTCATTGCAATGCGTCACCTCATTTCCATTGATTTTATTCGATTCCAACAAAATAACAATAATCCTTGCATTTGATAAAGCGCCTTATCAGGTCTTCAAGACGTCTCAAAGCGCTTCACGGAATATACTATCAAGTGAATTGACTGTATATTTTGTAGGCAAAATCTCTGGAATTTCCAGGTGTAGGTGGGATGCATGGAACTCTGTTTGATTTGGATACTCTTAAGCATGATGATGGGTTTCCGCACGTGTCAGACACGTGACTGAGCAAAAAAGATTTTTTTTCTTTTTCTTTCTCCTTTGGATGCAATACTCAACGTTTGGCCTGACTTTCCACAGCTTTTTTTCATCCTAGACTTGTGGTTCTTTCATGAATAGAGACCTAACCTCAGCTGCTCTCGAGAGGGAAAGGGAGGATTGAGTTCATGACTTCCCACACAGTGTTGGTGCCCAATAGGGAACGGGGTGGAGAACCTCTGTAAGTGAAAAGAATGCTGTCTTTACCATTTACATAAGATAGACCTCAATGTTAAGGTGGTTACACCCGATATTTATCGAATGCAAATCTTCCGATGTAAACTGTTCCGTATAATCAGTTGTACCCATCATGGTCCTATGTTTAAGGACCCACACTAAATGTCTCGAGGATTCAATGTGTACATCAGATTTTAGAGATATTTGCAGCAATATCATTATTGCTCTCATAGGAAATCAGCAACAAAAACAAGTCTTAATTACCCTCCAGGCTCCCTTTAAAACAAGACCTAATTACCCTCCAGGCTCCCTTTAATTTGTTATTGACGTAATAACAAATTCATCACTGTAGGAACAGAATATGTTGCAGTAAACTGATCTACCCTACTGCATCATGGACTGGCAGGGTACAGGTTAGTGATGGCGATTCAACAACAACTTGCATTTATATAGCACCCTTCATGTGGTAAGCCACTAACCCCGGCCCCTTGTGTGAGGGCCTGTGCCTTGGTTCCTTTCATAAGGCCTCAAGTTGCAAAGTTATTCGGGAACAGAGAAGAGTTGGATGTGGATTTACAGTGGTGGACTGCCAGCAATCCGAGGATCTATATGCCAGCACACGTTATGGCACACACGAGGGGAGGGGAGGCGAGGACTGACAGACACTGGATTCTCATGGTCTCCCTTCCCCGACGTCTGTGGTTAACGTACCGCTATTCCTTCGGATTCGTACTCCTCCTGCTCAGACTTGAGTGTCAGCTCAATGAAGAGTTGCTGCAGCTTCTCGTTGCAGTAGTTGATGCAGAACTGTTCGAAGCTGTGGAAGATAGACACGCATGTCCCATTAAGAACAAGGCACGAGCCCAATACAGTCCTTGCTATTAATCAACTCACCCCCTTATCCCTCAATAACAGCTCATCCCCTGCCCCAAGTAACCATCAGTTAATGCATATAGAAACATAGGGACAAGCAGAGGCCATTCAGCCCCTCAAACCTGTTCAGCCATTCTATAAGATCATGGCTGATCTGTACCTCAAGTCCAATTACCCGGCCTTGCCCCATATCCCTTAATACCCTAACCTAAGAAATGTCTATCCACCTCAGTCTTGAACTTCCATTGCTAACTATGGCATAACTTGTCTTGAAAGTGGATTTATTTACATTAATGATCTTTCCGTGTCACTATTATCAATAGACTCCGATCACTCAGTTACCTGTGTTTATACTGAATGTACTGAGCTGCCTGTACGGCCACTGAGAGCCATATCTTCTGTCTCTCTCCTGCTGCCTCTCACAATCCTATGACTAACCGGCACTCTGAGTTACACAGTGCCAATCTCCCTCCATCTCGTAGCACTCTGAGCTGTGCACGAAAGCAAATAAACAGTAACCTGTTACCTCTCGGAGCACTTGCAGCATATATACAGTATTAAAACGTTGTACGAGAACGGGAAAAATAATTTTAACGTGCAACAAATAGTGCACTGAACATGGTGGGGTGGGGGGGTGAGTGGTGGGGGTGGAGGGGGTGAGGGGTAGAGGGAGAATGAAAATGGAAACAAGTACGCCAAATGACACAATGCGTTGGATAAGTTGATTCAGTGAATCCGAACAGGCCATATGACAGCTCTACACCGTACAATATTTGATGCTCCTCTTCCGAGGGAGATTACAGAGGCGACTCAATTCTCTACTCGGCACTGATTCAAGTCGGAACCGCAAATGTCAAAGTTGTACAGCAGGGGGAGATCCGCTCGGGTTCCCAATTACCTGTTGTGTTGAAAGACCTCAAACCCATAAATATCCAGGAGTCCGATCACTGCGGGTTTAATCCGGTCAGAATACGTGGAGTCCTAGAAACAAGGAATGGATTAGAGTAGAATCTAATGCGCGATTAGATTAAAAAAAAAATCAGCCTGGATTTAAGCAAATCAAAATTGATACCCAATGATGGGTCAGTGCTGGGTCAGCTATCTGCGTTTACGTCTGTCCAGACGTTCAGCACGGAACGGGGCAGAGGCAGAAGGTACAGAGATCCAAACGCAGGGGATTAGACAATTCCACAGTCGTGGAGTTCAGCTCCTGGTTCTCCTTGGTTCTCCTCAGAGCTGAACTGCCTCCAAGGTGACCTGCCTGGCAATGGAATGTGGGAATCGAGGCCGCCCTCTGTGCCGGTCTCTAGTCCCGGGGCCTGAGCCAGGAGGGGCCGCAGTATCCCAGGGCACTCAATGCAGATGACAGCACAGCCCGGCCCATCGACAGGACCTGGAAGGTTCGACCAGTCACTGTGGGCAGGGAATCCTCCCCTTCGGCTCCTGTTAACCCTGCAGCCAAAGCCCCTAACGGGTAGGGTGGTCCTAGCTGGACAAGCAGCGGCATGCATGACAATCTCAACCTGGTTCGGATACTCTTAAGGATTTCCCGCCTGCGTCAGACGCCCGGCCGACCCCAAAAATACCCGGACATAATTTTGAAATTACGATTACCTTGTGCGCAAGAGACGTATTGATCTTGTTGACGAGCCAGGAGAACGTGCGGCCATAGATGGCCTTTGCCACAGCATCCCGGGCGTAGGCTGCCTGCTCAAGTTTCAGAGGGCTGATGAGCTGTAAAGAGGAAACAATGTTAGTAGCTGAGGCGGAAGAGCAAACAAAGAGCCTCAATGAACTAAAACTACGTCCCAAACAGATTAAATCCTCTGTCCTGGGATTAAGCGCTCTGGGACGCTAGCCAGTGTGAAGGGCACTATATATTATGCAGCAGAAACTAAGCAACAGGCTAAACTGAAGCACTCTGTGTGTTAGTACGCGATCATTCCTCACCTCTTCTCCCTTGGCAATAATTTTCTTGTGAGTCAGTGACTCACGTAGGACAGTAGCTGACACCTCCAGTAGCTGGAAACAAAATAAAAAGAAATATTAACTTGATCACCATCCAAACAAGCAGCAGGGACAGCAACAGTCTATTAAGTACATACCCTGGACAGCAGTTTGACCTGGTTTTCTCCATTAATGGTAGCATTTCCGTTGTCATCTTCTAAGCACTGGACATTTCCCAGGTGCAGGACACTGGCAATTATGTTTAGCAGTTCCTGTATGAGAAAGAGAAAGGTCATCACAATTGGTGCATAAATACTCAAATGGCTAGTCGGCAGTGCAGTTTGAGGAAGATTCTTGTACGCACAATCCCAGTCAGATTGCCCAAACACTTACAAAGTCCACAGTAGTCGAGGTCTACTCTCTGCCCACACTCGCCAGTAAGTTTCCCATAATACAAAGTCCTCAAACAGATTCTATAGCCACTGCCCTTCAGTCTGAACAAATCCCCAGCTACTTTATTGAGAGTATAAAAAGCAGCACAGCCAGGACTTACCTCCACGTCCCTGTCGCTGAAATCGATGATAGACAGTGCTTTCCGCACGGTTTTCCAGTCATTCTTGTCGTTGATCGAGCTAACTTTTGCACACTGGCCCTGGAACATATCATGGACATGGTCAGTACATCCCACTCCTGCGCCCGTGTGGTTACAATAATACAGTACAAAATCTAATTTGTAGAGCTCCCTTCAAGTCGGGAGGAAGTCCCAGGGCGCTAGTCCTTGTATTTGATACAGCGCCTTATCACATTGTTGAGACGCCTCAAAAGGCTCCACAGAATATATTGTAAACGGATCAACTGTATTTTGTGGGCGAAACGCAGCAGCCAATTGCACACAGCAGCGTTCCCCAAACAGTTGTGGATCGAGTGACCGAGTCGACCCTCTTCTCTCAGCACAGCTCCTTACTTTGACGAGATACTGGTAGCTCTGGGGGTTGCGTTCCAAGCCCAGCCTCCTCAGCAGTTCATCATCTCCCCCTTCAATCAGCTGGTAAAATATGTGAAAGTTCCTCTCTCCGTGATTTTGGTGGACCACTCGGGATTTCTCCAACAGATAATTGAGGATGTGGCCTCCTACAGGCGCTCCCTAAAACATGACACAGCAAAAAAAAAAAAAATTTGTCATAGAAATGAACCATAAAAATGTACGCTATGATAACAAGTTACATTTGTATACAGCCTTTCACATCAGGAGGATGTCGCAAGTCGCTGGACGGAAACAACAAGGCTGTTTCTGTGCTGTGGGCAGAAACCGTGTGCTGTGTTTGCCATCATATTTGAACTTTTGCATTACTCTCGACTGAACCCGAGGTTCAAGCAATTATACTGGGGGTTTAATATGAGATAGTCACAACCTCCATCTGTTGATTACTTTGCTCTCTAGCCCTTTTCACACTCTACTCGCTTTCAATTAGCTGTTTGGCAAATTTCCAAATGCTGCAGCTGTCAATGTTTTCAACCAGAAATAATAATCGGGTACCAAGTCCAGTTTGTCTATATGGGAAATTAGACTGTTTCCTCTCCCATCCCCCCCCCCCCCCCCCCCACCACCATCAGTCAATTGCTATACCACTTTCCTTAACTGGATGGGGTTGTAAAAGTGTGAGAAAATAATCAGAAATGTTTCACAGAAACACCTGCAAGCAGGGAAGGTCCCTGCTCTGCGTGGTTTGGTTAAACAAACAAATGAGTTATGAGTCCTTCAGCCTGCTCTTCACTCTACTCTCCGCATCAAACACCTTTTCAATGATAGCTGGATAGACAGTCCTTAACTAGTGGGTATACATTTACCACGTAATTCCACCACTGGTGGCATTTTTTCGCCCGAAGGATATGGTACCAGTAAATGCATTATTGTTTGATACCAATGTCTTCTTACCCTAAAGTCAAACTGAATGTCCATGTATTTGCCAAAGCGACTGGAGTTGTCATTACGTAGGGTCTTAGCATTTCCGAACGCCTGAAAAAAAATCAATTGTTAGTGTTTAATAATAATAATAATCCTGGCATTTGATACAGCGCCTTATCACGTCTTCGAGACGTCTCACAGCGCTTCACAGAATACGCTGTAAAGTGAATTGACTGTATTTTGCAGGTGAAACACGGCAGCCAATTGCGTACAGCAGCGTCCGACAAACAGTCGTGGATTGAGTGACCAAATTATTATTTTTCTAAAAAAAATATTTTTTGAAGGGATATTACCCCCGGAAAAGCGATCCGTTGATCGACTAGCAACCGGGTTCCTACTCACGATGAGCTAAACTTAGAGGTGTGGGACATCCTCTCGACGTGAAAGGTGCGAAACAAATGCAATTTTGTTGTTGTTGTTGTGTGGAGTAAGGAAACTGGCCTAACGTTTCATAACATAACATGTAGCAGCAGGAATAGGCCATTCGGCCCTTCGAGCCTGCCCCGCCATTCAATCATGGCTGATCTTCTAATCTAACGCCAGCTAATACCATAACCCTGCCTTATCCCCATATCCCTTAATCCCTTTTGCAATAAGAAACATAGTGCCCTGCAATATGTTACACCCTGCCCAGGAATCAAGCCCAGGTCCTCTCGCTGGTGAGGCGAGTACTGTAGTCACTGAGCTACAGGACTCCACTATTGCACAAGCAAGTCCTGCTTACCTCCAGCACCGGGTTAGATTGGAGTAGCCTGTCCTTCACCGACTCCACCCTGCCACTGGCGGGGCAAGTCACAGCATAGTACTGAAGGATCTTCTTGGAGGCCTCAGTTTTGCCAGCTCCGCTCTCTCCAGAGATGAGGATACACTGGTCCTTCTTCTCAGATCTCATTGACCGGTAGGAATTGTCAGCGATGGCATAACTGTAAGATAAAGAAGGGGATTGATTACAATTGATGTATCGCGTGGCAGCACTTGCCCTTCTGATCCAGGACAATAATAATGATAATTATAATAATAATCCTTCCATTTGATATCGCGCCTTATCACGTCTTCGAGACATCTCAAAGCGCTTCACAGGATATACTGTAAAGTGAATTGACTGTATATTGTGTGGGCGAACGCGGCAGCCAATTGCGCACAGCAGCGTCCCACAAACAGTCCTGTTTTGAGCGACCAATTTATCATTTGTTTTTGCTCGTCTCGTCTTCTAATCTCATCCAAAGAAAATCAACTCCTTTTGACCACACGAGTTTCGTCATTTGCTGATTAAACGTGGTTTGCAACTTTCACTTTAAAAGTTCTGTGAAAAAAAATCACAGAAATCCTCTTCCTATACTGAGGAAGCACTCTCTCCCCCGCAGGAAGAGGGTTGTGACCTACAGAATGCATCACGCCTTCTTACAACAATACCATCTCCTAGCAACCTTCCCAAAATCAGCACAAATAGGAAAATAAATGAGCAACAGTTTGGGCTCGGAAGAAACAATAAGGAACTGTGGAACCCACATAGTCTGAAGGAAGACAAGGCAGGGAGCGAGGTGAAGGCTGTGGGATTGAGCTCCAAAGAGTGGGGAGCAACAACAACAACTTGCACTTACACTGCGCCCCTTATGCAGGCTAGCGCCCCAGAGCGCTTGACAGTGGCGGAACACGCTGTCGAGCCGGGCGAAGGGGTGACCGTAGGCACGGTCGAATAGGAAGGTCTTCAGAAGAAGATGGGGAAGGAAGGGGCAAGGCGGAGGGATACAGGATGAGTGTTCCCGAGTTTCGGGGCGAGGTGGCTGAAAGCGCGGCCACCGATGGAGATCACGAGGGGGCAGAGTTACACGGGCAGAGAGGCTGAAGGCCTGACCGCAGTGCTCTGGTTGGTCACACTTACATGTGAGGCGAGACTTCATAGAAATTGACTCCTCGGTATCTTTCCATGTGCTGTTTTGTGTAGATTTCCAGCTCCTTGTACGGATTCACCGAGACCAGCACTGAACTGATGTACGTCTGCAGACAAACCAATAGGGGGTAGCATTAGCCAGGTTTCAACCCGAAACCCAAGACCCAACAATTTTAGCAAAAGTCTCAACGTTTTGGGTTGGGTGGGAAGTAAAAGCCCCAATCGCTCTCTCCTCTGAATCAGAAGGTTGCGAGTATGAGCCGTAAACCAGTCAATATGATGCAGCTAATGGGACTGCTATCAAAAAAAGGTCTTTAGGCGGGATTTGAAGGTGGAGAGGGAGGGGGGGGGGGGGGGGCAAGGTGGAGGGATCGAGAGAGTGAGGTCCAGAGTTTTGAGGCGAAGTGGCTGAAGGCACGGCCACCGATGACGGAAGGGAGGGCACGAGGGACGTGCAGGAGGCCGGAGCCAGTGGCGGAAGCAAGACGAAAGAAAGCAGGTTCTTACATAGATCAGATTTTCCTTGAAGCGTTTGCGCAGGTTCTCGATGAAGGCTGCCTCGCTGGTGTAGTTCTCCAGCAGGACAAAGTCCTGCACCCCGACACGGTCACGGGCAGTCAGGGCACTTTCCATGGCCAAGCGGGTCCCTTCGCTCCCTTGGGCCTGCAGAGAGAGGGAAATCACAGTCAAACATTGTGGGAGTTTCCATCAAACCTGCGGCAATAATAATAATAATAATAATAATCCTGGCATTTGATAGCGTCTCAAAGGGCGTCTCAAAGGGCTTCACAGGATACGCTGTACATTTTGCGGGTGAAACAACCTGAAAAAGAGCGGGAGAGTGGGTCGAGTTGGGCAGCTCTTGCGTGGAATTCTCAATTGGGTTTGGAGACTCTTTTAAGCACGGCGACGGGTTTCCGCACGCGTCAAGACCCATGGCTGACCCAAAAAACAAATGATGTCATTTTACTGCAGGGCAGGAAGTTATCAACTTCGTCCAGGTCTCTGTTGCGCAGTTAGTTTGGTGGCACAGTCTCCGTTGCCACCTGCTACCAGGACATTGTCAAATCCAAAGGGCCCGCTCCCTCCCTCTGCCACGAGGTACTGACGCATTATTCTCTCCAGAGCACAGAGGATCCATCATAAAAGGAGGAAAACGGAGACGGCATCTTTGCTTTCTAATGATATCATTACAGCTCGCTGGTTTTCGCACGTGCGTGTGGGCTTGGCGGTGTGTGCAAAGATCTCCAAGAGCAACCGTTTAACCAGCTGTGAAAATAAATTTGGGATTCATCCAACTGCCCACAGCACTTCGAGCAGTGATCTGAAGTTATTATTCAGCAGATTCGTCTCAAAGCGCTTCACGGAATATACCGGCAAGTAGATTGGCTGCGTATTTTGTGGGCGAAACGCGACAGCCAATTGAGCGCAGCAGCGTCCCCACAAACAGCCGTGGATTGAGGGACCAATTTATTATTATTATTATTTTTTGGAAGGGATTATTACTCCAGAAAAGCGATCCACCAATTGACTAACAACCAGGTTCCTACTTATTGCTGGGTAAACAGAGGCGTGTGGAGTAAGGAAACTCGCCCAGCCTTTCGCCCTGACCGGGAATCGAACCAGGGTCCTCTAACCACTATACTACAGGACTCCAAATGAGGCAACATTTGCTCTGGCTACAAACTTTAAATTGCAGACGAAAGAAATCGTAACATATATCATTACAAATTGCAGTAGAAAGTGACATAATAATGAACAGATTTGACTCCGACGCCTTTTTTAAAAAAAAAATCACAGATTAAGTTTCCCCGAGGAACTATCTCCGAATCATACTTCACTCAACACAAGTGCAAGTGGGTTGTTGTTTGGGGAGCGCTAACAAGTAGGAAATTAAATGCTTTCCACACAGCCTGCTATACAGGATAATAAATAAACAAGACGTCCAGACCAGAATAGAACATTACAACAATAATTAGCAGTAGCTTGGACTCTTTTCATAGTACAAAATAAGAACAGAAATCGCTGGGAATACTCAGCAGGTCAGGCAGCATCTATGGAGAGAGGAAAGTGGGTTAACCTTTGTTAGGTCAATCGTTAAACGTCTCGGTTCCAGAGGGGAAACAACAAAGCTACAACTTCTCGCAGAACTGCCATCAAGTGAAATTGAGAGCAAAGAAATTCATCAACTCCCGACAATCGGATTTATTTCCAACTGAGCAACTACTACAAACATTTGCATAAAAGATTCCATTGTTAATCCGGTCCGGAATGCTCCTGAATGAACCCACTGTACCTCGGCTTTGCAGGATGATGGTTCAACACACAGGGATCCAGTCAGAGCAGAAGAGATTTTAACTGTTGGTCCCATTCCAATGGAAAGCCAATGATCAGCCAAATTCTGCTGGCCTCCCTCACTGTATAGGAAGGTGAAAACCAGCAACCAGCACACTTTACAAAGACATTCAGACAAGCCCTGGCTTTCACCGTGTGTCTGCATCCAACATCTGGATCGCAAAATATACAGGAAGTAAAAAGTTGGCTTTATAGTACTTCTCGGGTTACTATTTATAGTTCAGTCAATCAAAATACGAGTGGAACGGTTCATTTAAGGGGAATAAATTATGCACCGTTTCAAACGTTAAGTGCAGGGTGACAGACAGTGCAGTAGGACAGGAATCCACATAGCGCACAACAGAACAACGAGATTATCCACACAAAAAAGATTGCCGTTCTCAGCTATAGTTGAGAGAAACAGCCATGAGAAGGCCAACTGCAAAAGTATAGTGGAGCGGATTTTAAAAGAGTACAACACCAATTTGCTCCTGCACTCCTCCGAGAAGCTAGTTACAGACCCCACCCCCCCTCAATGGTAAAGGAATATCTCTATCTACCCGCAAGAAAGTAAATGTCCAGTATATATCCCCGATTGTGCAGCGCCTTGGGATGTCCTCCCGACGTGAAAGGCGTTGTACAAATGTTATTTTGTATTGTATCGTAAATCAAAAAGGGGAGAATACTGAAAAGGGAAAAGATTGGGAAATTATTGGGAAACTGCTTGAATAAATAAACTGAGAACAAAATTAGGAATGCATACGTTTTGGCCGCATTAAAAGTAAAAAAATACTAAATCTTTTGAAGCCAAGATTGGCAGTTCATTGTCAGCCGGGCCTTTAAGAGTTTGGTGCAGAATTCCTCAATGGCTCTGTTGATACAGCTAAGGGCGAGTTTGAAAAAGAGAGCTTTAATAATTCAAGCAATGTGCAGGCACAAAAAGCCAATCATCCCTGGATTCAATTTTATGATTCGTCCGAGATCAATCACTAGAGAGATCTTAATTAGAAGTGAAATTCACCATTCTTATACAAAATACTGTAGAAATAATGGTAAAATCTAGAGAATGTTCAACAAGAAAGAAGTTCTTGTTGGGGCCTGCATGGAAATGACTGAATGGATATTTGCTTGTCCTCATTTGGATTTAAATTCACGCTGAATAATGCATTTAATTAAAGTATGTTGAATTTCTCGCAAATTCTGCAGGGCCAAACGCAAGCAGCAACAGGAACATAAGGATCCGATAAAGATCTATGTTGTGTATCAGAGAATCCGCCATCAACAAGGTTTAATATGGGTTCTCCCTTGTGGTTCATGGCTGTCGTGTTTCGCCCACAAAAAGGCAGTCAATTCACTTTAAAGTATAGTGGGTGAAGCGCTTTGAGACGTCTCAGTGATGTGATAAGGCACTATATCAAATGCAAGGAGTATTATTATTATTATGACGATTAATCCTTTGCATCATATCATGCCTACCCAGCCCTCCCTCTGCCCCAGGCTTTGTTATTTGGCTGGGATATTACTTCCTTGTGTTCCAGACCACACTTAACCTGTATGTGCACTCCAAGCATTTGCACAGATGAATGCAAGTGCACCAGTCTGGGACATGTTGCTAACGTGGGCCGATCCTCAGCTGGTACAGGATGCACACCACATGTCCATCCGCAGCATCGCTGCTACAGATGTCAAAAGAGTGTGTGCAGGAGGTTTTTTTTTCAGCCTCTCTGCCACCCCCACCCTTTGGCACCTCATCCCGCTGTCCATTCACCTCGCTACCCCTACCCTCGCCCACTCTCCATCCCTCCTGATCCCAACTGCACCAATTCGGTTCAGTCCAGTCTGTGTAGCACCTTAGCAATAGGACCGACACTGTTGGCGACAGTTTTTGGCAGGAGGCCTGAGAGTTTGGATAAGCATTCCAGACTCTTGTTCGCTTGCAACCACCCGTAAAGCAAATGCTTCACGAAATCTGTCTCATTGTCCCGAGGGGCACTGACCGAATGTTTATTTTACCATGTGAGGTACAGTTGTTGATCTTGGGATTGCACTACATTGACATCCATATGTGCAAATCCTTTGCACACAATGACACAGATCAACAAGGACATGAAAGCACTCTCACACTGACGCAGAAATCTCCAATCTGAGTGAATCAGCACAAGGAACAACCCAACCTTCGGTTAACATCAAATCATCGCATGATGAAAACCTCCCGGAGTTTGGATTAATCTTTACCAGATTATTTGTCAAACCGGCTGCAGCAGTTGTCACATTTGGATCCTGTAGCTCAGTGGTTAGAGCATTGGCCTCGCAAGCGAGAGGACCTGGGTTTGATTCCCTTACGCCACACACACGCCTGTTTACCTAACAGTAAGTAGGAACCCCGTTGTTAAGTCGTTTGGCAAATCACTTTTCTGAGGGTAATAATCCCTTCCAAAAAATAATAATTTGGTCACTCGATCCACGACTGTTTGTGGGGACGCTGCTGTGCGCAATTGGCTGCCGCGTTTCGCCCCCAAAATATACAGTCACTTCACTTTACAGTATATTCTGTGAAGTACTTTGAGACGTCGCGAAGATTTGATTACAGCCACAGACACTCCAGTTTACACAAGGTCAATCCCAGGGAGTGTAGGTTTGGTTTTACATAACATCCTCCCCAAATCAACTCTTTGGCACAGAGTAACCCCTTCAGAGAAGCTGGAGTACTGACATTTTTATTTGCAACAAGTACCTTGGGGTCCTGTTGAACAGATAGACCTCGAAGTCTGTGATGTAAGGAGGGTGGGGTGGGGGTGTGACCCTCTTTGACATTGGCATAGAGCCTGTCATGTCTTAAACGCTCCCACCCCCACCCCCCCCAATAATATTTTCACTCCCGCCTATGTCAACAGCTCGAAGTAAATCACTAGTCTCTCTCCAGAGCACAGTTTAGGAATGACACCAAAGAAATGTCTGCATCCCAAGCCATTTAGCATCCAACAACCCCCACCCCCCACACCTCCCGCAACTCCCTACATTACAGCTTGCACAAATAATTGGGAACAATTCATGCAGCTGAAATGTTTCACAACGCATAGCAATAACAGACTATTGACAGCAAACGCAGGTTTACCTGCAAAAACACGAGGGTGAAGGTTTTAATCAGAATAAACCTTGTGGTTGAAGTGCTCTGGGACCTTACCCCGTGTGAGGGGGCGCTATATAAGTGCAAGTTGTTATTGTACACAGTTGCCATTGAAAGGTGGGACAGCTCAAAAGAGGATTAATTCCTTGTGATCTAATTGGAGATTGATTTAAGCGCAGAGTAAAGATTGCTGGAAATCTGA